CTCCCTTTTTTTGTTTTTAACGTTCTCCTTAGATCCTACCTGAGGTGGCATCCTGTCGTCTTTTAGTCTTCCCTGGTCCAGGCTATGTATTTCTGTTCTTTGATTTATTCTTTCACTGGTATCATTTTTTAAACCCCTCTACATCCAAATACTATTCTCCAGAAAACTTTATCAATGATGATTTTAAAGTTTATTCTTCACAATTGGTTGTAGTATACCAGATTTTGAGGAAACAATGACTAGGGCTTTTAATTGTCCATCTTAACATTAGCCAGATAAGCAGAGATTGATAAGCTTCCTCTATAAATCTAGTCAATGTCTGAATTTTTGTCAGGTCAGCTTTATTCTTGACGTGGAAAAGACTGACAGTGGGGGAGGGGCAACAAAGAAAAATGATTGATCGTCACACAGATTGTTGTTTGGTTGCTGGTACTGCCAGTTTAAGTCTCGAAAGGAAACAATATCATTACGTAGTATGGCCGTATTAGAATAAACTCTTTGTGATGTACACAGCCATTATAGAGTGGATTGGAGAGGGATCTTATTAAAACAGATTCCAGATGTCGCAATTTATGAAAGTTTCAGAAACTTAAATCTTTAAAATTAAAAGAGTCGATGAGATCTGGATGTCATGTTTGATTTTGGTAGTTGATAGCAGTAATTGATTTGTAACTCATCGTTCTGGTATAGCTTGTTTTACACATAACACAGTACTGTGTGGCTTATTTTTGGACTCAAAATTTATTTTTGTCATGGTTAGAGGTTTTAACAAAAGTTTCCAAATTTATATAAAATCATCACTAAGTTTCTTCTTCTACTGTGGCAGTCTAAGATTAGGACTATAATTCAGTTTAATTTTACGGTGTACTTTATTATTAAAAAGAAAAGTGGGCATAAGCCCCTAACCCAGGCCAGTAAAAAGAAGGAGGTGAGTGGCTTATTCATAGAAACAGTTCTATCCAAAATATATAATCAAATCATTTGCCGTTTCCCGAGCCACCCTCTTTCTAAAAACCATATCTGTGTATGTTGCTTCACCTGGGCTGTTAACATCTTAGTGACTAGACTGCATTTGGGGAACAGTAATTGTATGCAAGATTCATCAGTGGCCACTGAGAAAAGCTACAGTGGGAAAACTAGTAATGTTACAGTGGAAAGGTGGATACAACTATAACATGATCAGAGTTACCATCATCAGTAGTGAAATCTGGATATCATCATGTACCTTCTGGTATTTTTTAAAAATTGAAATGTTGATTTATAATATTTCAGGTGTATAGCCAAGTGATTCTTTTCCATTATAGGCTATTAACAAGATACTGAATATAGTTCCCTGTACTGTACAGTAGGACCTTGTTGTTTATTTTGTATACAGTAGTGTATATTTGTTGGAGACGGGAGTGGCAACCCACTGCAGTATTCTTGCCTGGAGAATGCCATGGACAGAGTCATCTGGTGGGCCATAGTCCATAGGGTTGCATAGAGTCGGACACAACTGAAGCGATTTAGCAGTGTTTATTTGTTAATCCCAGATTTCCTATTTGTATACCCCTCTTCACTTTTGGTAACCACAGTTTGTTATCTGTGCCTGTGAGTCTATTTCTGTTTTGTAAATACATTCATTTGTGTCATTTTTAAACATTCCACATGCTAGTGATACCATGTGATATTTGTCTTTCTCTTTCTGACTTGGTTCACTTAGTGTGAGAGTCTCCAGGCCTATCCATGTTGCTGCACATGGCATTATTTAGTTTTTTTTTTTTGATGGCTGAGTAATATGCCGTTGTATATATGTACCACATCTTCTTTATCCATTCATCTGTTGATGGACATTTAGGTTGCTTCCATGTGTTGGCTGTTGGAAATAGTGCTTCTGGGAACACTGAGGTGCATGTATCTTTTCAAATTAGAGTTTTTGTCTTGTCTGGTTATATGACCAGGAGTGGGATTGCTGGATCATATTTTAGTTTTTTAAGGAACCTCCATACTGTCCTCCATAGTGATGGCCCGCTCTGTTATTGATGTACTTAGAAGGGCTTCTGTGGTGCCTGCCACAATACCTAACCTGAATTTAGTCTGGAGGAAGCATTAGACAGACCTGTAGTGAGCACATTCTACAGAATAACTGCCTAGTACCCTTCAGGTGTCAGGGTTATGAGAGACACACCACCTCCAGTTGGAGGAGGCATGGCAACTCCATGAATGTGTGATCCCGAACCAGAAAAAGGACATCAGTGAGGGCAGTTGAGAAGAAATTTATATAAGGCTTGCTCTAGATTATTTCATAAATCTTGTGTTGATGGTTAATTACCTGCTTTTGATCACTGTAACTGCAGTTTTAATAAGATGTTATCATTTGGGTTATAGGGTGAAGAGTACACAGGAATTCTTTGTACTATTTTTGGAACTTTTTGTAAGTGTGAAAGTTCAAAATGAGTTTAACAACAACAGAAACTCAGAAATTCAGACTCTCATCCTTCTACTTTATGCGATCTCTTCTGGTCAAGGACTGGTTTTCTTTGCTTCCTCTAAATCTCCACTGTGATCTGGATAGCTGAGGTTTCCAAATAAGGGATTTTGAAGTAGTGAGGCATTGCCTTATCGGATTGCAGCTACAAGTTGAAAGGTTTTGTTTAATTAATTAATTTACTTATTTATTTTTGTACAGAGCTGTAATTACATCTTTGGGTTTCCAGTGACTCCAGGTTATTTGAGCATTGCTCTTGTAGCCACCAGGAGCCATAGCTGGAAACTTAGCTCTGTAATTAATTTACTGGTTTGTTTCTGTTTTTATTATCATGTTCTGGATTCAGGTTAGTCCCACAGATTCTTCTGCTGTGTGTCATGTATTGTTGAATTTCATATTTGTCAATTGTCTTTTAGGAAGAGCTGGTATTTGTATAAAAATATTTTACCTAAAATGGAAATATCACACTGAACATCTTATTTTTCCTCCTAGCAAAGATTGTCTGGAGCTTTTATAAATATAATGAATAAGTAAACTTACACTGGCACAAGCACCGCATGGTGGCCTTTTATTGGGTCATAATTAGAATGGAGGAAGTTAATACACTGGGAAATGTTTCTGTTACCGGGAGCAGTTGTTAATGTATGACTCACAGATTCTTAAGTCTCGGAGAAACTTGATGAGGCTGTTTTGACCCGTGTGTCAGAAGAAGAAGACATGGACTTGGAATCGGAAGACCTACTTTCGAATCCCAGATCTGTCACTGATTACTATTGTGACTTGGACAGGTCATTTAACCCTTCTGAGCCTCCAGTTTCTCATCTGTAAAACTGGAATGATAATAGCACCTTTCAAAGTTACTGTGAAGGTTCAGTGAAGTAGCTTGCAGCATATTGGGTTGGCCCAAAGAACCTTTGGGTTCCCAAAGGAACTTTTGAGCCAGCCCGATACCTGACCTCACATAGGCATCTCATATATGCTGGTTCTGTTCTTACCTCCAACGGGGTTTATAACTGGGCCTTCTGAAATTGATGAGATTCTGCTTTGCTTATAAAGACCTACAAAAATGTGGTAGCATATGTCAGTCGCCTCTGCTGGTGTTTCCCAAGTCTTTTTGTTGGGATGTTTCCCCATATCTCTCATCCCAGAAAAATTATTTTCTATTATATGTGCTAGTCACACAATAGTCATAACAATATTGGCTGTTACTCTAAAATCTGTTAGACAAGGGTCACTCATTTGCTGCTTTCCTTGGCGTTTTAGTGTTCAGACCTGAAATCTTTCCATACAAATGAATATTAAATTTAAAAGAAAATCTTATGCGAAAAGGCACAAGATATCCAAACAATTGAAGGGAAGCATTTCCATGCACCATTTCTTTCAAGTTGCAGGTCTGACTTGCCTTTTTGATCCTCTGAAAGACCAGTTATTCCTGTGGTTGTGGAGTGAACATCATTGATTTTATGGATTAACATGGAAGTGTCTAGGGCTGAAGGGGCATGTCTGTAACTTACCCTCAGAGGGGTGTGTGTGTGTGTGTGTCTGTCTGAACAGGAGGGGAGAGAAGGAGGGGGACGATGACATGGCAGTTGTGACTGTGTTAACAGTTGGTGAGCTGAGGTGCGTGGAGCTCTTTGTGCCTTTCTTACAGCTTTCCTCTAAGTTTGTTGTTGTTGTTTAGTCTCTAAGTTATGTCCAACTTTTCTGTGATCCCATGAACCGCAGCCCATCAGGCTCCTCTGTCCATGGGATTTCCCAGGCAAGAATACTGGAGTGGGTTGCCATTTCCTTCTCCAGAGGACTTCCCCACCTGGGGATGGAACCTGAGTCTCCTGCATCTTCCACGGTGGCAGCTGGGTTCTTTACCACTGAGCCACCAGGGAAGCCCTTCTCTGAGTTTAACTGTCTCAGAATTACACTGGATTAAGTTATATTCTTATACTCTGAGGCCATGTAAGCCAGTGGCCTTTTCAGAGGAAGGGAGTTTGGAGGCACCTGAGTCAGCATAGAGGAATAAGTAATAAGTGAGTAATTCAGTTAGTAGTCACTCACTAGCAAAAAATTAGTTGTTCCTTTAACCTTTTTTTCCTTAGAACAGAACTTTTTTTGTAGAAGGTCCTCTATAGAGAGAGAAAGCTGCTGCTTTATCAGAGCAAAGGAAACTACTTGGAAGTGAAATCAGATGCTAAGAAGAATATTTTTATATTTATAAATCATAGACAAGGATAAGCAAAATGTAGAAGGCAGAAATATTAGGACTTTAAAAATTATCTAGTGCTCAGACACTCTTTCTTCTACCTGAAAGATACAAGTTAGTTCTCTATAATTAGCATTCTATCTTACTAGTTAGTAGACATTAATTATCCTTTTTTTCAAGTTGCTGTTTGATTTCAAAGTTAATATTTTGTGTTCTTAATAAATATCATGTAAATATTTATTATCATTTTACCCTTCAAAAGGCACCTTCTAACCAAAAAATATTTTTAAATTCTTTTCTTTCATGTCAATGATGACACCTCTTTTGGGAACTCAGAAGCCAACCAAAGGTAAGAGATTTGGTTTATTACGAGATGCTTGTTCAAGTTGTATGTGTGTATTTTTTTGTACTGGTATTTTCTTCTGAAAAATAAAAATACTCTCACTTTTAAAATAAAAAAAATAATGCAAGCCGTCAGCCTATTCATAAATCCAAAGCCATTTATTGGCGTAAGAAGCACTGGAGGTTTATGGAAAAGCTGTTTTTGTACTTTGACCAACTCTGGCCAGTCTCCTGGCAACTACAACACAGATTCCTTTTGTGCCCTGATGGTCACCACAGATTGGCTGGGAACTTCTCGTTCCAAGCTGCGGTCAGAACCAATACTAGGCAGACTCATCCATGGTGCTCCTGGGACAGCCGGGGACACGGTCTCAGGCCAACAGAAACCTGCCCTGGCCCACAGCTTCCTCAGGGAAATGTACTTTCATCCTAACTTTGAGCTCAGATTCTCATGAAACTTTGGTTCCTGTGTCTCTTAGGAATACAGTTGTACCAGAGTAGGGACAAGGACTGTGTTTTGTATTGATCATTCTTGGGAGCTTTCCAGGAAATTTATATTTTTATCTACCTAATTGGAGTTTTGTTTTAAAATCTGTGGTGAAACAGTAATTTCCTTCAATATTACTTTTGCTGAAGTATGTATAGACTTGGCTATTGGGACTCTGAATGAGAAAACAAAAAAGTTGAATATGGCACTGACTTCTTTACACATAATAGAACTAATTTGATCAGTTTTATCTTTTGTGTGAAAAGATGGCTGGATTATCTTTGTTTTCTTATTTTCTGATGGAGCAGAGGCTGGCTATTGCAGTAATGATGTGAAGAAACATTACGTGACTGTTTTAAAAATATTCATGTTTTATTTAATTCAACTCTATCTTACCATTTAGAGAAAATCTGTTAATGTCAAAGATGTGGAAGGGCCAACACTACATTCTTAACAGTGGTTCCCTCTAAGGAGAAATATGCTTGGTGAATGGGAGTCCTTTATTCTTTATGCTTCTGTGTTATTTGCCTTGCTATAATCAATGTGTGTTTCTTCTCTGTTACTTGAAAAGAAATTTTTAAAAAAAATAAGGACAAATATTTACTTAGGGGAAAAAAGAGGGGCCTGTTTGCTTTAGGAAATTCATGGCTGGAAGATACCTGTAATAATTTACAAAACAGCTGAAATTTAAAGAGGACCATTCAGTGTTGTTAGTAAACAAGACCTTAGCATTCGTAGTTCCCACCTTTGTACCAGGCTCTGGTGCCTTCCTGTTACTGAGGAGGAGAGCTCAGCCACTCTGTGATGAAGGGCCTGGTGGGGAGAAGCATGCGTCCTAAGTCGCTCAGTTGTGTCCGACTCTTTGTGACCTTACGGACTGTTGCCCTCTAGGCTCCTCTCTCCATGGAATTCTCCAGGCAAGAATGCTGGAGTGGGTTGTCAAGCTCTCCTCCAGGGGATCTTCCCAACCCAGGGATCGAACCCGTGGTTCTGAAGTCTCCTGCAGGCGGGTTCTTTACCACTAGCGCCACCAGGGAAGCCCAGGTGGGGAGCAGACATGGGCTCCGAGGCTGAGTTCAGCTGCCAGCGCCCCCACACCTGTTAGCCACCAGGTCCTAGGGCCTCCCGTGTAATATCAGCTGTTGCTGTTACTTCTCTACTCGAATTTATTTTATTTTATTTTTTTCATTTATTTTTATTAGTTGAAGCCTAATTACTTCACAACATTGCAGTGGGTTTTGTCATACATTGACATGAATCAGCCATGGAGTTACGTGTATTCCCCATCCCGATCCTTCCTCCCACCTCCCTCTCCACCTGATTCCTCTGGGTCTTCCCAGTGCACCAGCCCTGAGCACTTGTCTTATGCATCCCACCTGGGCTGGTGATCTGTTTCACTATAGGTAATATACATGCTGTTCTCTCGAAACATCCCACCCTCGCCTTCTCCCACAGAGTCCAAAAGTCTGTTCTGTACACCTGTGTCTCTTTTTCTGTTTTGCATATAGGGTTATCATTTCTACTTGAATTAAGAATAAGACTTGTTAAAGAAATCCCTAAAAAAAAAAAAAAAACCTGTAGTAATAGGGAGAAGAGAGCAACGTAGAGCCTGATCTCTGAGAAGTGCACTCAGATGGATGGTTCAAGTGTGAGCTAAGCTTATAAGCAAGCAAAGACTTGGGATGGTCTCTACTTAACCTTGGTAAGAGCAGAATAAAAAAAGTGATAAAACATGAGAGCTGAAAGCTGGAGCAGAAGAAACTTAATCTGAGCTTTACATTGTATTTAATCTCACCCTGCTGACAGAGGTTCTTTGAAACGCAACTCCCACCGGAAGTTTTGATCCACGGTCCTTTGGGACCATCTTCCTTCTTCTTTCTTTCCTCTCTCTGTTGTTGTTCAGTTGCTAAATCGTCTCTGACACTGTGACCCCATGGACTGCAGCATGCCAGGCTTCTCTGTCCTCCACTGTCTCCCAGGGTTTGCTCAGACTCGTTTCGATTGAATCGGTGATGGCATCCAACCATCTCACTTCTCCTGCCCTCAGTCTTTCCCAGCATCAAGGTCTTTTCCAGTGAGTCAGCTCATCTCATCAGGTGGCCAAAGTATTGGAGCTTCAGCTTCAGCATCAGTCCTTCCAGTGAATAGTCAGGGTTGATTTCCTTTAGGATTGACAAGTTTATCTCCTTGCAGTCCAAGGGACTCTCAAGAATCTTTTCCAGCACCACAGTTTGAAAGTATCAGTTCTTCGGTGCTCTGCCTTCTTTATGCCAACTCTCACATCCATACATGACCACTGGAAAAACCATAGCTTTGACTATACGGACCTTTGTTGGCAAAGTGATGTCTCTGTGTTTTAATATGCTGGGTTTGTCATAGCTTTTCTTCCAAGGAGGAAGCATCTTTTGATTTTATGGCTGCAGTCACCATCTGCAGTGATTTTGGAGCCCAAGAAAATAGAAACTGTCACTGTTTCCACTTTTTCCCCATCTATTTGCCATGAGGTCATGGGATCGGATGCCATGATCTTAGTTTTTTTATATGTTGAGTTTTTAAGCCAGCTTTTTCACTCTCCTCTTTCACCCTTATAAAGAAACTCTTTAGTTCCTCTTCATTTTCTGTCAGTGGGGTGGTATCATCTATATCTGAGCTTGTTGATATTTCTCCTGGCAATCTTGATTCCAGCTTGTGCTTCATCCAGCCTGGCATTTCACATGATGTACTCTACATATAAGTTAAATTAGCAGGCTGACAATATACAGCCTTGATGTACTCCTCTCCCTGTTGGGGAATTGCTAACATAGGGAGCCTCAACTGCTGATAGACACATGGTTAGCTCTGGGGAAGTGTTGAGGATTAGTAATGTATGACACAGTGTTGAGGCTGGGTGGTAGTTGCTGGGCTCCAGGCCTCCACCTCTTTGGGGGTGTTGTCAGATACTGAACTTCCATAACCCTTTTTATCCTTGCTTCGGCATCACTGTCCCACCCCAGGGAACAAATGTCTGGTGTCACTGTTTTGCACAGATGTGGGTGTTCTGATCCTTCCTTGCACTAAAGGTGTTTCTAGCCAGTCATATAGTTGGTTGCCCCCGGGGTCCCGACCACTCATGTAACTTGCCCCTGGCATCCTCCCGGGGCTGCTCTCAGCTTTGCAGCCATCTCCTCCTGCAGCTGTTTGCCCTGTGCTCTTCCATGGTCCTCCCACTCTACCCACCATCCGTCTCATTGCAGCTGTTTTTCAGGGTTTCTCAATTCCTAGTCCACGTATCGACGAGCAATCTAACTTTCAAAAACTTGCTCTCCTTGCCTCCTTTCTTTCCCTTTTTGGCTCTTTCCCTCACTCCTGCCATCATTTTGAATTAATTTCAGGTGGAGGTGGATATAGGCATGCATACTTCATTTACCAACCTAATCTAATTTTCTTATTTAAAAAACTTAACTCTTAGATTTAGGGTCCAGACAGCCTTGTGAGTTTACACAGAAATATTCTTCTGCCAACTCCAAACTCAGAGCAGGGACAGATAACATATTTAAAAATATTAAAAATAATTTCCTTGTATTCAAAAACAACATATGTCACTTCGAGGGCTTGCAGAAGCCTGGGGCTGAATTAGTGTGTTTACTGGGCCTTGAGATCAGACGCAGGTCCTCAGAGGTGCAGCCCTTGCAGACTAGAGGGGACCCTGATGTGGTTAAGGACCTGAGAAATTCATCCATGTGAAAAACTGGTTTGAATGAGGCTCCATCATGAAAGAAGGCTTAAAAAAGGCTTTTTGGCCACCAACACTGAGCTAATTGGGCTTCCCTGGTGGTGCAGATGGTAAAGAATCTGTCTGCAATGCAAGAGACCCGGGGTTTGATCTCTGAGTTGGGAAGATCTCCTGGAGAAGAGAATGGCAACCCACTGCAGTATTCCTCCCTGGAGAATTCCATGGACAGAGGAGCCTGGTGGGCTACAGTCCATGGGTCACAGAGTCGGACACGACTGAGCATGTACACATATGCATACTGAGCTAATTTCTGTATAAATAGGAGGGAGCAGAGACACTGGGCTTTGGAAAGACCCAGACCTGGGCTTCAGCAGCTAGGAGTGGCAGTGTAAAGGTGGCCAAAGGAAGAGGAACGAGGCAGGCAATCACGTAAACCATAAAACAAGCTCCCAATTCAGATGTGCTTGCAAACTGACCTATAAAGCCAAGAGGAAAACTGTCATCAGGAAGTGAGGCAGCACACTCAACGTGGGAGGGTTTGAAGGGCAAACTGAAATGAATTGAAAAGCAATTATCCTTAAAACTTTTTAAAAGACTAAATTATTGAACATGAAATTCAAAAAATTAAAACTATAATCAGCGAAAAAGACTTAAAAGATCGCTTAAAAAAGAGCATATTTTAGAAAGTAATAAGCATAAAAGGTCAAGGCAAATCATTTGTGGTATCTCACAAAGTAGCATTATGTATTACCAGTATTTCCATTGTATAGTCTTCCTACTTTCGGTATGTGCCGATTTTTGTACAAAGATGGGATCATGGTCCAGACTTTTTCATGTGCTGTGCTTAGTCGCTCAGTCATGCCTGACTCTTGGCGACCCCATGGACTGTAACCGTCCAGGCGCCTCTGTCCGTGGGGATTCTCCAGGCAGGAATACTGGAGTGGGTTACCATGCCCTCCTCCAGGGGAACTTCCCAGCTCAGGGATCAAACCCAGGTCTCCTGCAGTGCAGGTGGATTCTTTACTGTCTGAGCCCCCAGGGAAGCCCTTCTTCTATGTTCTTAAAGCTACGTAGTATATTGACTATGGGTCTGTTATAGTTTATTTAAAGAATCTGCATTTTCAGTATGCTGTGGTAATCACCTTTACATTTTTAAAAAAAAATTTGTTTTCTCTGAAGAATAGTAAGACTGTAGAGAATACATAAAAACATAAGAAAGCAAAGATATCAGTAATCTTAACACACAGTAATGAGCTTTATATATGTAACTCCGTGTGTTTAATAGTCATCATATTATACGTATTGCTTTGTAACCGCCTCCCTTTTCACATCACATTGTAAAGCGTTTTCCGTGTGAATTCAAGATCTATATTATGTGCAGGGCGCTTTTTCTTTGTAAGACTGTCCTGTAAATGACTGACCTCCATTGTAAGACAGCAAGTTGTTTTTATTTCAGTGTTATGAACCATGTTAGCAGAGTTATGCCATTGTTATAACATCGTGAGCATGTTACAGTTTTCTTAAAAAATATTTACTTTTAGTTGATTGGTTTACAGTATGGGTTTACTTTCTGTCATATGTCAACATGAAGTAACCACAGGTGCACATGTGTCCCCCCGCCCCTGCCCCTTGAGTCCCCCTCCAGCCTCCTGCCCAGTCCCACCCTCTAGGTTGTTACGGAGCCCAGTATGAGTTCCCTGAGTCATGTGGCAAGTTCCTATTGGCTACGATTTAATTTTAACACATGCTTCATTATTTTTATTTTTCAACAGGTGTTTGCATATGATCACTGCTTCTGGTCCATGGATGAGTCTGTCAGAGAAAAGTACGCAGGTGAGAGCCCAGCACCCTGTTAACTCCTGGTAACATAGACAGGTGCTTTAATATGTCTCCCATAAAGTTTCATAGTGGTGTGACTTTAGAACCTATACAGCGCCCTTCCTCCAGTCTTGGCTGTTAAGAGTGTTTGCCTCAATTGGAAAATGGGAGATGAAAAGTGCAGTGTTGGTGGTGTAAGATGGTAAAGTTAGATGAACAGGGCTCACAGTTGAGGTTATCCTAAATGAATGCCGGGCCTTATGTGGGACCGTAGCATGCAGTAGCCACGTTGCTTCCCTTAGATGTTGGTGATGTGGTCAAGAGAGGCAGCTTGGTGAAATGAAAGAACTCTAGCCAAGAAGGAAAGGAAACCCTGAGTTTAATACCAAGCTCCAGTCCTGACCATCTCTTTGAATAAATCACTTAGGCTTTCAGTGTTCCTATTTCCCCTTTAGTGGAGAGCAATATGCCATATTCCCTCTAAATTTGTTCTTGGATTCTGTTCTTTTATTCTCCTCAGTGATGACTGTCTCAGGCCCCATTTCACTACAGGTTTAAAACTATAGCGACTGCCAAATTTAGTTTAAAAAAAAATCTAAAAAAGACTACAGTGGCAGCCTTACATTAGCCTGTTTCCTAAGAAATCTTTTAAATATTGAGTGTCTTATTGACCTTTGTCGTGAGAAACAGTTCATTCTACAGCTGTTTGAAGAAGTTGAGGTTAATTTGGGCTGGCTGGGCCCAGTGACAACTTTAAGGATTGCTTCAGGGAATTCCCTGGCACTCCAGTGGTCACGATTCCATGCTTTCACTGTTGAAGGCCCTAGTTTGATTGCGGATCACTATGATCCCACAAGCCATGCGGCATGGCCCGGGGAAAAAAAAGGATTGCTTCCGTGTCAGAATTGTGGTGATGCACTAACCTGGTAAATTAATTAGGAAATGAGGCACAATGGGATGCTATTTATAGCATACAAAATATAACAAACATAACAGCATCCAGTTCTTCCATATTATTTTCAAGACTCAAAGAAGTTAAACAATTTGTCCAGGTCACTTGATTATTGACACATTTAATTTAGCCTGTGAAGGCAATCTGACCCTACTCTTTATGTTCATGACTGAAAGCTAGAAGAAATGGCCCAGACCTTCCTCCTTCTCCCAGCTGATCTGTAATTGAACATTTTCATTGAGGGAAAAGGAGAGGGAATTTGATACATACCATTGTGTTGAACTTCACCATGCACTCAGTAGAAGCATTGGCTGAGTGGTCCATAGTTGAATTCAGGTCCAGCCAGGTCCCAAGCATATATATCAGATTCTTTATAAAATAGAGGTTCATTGGTCTATTTTTTTGGCCAGTGTTTTATTCAAGTTCATATCATCAGGAACTTTTCACTCATTTTCTGTCATATGCTAACTAGAAATGACCTGCTTTCAAAGAAGCATTCATCAAGTTTAAAAATCTTGTTTGGCAGTTCACCAGCCCAGGTTGGGTGCATGAGACAAGTGCTCGGGCCTGGTGCACTGGGAAGACCCAGAGGGATTGGGTGGAGAGGGAGGTGGGAGGGGGGACCGGGATGGGGAATACATGTAAAAAAAAAAAAAAAAAAAGATACACTATGGTTGTGATTAAAAAAAAAAAAAAAATTAAAAAAAAATAAATAAAAATCTTGTTTGGTAGCTAAACAAACAAAAAAAAAAAGGTGCATTTTTGAGGGTTTTGTTTGTTTTTAATTGTTCATATGTGGTTTTGGCTTTAAACATCCGTTTTCTCTGTGTTTTTCTCTTTCAGGTCAAGATGATGTTTTCAAGTGCCTTGGTGAGAATATCCTGCAGAATGCTTTTGATGGCTACAATGCATGTATCTTTGCCTATGGACAGACTGGTAATTGTTAAATAATCTATGTTTTTTTTAAAGCTTTAACAATTCTAACAAAGAAAATACCAAAAAGAATACATATTGCTAGCATCTTAGCAGTTATGATTGATAAAGGAGTGCTTTGACTTCTGTACCTTTGTGGTCAACACGAAAGGAAGGGGACAGTTAGGGAGGTTGGGATGGACATGTACACACTGCTATATTTAAAATGAATAACTGACAAGGACCTCCTGTATGGCACAGGAACTCTGCTCAATGATATATGGCAGCCTAGATGGGAGAGGAGTTTGGGGAAGGATGGATACATGTGTATGTATGACTGAGTCCCTTTGCTGTTCCCCTGAAACCATCAGCATTGTTAACAGGCCATATACCTCAATGCAAAAAAACAAAAAAAAAATTTTTTTTTCAATTAAAATAACAAAAGTGAAGGAGTCATTTTTATCTGGAGAAGGAAATGGCAACCCACTCCAGTATTCTTGCCTGGAGAATCCCTTGGACAGAGGAGCCTGGTAGGCTGCAATTCATGGTGTCGCAGAGTTGGACACGACTGAGCGACTGATGCACACGCACATTTTTATCAGGATTTATCGTATAGCTTGTTCTTAAAGAGAAAAATGCCTGTGATATATTCAAGACTTAAAATTCTTTTCAGGACTTTGAGTGATTTAATTTTTTCCTTTCTGTTTTCTCATGTTTTGTAAGTGTTCTCTAATGAACATGTATTTTTGGTGCAACGGAGAAAATAAATTTGTACTAGAAAAAAAATGACTCTGATTTCTATGCCGTTTGCCAGAGGGTAGTGGTAGAGAGTTAATTTGCTCTGGGGCCTGCAGAGATGGCATATATGTTTTATGTGCTATGATTAGTGGTTGGGAGCAAGCACATAGCTTTCATCATATGGATCTTTCCAGTTCAATTTTAGAGAACTATTCAGACCTCATAATTTTTCAGTCATTTTAGGTAAATTTTTTTTTAAGTATAAAGGTGGTTAAAGAAGGTTTCTGTTTTTCTTCGTAAAGAATGTGTACCAGTGACTTTTACATGTACAAATAGGAAAGCTAGTCTACTTACGAGTGTCATCATGGTATTTGGGTATATTCCTTATTTTGGGCATTTTCCTAAGTGCTAGGGTTTTACTGTGAGCAATGGAAAGAGGGCTGTGTATTTAAACTTCTCAAGGAGACAGTAATAACTATGATTTCCACTTTTTTAGGATCTGGAAAATCTTACACTATGATGGGCACAGCTGACCAACCTGGATTAATCCCAAGACTCTGCAGTGGGCTCTTTGAGCGAACCCAGAAAGAGGAAAATGAAGAGCAGAGTTTTAAAGTAGAAGTGTCCTACATGGAAATTTATAATGAAAAAGTTAGAGACCTTCTTGATCCCAAAGGGTAAATGACTTTGAGGTTTGAATGTTATGATATTAGAGACTAAAACAGACTTCGTGAATTGGCTTAAGTGAAATGTTTTACATTGAACTTTAGTAGAGTTATTTATCTAGTTCCTGTCTTTGGGATTTGTTTTTAATTTTATTAAGTGGCTTCCTGCAGCCAGTTCTGGGCTTTTGAACTTGGGCTGAGTTGGGCTGGGAAGCATGGTTGAGTGGCATGTGTTTGGACTGTATACCGCCTCTCTCAGATATATTCAAAGCCACAAAGAAAAAATATGTAATGATAGTTAACTTACTGAGTATCAGGATAACTGGTATCCTTAATCAAGTAGGGTGTTTCTTTGCTTTAAAACAAGAAGTTTTGGATGGAATTCATCCATTTGTTTGCAGGCTGTGAAGTGAGGGAGAGGCATAATCAGAAATAGTGAAACCTGGACTTTCAGAGGGTTCATTTTAATTTTTCTCAGAAGGAGAAAAGACTGTCCCATTTCATGGCCTAGACTTTGATTTTTTACTCATGTGTTTAAATTGATTTTATTTAATACAACAGCGCTAACCTCATAGCCCTAACATTGTGATTTGTACTAAGGACTTCTGACCCTCATCATTTTTGTGGCAGACTTTGAAAGAAGTGGCTTCAAAGTGTTAAAAAGCCTTCAAAAATGATGGCGTCACTCTGCAGTCATAACTGGAGCTAATGAGGAAGATAAGGGGGTATCTGAGGAAATCTGCTCATCGCACAGAGTTCTCAGAGTTCAGATTTTCAGGAAGTGCAACAATGGAGAGAAAGAAACAGATACTAACCGCAGCTTGTGGCTTACTACTGTAAGAACAGTGTTGGGGAGGTCAGAGAGCCACGTGAGCTGAGGCCTACAGAAAGTGTGGAGGATGCCTAAGGCACATCTAGTTATGTCTGGGTGAAAAAGGTGATCAAGGAAAGTTGGTCTTAGAAGCAGTGAAGTCAGTGACCCTCCATCAGGAGAAAACCAAACTGATCAACTCCTCACTGGCCTCTTGATTTCTTTAACAACGATAACCATCTGCAGGCCTTTCTGAATGAGACTGAATTGGTACTTAGAGTTTCTTCTTTTTTTTGGCTCCACCACGTGGCTTGTGGGATCTCAGTTCCTCAGCCAGATATATAATAGAACCTTGGCCTCTGTACTGCCACGGAATCCTTGGCACTTGGTGTTTCTATTCAAAACCTCACATAACATTTATCGAGCAACCCCTGTGTGCCAGGCACCATGCAGTCGTAGATGGAGAGCTCACAGTGGACAGGATGTGAGTTTTTCTTTTTCTTCAGACTTTAGGCTTTTTGTTTTGTATTGGGGTGTAGCCGATGAACAACGCTGTGGTAGTTTCAGGTGAATTGTGAAGGGACTCAGCCATACACGTACACGTATCCATTCTACCCCAGACCCCACTCCCATCAGGCTGTCACATAACATTGAGCAGAGTTCTGTGTTCTACACAGTAGGTCCTTGTTGGTTATCCATTTTGAATATAGCAGTGTGTACATGATCTTCCCAAACGCCCTAGTGATCCCTTCCCTCCCAGCAACCGTAAGCTCGTTTTCTAAGTCTGTGAGTCTCTTTCTGTTTTGTAAGCTCATTTGTAAAATTTCTTTTTAGATTCCACATGTAAGGGATGTCATATAACATTTCTCCTTCTCTGACTCATTTCATCCAGTATGACACTCTCTAAGATCCATCCATGTTTGTGCAGATGGCATTATTTCATTCTTTTTAATGGCTGAGTAATATTCCATTGTATATATGCACCACATCTTTATCCAGTCAGACTGGGAGTTTTGGAAACAAATAGTTATGAAATCAATGCAGTAATGCTTTTACATTGTAAAGGAGGCTTACACAAAATAGGTGAGAGTAAAGAGGGAGTGACTGTCTTTGCTCAGGGGAGAGGGGACGATTTCCCTGAGAGTGCTTGATGAATTTTGTGCTGAGTAGGAGTTTGTTACTGAGAAGCTGGGTGAGAACAATTCGGGCATAGAGGACAGCTGTGCCTGAGTGTGGAGATGTGGAGAAGTCGGGGATTTGAAAAGGGACCCAGCTGTCCAGTGGCCTGGAGAACAGATGTACAGATGTCAAAACAGGAAACCAGAGTCCAGAGAGAGGAAGACCATGGCCTGGGTACCCACATTTGCTAAATGTCATGCCCCATACTTCTCCTGTTCTGCCTTCAGTACTTTTTCTTGCACCTTCATCTCTGAAGAGCATCACTTCCCTTGAGACCCTAGACCTACTCTTTCCAGAAATTCTTAGCTGACTTCATTCTCATGTTTATACTCCACAGTGCTTGTGTGAATAGCTTGAGCTTTGCATGCGTGTGTGGCATCTACCTCTTTTGCAGTCCCATGGACTGTAGCCTACCATGCCCCTCTTCCATGGCATTTCCCAGGCAAGAATACTGGAGTGGGTTGCCATTTTCCTATGCTAGGGAATCTTCCCAGCCCAGGGATCGAACTCTAGTCTCCTGCATCTCCTGCATTGGCAGGTGGGTTCTTTACCACTGAGCCACCTGGGAAGCCCTAACTTGAGCTTCACTATCTACGATTTGCTAAGTCTTTAATACTATCTTATATGTTTGTCTTGTGTATAGTTTAGTAATTAACTACATGGGCTTTGGAATCACCTGGCTCTGGATCCCGGTCTTCTAATTGTTACCTACTGAGCAAGTTCCTTATGCTTTCTAGACCTCATTTGTCCAGAAGGGGTAATAACATTATGTAATATCTCAGAGGCCTGTCATGGAAGATAGACTGAGATCTTAGAATATTTACTGGCACAAAGTAAGTGCTCAGTAAGTGTTAGCTGTGGTTGTTTCCTTCATGAAAGTTTCTTGAGAATTTCTGTAGTGTTTCTGAAGAGCCAAAATGAGTGAATTAAAAGCTCTATGATTCCTTTTCAATGAAGGATTGTTTGAGAGAACCTCGTTACTTTATTCAAGTACTGATTTTATTAATTCACCATGTACTATGTGTAGTAATGTAGTTATATTTTACTCAAGAGATAATGGAGTATGCACTATCTTTAAGAAATAGGGGAAAATGAAAAAAGTTGTAATAGAATATGTATCCAGAGATCAGAACTAAGTTGAATACTCTTTATGCACTTTTATATACAGTTTTATAGTAGTACGTTTTGGTGATCGATCCTAGGATACTGTAGATTCTAAATCATTAGAAAATAATGAGTTACATAGAACAAGACTCATTTCTAATCTTACCATCAGTATTCTTTTTAAAAATTGCAGTGTTTAGGGAATTCCTTGGTGGTTAAGTGGTTAGAACTTGGCACTTTCAGTGCTGGGGCCTAGATTCAGTCCCTGGTTGGGGAGCTAAGATCACCAAAGATGCATGGTACAGCCAAAAAAAAAAAAAATGTAATGTTTATACTTTGTGAAGAGCTTTTTTCACATAGAGTTAGCCAGTAACAAATATCCTTATTATTTTTTGGTTGATATCATTAAGTACGCTGTAAGCTGTAGGGTTTTGGCAGGTTCCGTTTACTGGTTTTATTAGTTCCTTGTTTGTAAGAGGTTTATTTATTTATTGTTTAACTCATGAGTATTTAATTTTACTGAATCATTTTCAGTTTATTGAAATCATTTTACAGAAATGACTTTTTTTTCCTCTTTAGTCTTATCATTGTGATAAAAGACATGAATCTTTCTCAATGCTTAAACCACCTCGCAGCCCCAGGCAGTCCAGTTTTATGTTTTTAAATCACTGTTAGATTCAGCCTGCTGTCTTTCTCTTTGTCTCTCTGTGTTTGTCTTTATTCACGATTGAGACTGGTCTGTCGCTTTCTTTCTGGCGCAGTTTACATTTATTTAGTTTTCTGCTCTCTGTGCCGCATTCTGTGATGTGACAAGCAGATTGTTTGTATTTATTCAACTCTGCATTCTTTGTGGTAGTGGACATCCCACAGTGTACCCTTTTGAATTATGTGATATTTTACCCCATTATGAAGTTTTTCTTACTAGTCAAGAATCTTAAGTTTTGTTTTAAATTCTTCTGGGATCAAGTCTGTTTGTTCTATTTATTTGGGATCTTTATTGAATTCAGTCTGTATTTTTATGGAGCTGTGGTTGAGTCTTTTTCTAAACAGGTTATTGTTTGAAAATCGTTTCTATTGTTTTTAACGAGCAGAAGCCGTCAGACGTTAAAAGTCAGAGAGCACAATGTGTTGGGACCGTATGTGGATGGACTGTCTAAACTGGCTGTCACAAGCTACAAGGTAACAGCATCCTTTATGTCAACTGCTAAGATTCACAGTAGCAAATTTTGTTGTTGTTGAATTTGTGATATTTTTTTGCAATTAAAAAAGTTATAGCATCATTTTAATAAGTCAACTTTTTTACAAAACTCTTTATTAAAAAGCTATATATGGTTATTAAGTTGGTTCGATTTTGAAAGAAGGTATACATTTTTGCAAGGCATACCTATTCATCTATTGTGAGATTTTTTTCCATATTTTATGAGCTCTGAAACTGATATTCCTTACAGTTGTATCTTAAAATGATAAATGGCAGAATTTTTTTCTTCCACAGTAGTACATAAAATAATGATGTTGCTTATGATTTTGTTGATTTAATGAAATTAAATATGAGTTGAGTAGTTGGAATTCAAAGCCTGTTTCTAATTTGAGAAAATCTCTCAATGGCCTTTATAGTTACTAGTTCTCTTCATTTTCAGAAATCATAGTTATGCTTTGTGTGAATCTGCTAGGCTTCCCTCTTTGGGGAAATGGGGGTGGCGTGAGCTGTGATGTAATATACATTGAATTAAGAGTCAGATACTTGATTTGGTGACAGTCCTCTCATGTGACTCCTGTATGACTCTGGAACATTTATTCCATCTCACCAAGCCTCTCTGTCCTCATTTTTAGAATGGAAATTAGTTTTATTGTCTTGACTATCTTTTGAAGTAGATTCAGTAGTTCCTTTGTTCATGAATCAAATTCTGTCATTTGGTCAATGGTACTTCATTTAGTAAACATTTATTGAACACCTCTCCTGTGCCAGACATTGTGCTAAGTGCTGAAGAAATAAAAAAATGAATGAGGTCCGTTTCCTTAAGATGCTTACACATGTTTTAAAGGTATTATAAAAAAACATGATTTTAAGTGCAGTGAGAGATGAATGTTTCAGATTCATGGTAGTTTGAACGAGGAGTTCCTAACTTAAATGGATATGTAGGTATCTTGGGAGGGTATATCCAGGAAGGTTTCCTGGAAGAGATCAGATGAGTTGATGCATGTGAAAAGTCTTCAAAAACTCTAGGGTATCATATAAATGTTAGGTATTATTAGGTGACTCTTGTCTCATTTGCATATATGGCCAGACTGAGTTGCAGTGGCCTCTGAGAAGTGCAGTCCCTTAGTTCCACTGCAATGTGCTCAGCTAAAGATGGGGTTCCTTTACTGGGAAGTACAGGAGACTGGATAAAAGGAAGCCCTTAGTAGACTCTCTCACAAGTCTATCTTTCTTGTTTCTCATTAAATCCCTGAAAGGTAGATGTAATAGCTCTATTGTTACTTGTATGATTGCTAAGTCACTCAGTCGTGTCGGACTCTTTGTGACCCTATGGACTGTAGCCCGCCAGACTCTGTCCATGGGATCCTCCAGGCAAGAATCCTGGAGTGGGTTGTCATTCCTTCTCCAGGGGATATCCTTGACTGGGGGGTCAAACCCACACCTCTTAAGTCTCCTGCATTGGCAGGCAGGTTGTTTACCACTAGTGCCACCTGGGGAGCCCCACTGTAATGAAACCAAGTTTCAGATGGCTTAAATAAATTTTTTAGAGCCTTTAACGTTTTTTAAAAAATGAAGATCCCATGATCTTTCTGTCTCCATTTTAGCTATAATGGCAAAGAAGTTTAGTAAATCCATGCAGAAAATTAGTCTCGTTCTCATTTTTAAAAACACGTCTGGTAAGATATACACTAATGTGGTGATCCAGTTCTATGCCTGCAGGGATGGGTTACAAGTTACTTTTGTTTGCTGTTTATTCATACAGTCTAATTTGATTTAATAGCTTCTATTGCTATAACTAAATAAGCTAAAGATTCTCTAATTTCTAGGTGAGATGAGGACTGGCAAGGCATGTTTGTCCATCTGTGGGACTTCAACATGCAGCTTCTACTGTTTCCTAATTCTTGGTCAGAGCTGACACTTTATTCTACACCTACAGTAAATAATGTATTTTCTTTGTGTTTTCAGAGATAGTATTGGTTCTTGTACTCTATGTGGCTTCATGTTCATTGAAAACCAGAATATAAACTCCAGTTGTGGCTGACTAAGCAGTAAACTTGGAATGCATTTTGTAGCATAGCAGAGTTTTCATGTTTATTAGATAATAAGATGTGTGTCTATGACTTGTTTCCATGTAGGATATCGAGTCTTTGATGTCCGAGGGTAACAAATCCCGTACAGTTGCTGCAACCAACATGAATGAGGAGAGCAGCCGATCACATGCGGTGTTCAAAATCACCCTCACACATACTTTATACGATGTGAAGTCTGGGGTAGGTATTCAGATGCATGACTTCTTTTTTTTTTTTCTCTTTCCAATTTCTAAAGTGGATCATGGTTTATCTTATTCCTTTCTCATGTTAGATGACTTAAAGTTGTAACCAGACGTGTATCAGTTAGGACTCAGGACAAGAAATAGAAGCTACTCTAGGTAAACAGAAAGGATTGAGTGGAGGGAATTGGATGATTACCACAGGTGTTGATAGACCTACTGAAGAGTGGTTTCTGGACTCAGTCTCTAGAAATAATCTCCAGAACAGCACAGATCTCATCCAGTGAAGAAAGTACTATCTCTGCGGCCGCCCCCAGACCTGTGAGTTCCAGGCACATCCCAGAGCTGTGACCCATCATATACCCATATTCCTGCTTGCCAGCCCAGAATGGGCCAGGGGGATGACCTCTACTGTGTTTCTGCTTTTTAAATTTGAAGCAAGAATATCTGATTGACAGAGTCGAAATCACATCCTGAACACTGGCCGCAGGGAGTCCGATAAATGTAGGTTTTAGCTCTCTACTCTCTTCACCTGAAGGAAGTTGGAAAAGAAGTTATACCAACTGATGGCCTATAGTGCCACAGCGTTTTTTGAACTTTAAACTCTGATGGCAAATTATATAAGCTAATAACACCCTATCTGATTTAGTGAGGTTTCCTTTGAAGTATTACCTTATGCTAAAAAGCTGAGTGTTAGAAGGAGTAAGTTGCACTGGAGAACTTGCACCCTAAGATTCTAGATTCATAGAATCATTTTTTGAGCATTTGGTCTTGAAACCTTTGAAGATGAACAGAACCAGAGATAGATGTGCTTCTACCACACTGAAAACTTCTGTATTGACTAATACATTTTTTTTCCCCTCTTACTTCTTATGTGAATTTTTGCATATTTTATTATTACCCTCCAGCGAATCAATTTCAAGTACCAGAAGCTAAAATGATCACCCTGGCAAAGTGCTATATTTTGGCAAGATTTTCGTTTGCTGAGAGCATAGTTTTCTTCTTTTACCATCACAGCAAGATTAGTGTAATGACAAAAAGCTCTTTGTTTTCTGTTTCCTTTTCAGCATAAAGCAAAAAACATTCTGACATTTTTTTTTCAAACCAAAAGTACTTTTGATTTGGGAAGCTGAATTCCATTTTGTTAGTAACATGTTTGTTTATGGAAATAAATATAAATGTATATTTTAAAAGAAAGTTTTAAAAAATGATCCAGAAATGAGGTTTCTCACATTTCTTATATTGCTGCTAAAGTATAGAATATTGGTTATGTCTGTGATTTGATAATAGAATATTTTTGATAAAGGAAAATGTCAGTATATATAAATACCTTAACCAGGAAAATATGTAAACTTAATACCTGAAATTATGGAAAAGAGAATTATTGTATGAACAATATGAAAACATTTTAGAATGCATTAGGTTTTTGAGGGATCTTTCTGTTGGATAAAGTCAAAATTTTTTTTAATATCATAAGAAATGCAAATATTTTCTCTCGGGATTATTGGTAAGTATATATGAAATTTTAAGCACAGTCTCATATATTAAAATTTATACTTGTAATGCTTTTATATACTTATCTGTGAAAGTTTTGTTGGGTTCCCTTCAAAATGTACCATTTTGGAGTCACTGTGTTTTTTTGGAGATAATTTTCTCTCTGGATTAGTAGTTGTGTATGATTTTGTATGTATCTACCACTGGGTTTAGTTTTCTTACACTGTTTTGTAGCAGCCCAAATTAATTTTAAAATGACAAATATGCTTTAAAAAGGATTCAGACAGTAAACTCATTTGGTAGAAATGTACCACTTTCTGTGTTCTTTAACTTTTAGTATTTGTTTATTTGCTCCCTAGACTTCTGGAGAGAAAGTGGGCAAGCTGAGCTTGGTTGATTTAGCTGGCAGCGAGCGAGCAACGAAAACAGGAGCGGCAGGTGACCGGCTGAAAGAGGGCAGCAACATCAACAAGTGCGTTGTCTGGAAGCCCGCCCCATTGCTGCGGTGACTTAGCCCAAAGAGGGAACTGGTGTAGTTTTTAAAGAATAGGATTCTGGAATGAATGAGGCTATAAAGAATAAATAGAACTTTTTAAGGGCCGAGCCTGTTCTCTGTCTTGCTGAGACGTCTGCTGGGGCCCAGGAGCACAGCCTCAGTCAAGTCAAAGGTTCTCCAAGGTCAGCCCTGCCGAGGTTCGGGCTGGGAACTGTCCAGGGAGCAGTCCTGGGCCTGGTAGCGTGCCCCTGACCTCTGCTCACTAGGGGGCACCAGTTCCTGCCGTCCCCAACCCCGGGTTGTGACAACCCCGGTTATCTACAGGTACTGCCGGGTGCTCCCTGTGGAGACACAGTCACCCTCAAGGTGCACGCCACTGGTCTAAGCTATAGAAGAGAACAGATATAATTACAGTATCAGAACCTTGGCATGGGTGTGTCTGAACAAACAATGGCATGTGTACTGACCACATTGGACTTTTCCTTTTATGACAACTGTGGTCCTTATTTATACCAAGATTTTACTTTACAAAATAATATTTGGTGCATCAAGTCCTACATATGGTTACATATTTTCTTACCTTAAGCTAAATTAAGCTAAATTGCTAGCCCCTGTTAGTGGGCAGGAATCTTTTCCATCTTTGTGGCTCCCAGAAGGACACATAGCAAGACAGTCATCAGTAACCAACTGGAGATCATAGAACACCATCATCCAGATGCATGCTGTTATATATTTATATATGTAGGAATGTTTTTGCCTTGTACTATGTTTTAGTTAATTGCATTGTGTTCATGGCTTCCTTTCTTAAAGATATATGGTATTTGTGTCATTATTTTGCCCTAGTGGTTTATAGCTTACATTTTCTTTATACAAAAATGAAAAAAAAATCAAACTAAGCAATTTTATAGCTTACAGTAGTATTAGAAGGCTATCAGCTATTAGAGTTTGTGTGTTCTTAACCTGAGCAGCAGAATGCTGACAGAAGTGCTATTGTCAGGGTGGCACAAAGGCATCTTGGTGTTCAATCTTTGTGCTTAAATGTGACATTTGATATACTCAGGTTTTTATGATTATTATGGTTTGTTGCACATGCAGGTCCCTCACAACCCTGGGTCTGGTTATCTCAGCCCTAGCAGATCAGGGTGCTGGCAAAAGCAAGAATAAATTTGTTCCATACCGTGATTCAGTTCTCACTTGGCTGCTCAAAGTAAGTCATCTTTAACCCCCTTTCTGGGATTCTCTTGGTGGTTGGTAAAAAAGGAATAATAAAGAGTAGACTCTTGATTTCTCCCAATTATAATTTCCTACATCAGTGTTCAAATTTATAATCATTAGACTCTTACATGGTGGTTATAACTTTAATGGTTTAAGCATAGGTTTCTTCCTGATTTCACCAGAACCTGGAAGCAGTGGGGGCTTGGGGTGCATGGAATCAATTGCACTGTCACCTCTAAGACTTGGGGACCAGAATAAAGAGCGAGTGCCAGTCTCACAGCCGAGTGGGTCCTAAGAAGGGGTCTCCACTGCCTTCCGGGCTTAGCTGGGCCGCTCCAGCCTTCTTACTGACTCCTTGTGTCTGAGGTACTTTTTGGACCTTGTTTTCCTGTTTAACTTCCGGACTACTCATGATCATTTTGGTTTGCTTTTGGCTTCTTAAAGCTGCTGTTAAAGGGCAGAGAGCAGAGCACACAGTCATTCACTCATTAACTGATTCAGCGTGAATGAGAGGAATGGAAATGAGGAAGAAGAAAACTGTATGAAGTGCTCTGAGGAGGATGTGAGGAAATGCTGGACACTCCTTGTCCTGTAATCCCTCAGTCTAGTAAGGGAGAGATGTGTGCACAGAACACTGTACCACGAGCTGGTGATTTCATGGGAGAGATGGAAATGACATGTAGTAGGAGTTTGAAGGGAGAGACTGTTTCCAGGTTTCTTCTAGTCTTCAAGGTTCCCTTTTGTCTTGATCGAGTCGCCATGATGGCTTGGGTATTGGGCTGGAAGGTAGAGGATATAAAAATCTAGTGACAGTTTAACTCCTTATGAAGTTGCCAACCCGGAAAAAGATATTTTACCTTAATGCTCTTTTTTTTTTTTTTTTCCATTTTCAAAGAAGTCTTTTTAGCATTTTTATTTTTAAATTTTCTTGGCTGTGCCACATGGCATGTGGAAATTTAGTTTCCCAGCTTGAGATCAAACCCATGCCCCTTGCACTGGAAGCTTGGCGTCTGGACCACCTGGGAAGTCCTGTACCTAATGCTCTTTGAAAAAATGTTTTTAAAATTGAAAAATAGTTTTATAAGCCCTGTTTAGTTTTATGTTGGCCTATTCTCTTGATTTTCTTGGTCAGGAATTTGTTGAATACCTGTTACTGTACTAGCCATTGAGCATGTAAAGATGAGGTAAGTGCAGTCAGCATAGTGAAGCACACAGCTTCTGAGTTATTCTTGACATGTTTAGAGAACTGTGCTTATGACGGAAGAGGGATTTCCTCCTAGTTTCTCCATCCTCTCAAAGGCTTGCTTAGTGGTCACCTTTGCTTTCTAAAACTCTTAACACCATTTGAGCACACCTGATTAAGTGAAATTTGCCACAGTAGAAAATCAGGTGGCTTACTTCCTTTGGCCAAAATGCAATAAAAATAGACATTAAAAACAAAAGGATAAACAAAATTTGATTTTGAAACCACTTGTAGGCTGATTCACATTGATGTATGGCAGAAACCAATGTAATATTGTAAAGCAGTTATCCTCCAATTAAAAATAAATTTTTTAAAAAAGAAAAAAAATGCTTGTAAATAACTCTTGAATTAAAAGCATACAGTATATAAAACACTTAATTACTGAGGAAATAATTGTCTGGTCTTCCTGTGTTAGTAATTTATCTTGAAATCTCCTTTGTTTCATTTCCAGAAGAAATTCTCAATGAGATACTTCTTCCTCACACTTTTCGTTAGAAACATCTCCTGCCATTCATGATAATTTCTGGATGTGCGTGATTTAAAAGAATATTTTCATTGCTGTATTGTTCTGATATTGCTACTTCAGTCCATTTAACCTAACAATAAAGAAAAATCTTCTGTTAAGTTACTTGAGATAGTTAACATGGCCTAGGTTAATTATTGAGTGTCCATCCCATAGATAGGCTGGAAGTCAGGAGAGTTTGGGTCAGGAGAATCATGTACCACGCCTCCTTGGAAGGCAGGTGATAGTGTTCCCATTTGACAGATGCAGCAACATATGCAGAACCAGCAAGTGAGAGAACCAAGACTGGAATCCAGGGCTGACCTTGCTGCCATCCACTGTTGCCCAGGCTATGCTCTTCTTACCAAAGGTTTCTTTCCATTAGAAAGAGAAGCACTTAATTTTTTACCAAAAGTGACAGAAACTGTTGAATATAATTGAACTTGAGCAAAACTAAACACTTCTTTTTAAAGAAAAAAAAAAAGAAGCTCATTTTATCTTTGATAAAATTAGGCTATAATTGTAACTTTTTATTGCATAATTTTACTTGTTTATTTTTGTTGCTCTATGGGCTTTTCTCAAGCTGTAGTGAGCAAGGGCTACCCTCTAGGTGCGGAGCGTAGGCTTCTCCCTGCGGTGGCTTCTCTTGTTGCAGGGCACGGGCTCTCGGGGGCACGGGCTCTCGGGCGCACGGGCTTCAGTAGTTGAGGCGCTGGGGCTCAACGGTTGCAGCTTCTGGGCTCTCGAGCATAGGCTCGATAGGCACATGGGCTTGGTTGCTCCACAGCATGTGGGGTCTTCCCAGATCAAGGATCAAACCTGTGTGTCTTTCATTGGCAGGCAGGTTCTTTGCCACTGAGCCACCAGGGAGGCCCTGTAATTGTATTTTCTACATGTTCATCCTTAGGCTAAAAAAATGCATAGTTTCCTTCATATCTTTTCTAAAAAACTACATGATTTTTTTTCAATAAGGGCATAAGTAGGGCATTTATGTAAAAATATACCAGAGTTTAAATGATTTTCCCCATAGCCTCTTAGAATCCACTGATACACATATCATTCTCCTTTGAAGTGCCTTCTATGTTCCTGTTGATTTTCCCTTCTTTAGTTCTTAATTAGTCTAACTCTCCTTCATCCTTGTTTAACTTGGTACAGTTCTACTATTCTCCAATGTAACTTTCATGGAACTCATAAAATTGCTCATCCTTTATAAGATTTGCAACTTTTTAATTTTTTTGCATTGTATATGCATTATTAATTATGTCCTGCTCTCCCTGTTACAGCATCTTAGAAACTGACCACTCTTGGTGACTTGAGGGGGGTTGATTGATGAGATTGCCTTTTCTCACAGGCGTGTTTGAATGCTTACTCATTCGGTCAGTGGTCAGTAGAGAACCATTTCGTATTAAGATGATCTTTGCTTATCTCTGTAACTTTCTAAATATGTCTCTTTAACATCAGATAACTACTGATAATGAATGCTCCAATAATGAATATCTTTCAAATGCACCTACTTTTAAAAGATTGATTATTTTTAACATTATTTGCTTACTCAGCTGCACTGGGTCTTGGTTGCAGCCTGTGGGATCTTTGTCGTGTCATGCAGGGTCTCTCATTGCTGGCACACGGACTCTCCCACTGTGGCACACGGTGCACGGTCTCAGCTGCTCAGAGACATGGGATCTTAGTTCCCTGACCAGGGATGGAACCACTGTCCCCTGCATTACAAGGCAGATTCTTAACCACTGGACCACCAGGGGAAAGTCCTTCCAATTCATTTGTTTTTGCACCCTTACTGCCACTTCCCTAATGAATAATGAAGGGTTTCTTCTCTCTCCTGGATGATTGAAACTCCTTTCCTGAGTTTTCCTAGTCCATCCTGTTCTTTAGTGAGGTTGCTGTCTTTCTAAATCAATGCTCTTCTTAAACTTAAATCTCTTCAGTAACTCTCCAGAGGGCCTTATGTTAGTCCAAATTCTTTACAGACTTGTGGTTTACTCGGCTCCTCCCGACTTCTCATTGTTCAGCTTTTGCTTCTTGACATGATCAAGTCTAGCTGAGTGATGAAGACTTTGCTCTTACTCTGCCGGGCACATCCTTGCTCCTCTCTTCCACCCTGCTTCACACTTTCCTCTCCATCCCCTTTACCCCAGTGATATTTATTCATATTTAGGTGTCAGATGTCACTTTCTCTGGGAGTCTTTCCTAACCTTTGAGGGCTGTGCTTTCTGCTCTTTTTCTGTCTTCCTGGACCGTATTGTATTCATCCCTACTTTAGTTTGTAGCCTATAGTATTTGCTCACCAGCGTCACCCTCTAGATGGTAAACTCCATGAAGAGCTGAATGAATGAATAATTTCAGCTCTTCTCTGCACTAGCATTATGACCTTTGGTGAGCCTGTAAATCTTCGTGGGTCTCAATTTCTCATCTGTAAAATGAAGAGACTCGATTAGATGACTTCAGAGAGTTCTCTCAGCTTCAAAAAATTCCGACTTCCAAAATCAAATTTCTTTCTTATGTCCATTTAATTTGTCATTGCCAAAACAAAGCTCATCAGATTTGCCTAATTAAACAATTAAAGAGTAAACAAGAGGCATTCTACTTTCTTCTTGAATGAGTGCCAGTTCTTTTGTTGCTGTTTCCTTTTTGCTGGTGGCATGAGGCCATTTTTGAATATAAGCATATTGTTCCTCAGGCACAAGCTCTTTTAAAATATGAAATGTTTGTCGTTGGCCAGGTTTCCTTTCCTCAGCACAAATTGAAGCACAATACACACGCTTTTCTCCTGTGGTATCCATTGTTAGGAATCTGCTTTTCCCCAGTAGCATTTGCTATTGGTGTGGGCTGAGAGAATGCAGTGCTTTAGAAGGGCGGTCTTACGTGGTGCTGCTTGTGGACTGAATTCCAACCAGAGATGTAACTCCTGTGATCTTGGTATATAATATATATATATAATATATAATATTACCATGCATGGGATTCTTCTTGACATTTTTTCTGCAAATTGCCAAGCCTGGGTACCGGTAATGTATGGTCGTGTCTAGGAGTGGAGTGAAGCGAGCAGTTCCACCCAGACTTTCTAGAAACTGCCTTTGCTTCCTAAAGCCCAGATTACTTTTATTTCCTTCGTTTCCATGCTTTGAAGAGTACTTTCTTCAAAGATATAATTATCTTAGCTATGTTTCCTGTGGAAAACCAAAATCTTAGTAATGGATGAATAAGTGGACATATTGTTAGTGATTATATTGAACTGTTAGCAGTATGTTGGGAATTATTTTGTTTCTGGCACTAGGACAGAACAATTTGGAAAGATTTCAGGTCTGAACTCTCTCTGTGTTGCCAAGTGTTGTTTTGTTCCTGTGCTATTGTGGGTAGCTATAGGGGGATGGAAATCATAATGGGTTGGAAGGTAGAATACAACTAGGTTGGAATATTTTCTATTTACTCGTTCTGGATCTATAGGCAGGTTGTTTAACCTCCTTTGTCACAACAAACCTCTGGTTTTTCATCAGTAAAATGGGGATAATAATTAATTCACACAAGGCTGAGGACTAAATCATCTACGCACAGAGTTTTGTAAATCACAGGTTGTTTAAACAAATTTTAGATATGTTGATACTGGAAAAAATTTCTATCTTCAAAAGTGAGAATTTGGGAGACCTCCCTGATGGTCTAGTGGTTAAGACTTCATGTTCCCAATGCGCAGAGCACAGATATGATCCCTGGTTAGGAAACTGAGACCCTCCATGCCACACGGCTTGGCCAGAAAATAAAAAAAAAAGAATTTTATATTGGTTGATGCTACCCCAAGATAGGGTTGGCTTTCTTATGACCTAATGAATTCCTCTTAAATGGACTATTTGAATGTTCTCTGTAATATTGTGAGTCTGTAATTCAGTGATACTTCACTGGTGAGAGGGCGTGCTGAATCAAGGCTTCTGGGTAACTCTCATCCAGGGCCGGTGTATACCTATAGCTGTGTAATACCCCAAGACTTAGCAGCTGAGAACAGCCATCACCCGTTATCTCAGTTCCTCTTGGCAGGATTCCGGCTGCCGCCCAAGTGTTCTGGAGGGGTGTCTCCCGTGGCTGCAGTCCTTGCCAGGCTGCCGGGGTTGGATCTGCTCACCTGAGTGCTTCAGAAGATGTGTTCCCAAACTCACCTCCGTGGTCTCTTTCTGGGGCTGCTTCACTTCATGGCAGTGGTTTCTTTCAGAGTTAAAGAAAACACGCAGAAAAGAAGCCAGCCTGTTCTTGTTTTAAACTTTTTTATTTAATTTATTTTTTCCTGCACTGGGTCTTTGTTGCTGTGTGCAGGGTTTCTCTAGTTGTGCAAGCGAGGGATGCTCTGCAGTCCGCGGGCTCCTCGTTGCGGTCGCTTCTCTCGTTGTGGGGCACAGGCGCACTAGTTGTGGTGCACAGGCTTAGCTGCCCCATGGCATGTGGGATCTTCCCGGACCAGGGATCGAACCCATGTCCCCTGCATTGGCAGGCGGATGCTTTATCACCGGACCGTCAGGGAAGTCCCGAGAAGCCAGTCTTTTGTAACCTAGTCTCAGACGTGGCAGGCCATCACTTCTGTGTTCTCTTCCTCAGAGGCAGATCAGCAATTCCTGCCCACATTTGGGGAAAGGGGAGACCCTAGGTGTGAATTCCAGGAGGCAAGATCTCTGGGGGGTCATCTTGGAGGCCGCCTCCTGCAGTTGGAGTTCATGTAGCCTTTGTGTGGTAAAGTGGTGTGGGGTAGATCTGACTTTCCAAGTCTCATTTTGTAATTCCAAGTTACATCTAGTTATTTTTAATGCTGTCAAGGGAAAGTCAGTTTTTGAATTGGTTGGAGCCCATTCTAAAACTCATTTATTTAGTTAGCAGTTGTGTACAATGGAGATGAATATCTTTTTATTTTTTAGCACCCTTGTCTGAACTCTAGAAGTGGTTGTACAGAACTTGAAGCCTGTTTTAGTAGTGTTTGAAGTGCTGTCAGAGGGAATAAGATGTACCTTCAATGTATCTTTTGTTTAATAAGACCGTAATTATTCCTTATGTTTTTTTAAAAAAAAGGTACAAGGAGCTCAATAGCTTGTAACAGCGCCACTTTCTGAGACATCATTTAAGCTTCATAGACATTCCGGATACATGGTGTTATGGAATAGACTGTAGGCAATCATTCTTTGATCAAATGCTATTAGAATTGTTCAGTTCTTCTCAGGGAGATTTTGCAGGTATTTAAGGAAGCATCCTTTTTTATTCTGAGCAGTCTGCTGACCTATGGTATCATGTTGCCTGTTAAAAGATGACAAATTGACTTAGAATGAATTTTTGTCAAACTGAAATAAAAGGGGGCTTCTTTGTATTAATATTTCCCTGTTCTTTCTCAAAAACCAAAGCTCCTTTTTGCAGAAAAGTAGCTTGCCAAAGAAGAAAAAGCAAGGGCTGGGAGTCAGGTCACCTGTATTTAAGTCCTGGCTTTGCCCTTAAATCTGTTTTTGACCTGGGGACATTATCTCACCATTTCTGACTTCAGCGTTCCCGTATGATGCTTTCTTCCAACTTGAAAATGCTATTCAATTTCTCTTCTGCTCCAGGACAGCCTTGGGGGTAACAGCAAGACTGCCATGGTAGCTACTGTGAGCCCTGCAGCTGACAACTATGACGAAACCCTTTCAACCTTACGGTATGCGGATCGTGCCAAGCACATCGTGAACCACGCCGTGGTGAACGAGGATCCCAACGCACGAATTATCCGGGATCTCCGGGAAGAAGTAGAAAAACTCCGTGAGCAGCTAACCAAAGCGGAGGTATAAGGCCTAGCTGAGCCACGCCTGTGGGTCTAGGAAAATCTAGTAAAGCTAGAACCTGAATTGTCTTCCCCTTGGGGCCTAAATGATGAATATTCGACTCAGAATTTTTGGATTTCCTATAGGAAGAGAAATTTGAGATGAGTAATAAAGGAAGACTGATAAATTGTCATGGTTGAAATTTAAATAGTTTTTACAGGTGTTAAAGGATTGACTAGAAGGAGAGAGTCAAGGTAACTGAGAAAATATTTCTTTGCACTGAATAGGTGACAGACAAGAGAGAAGCGGTAGAGTAGGTGGGGGAGAGAGGTGCTTGGAAAAAAGCAGATACAACTTAATATAGTGCAGCACATGGTGGCCAGTGGGCATAGGCTGATTAGAAGAGGCATCAAATAGATTTTTGTAGAATCATATGTTTGCAGGTCGAAGTCCAAACAGAAATACTATGGTCTTGCACAGTATAGTAATCTAGTTTTTTCATGTTATGGGTTAATTATATTCATAAGAAAAAATATTCTAGAGCAGAGAAGTAGCCATCTTTTTAATAGTGCTCTGTGTCACTATCCTTTGTATTAAAACATGCTATAGTATATAGTTCTGTTACTGAATTTGAAGCCTACACAATTCTAATCACAGATCTTTTTTAGTTTTTTAAAAATCTGTTGAAGTGTAGTGTGTTTACAGTGTTGTGTTAATTTCTGCTGTCCAGTATAGTGATTTAGTTATTTATGTTCTTTTCCATACTCTCTTCCATTATGGTTTGCATAGGATATAGTTCCCTGTGTTCTACAGAGGGACCTTGTTATTTATCCATCCTGTATATAATGGTTTCAAATGCTTATCTTTTTATCAAAAGTGGGATAAAATGTCAGATTCAAGATCCCTATTTTAATGAGCATTTTTGTTCCTATGATTTCCCAGCCTGTGGGATTCTTTCCTGGACCTGGGACCATAACCTCTTCTTTCTCATGACCATCAGTAAATTACATGGTCAAAATAATTATCTTGATTGTATTTTTTGCCTGTTGAATCTTACTCTGTTTTTACAGGAATAATTTTACAGTTCATCAAGATTCTTTGAAATTTCTTTCTGTCTTCCTGGTATAATAATGCCATCCAGTTTGTAGCATGTACATATTTAGTCTGTGTATCCTTGAATACATACCCAAAGACATCAGTGAAGGCTAGGATGAATCACGTGTCTTGAGTCTAGACCTACTGGGATTTAAAAAAATAAGTCCTTGATAGTTCGAACTCTCTATCTCCCTAATTGTAGTTAGACCTCAAAGTAGCAATAGGGGAGAGGAAAAGGAAGACGTCAAGTCTTCGTTCAAGCGCACCGGGCAACCAGATGAGTCTGTGACCCACAGTCTGGATGTGCGGGTCAGTGACGGTCCTTGTGTCATAGGTGGGTCAGGAGCCTCAGCGAGCTATAGAGCTTCGAGGAGGCACGTTGTTCCTCTGGTCCTCTTGGGTTTAGTGAAGGTATCCTTCTTCCAGGACATCGTGCAGCCATTTCATGAAACAAACATTTTGCTTGTAGGCAATGAAATCTCCAGAGCTGAAAGACCGACTGGAAGAGTCAGAGAAGCTAATCCAGGAAATGACTGTGACCTGGGAGGAGAAACTAAGGAAAACCGAGGAGATAGCCCAGGTTCGTGATTCCTGCTTAAGGAGAGAGAAACCTTGTAGTAGCTTGTGCAGTGCAATGCTGAGTATGTTTCTGGTTCCCCTTTTAAAAAAATTTATTTTTAATTGAATCATAATTGCTTTGCAGTATCCTGTTGGTTTCTGCCAAACATCAGCACAAATCATCCATAGGTGTCTATGTGTTCCCTCCCTCTCAAACCTCCCTCCCATCTCTGTCCTCATCCCACCCCTCTGGAGTGTTACAGAGCACCAGGCTTGAGTTCCCCTGAATCACACAAAAAATTCCCATTGGCTATCTATTTTATATATGGTAATGTATGTTTGACTTTTAGCTTTGAATGTAGCAAATCTAGCAATTCAGATTTGTTTATTTAAAAAAAAAAAGCTGTTTGGCTTCGCTGAGATTTTGTTGCAGCCTGCAGGATCTTTAGTTGTGGCATGTGGAATCTAGTTCCCTGACCAGGGGTTGAAAACACATCCCCTGCATTGGGAGGGCGGAGTCTTAGCCACTGGGCCACCAGGGAACTCCCAAGTTGATTTAAATAAGACCTAAATCCAGGAGTCTGTACTTCACAAAGTTAATTTGAAGTTTAAAAGTATTCATTATGTAAGAAGTACATTTGTAGGGCCATAAAAATTTTTAAATGATATAACTAGCCACTGGCTGTGAACACCCATTTCTGTTAAATGCTTTGCAAACCTCAGAAACTTAGCCAGCTATAAAATTATTAGTAGTGGATATTTAGGCTGTGAGCTCCTTGCTTCCTTCCATATGACAAGTCAGTAAAAAGTAACAATGAAGTACCTAAGTCCCAAGTGACTGTGTCTCATTTTTAGACCATTTACTATAGAGCTGTGAAATCTTCCAGTGGGAATATTAGCATTTAGAGAAAATCCTAAAATGTCCAAGTCTCTGCTTCTTAAAGATTTACTCTATGGCTTTCCTGTTAGAGGCTTATTTAGCCTGTTTTAGAAATACTAATATATATGATAATGTGGAACACAGTACTACAGTGAACAATCATTTCATGATTGGGCATCTCTGATGGTAGTAGCTATTGAACCGAAATCTTCTATTCTTCCATTTTTGCTCGCTGGCCTTAGTTTGTTCTTCCAAAGCTAAGAGAATAAGCCCACTTGTGCACAGTAACTAATAATAACAATAATAACCAGCACTTATTGAGTACACTTAGATGTTGCACCTGATGCTAAGCACTTAAAAAAATTTTTTTTATTTTGTATTGGGGTGTAGTCGACTAACAAACAATGTTGACTAAGCACTTTAAAATACAGTATTTTATTTAATCCTCCCAATAGCCCTGCAAGATAGGGCCTGTTATTACCCAGATATTTAAAATCACCTCTGTCTCCTTCCTTCCTTTGCTAAAGTTAAATCTCTGGTGTTCACTGTTCCTGGTATTCATGAATGTATAGAACTGTTACTCCTTTCATTACTCAGCAAGTTCTAACTCTCAGTGTACTTCCAGAATCAATGGATAGATTAGATGTAGTAGGACAGTACTACTCTTATGTAGGATAAAGTGGATGTTAGATTTATATTAGTGCACACTAGGATTTAAGTTGATTTTTAAACATTTTTATTACAGTCCTTTTCAAAACAGATGAGAACATGAGTATAATAAACCCACACATACCCAGTACCCAATTTCATTAAAGGTCAACATATGACCACTCCTGTTTTATCTGTATCCCTGCACGGGGTTATGTGAAAGCACATCCCTCACGTTACACAGAGAATACACCGGTGTATGAGCTTTATTTCTCATTACACATTTATCTTTGTTTGTCATAGGTTAGGTCATTCTGATAACTGTCCGATTTGGGACTCATGTATGCGAGCCTTTCTGAGCTACTCTGCAGTAAGACCTCGACTCTGAAGTGCTGTTGTACGTGGGTTGCCTGGTCTGATGTGCAGCAGGGCGGGTCTCAGGGACAGTGCAGTGTGGTGGGACTTTCCTGCAGCATCTTTTCTTCCCTGAGTGTCCTTTCTCACCGCCATATGCCCCTTTTGCAGACGGCCTGGTGTTTATCGAACACCGCATTCAACACCTCATCTTCCCCGGCTTCAGTGCTTCCAGCTGTCTTCTCCTCTGTCGCTGGTTTATTGGTCATCAGCCTCTTTGCAGTACAGATTAGTTTTCCCTAAAATGTGTTTCTGGCTGTATATCCACCAACTGTTAATAAATCTTTTGGGGAGAAAAGAAATGGTACATGGTCAGGTAGCTTTGGGGAAATCTGGGTGAACTGAGTCAAATGGACTTCTCTTGGTAAGAACTTTCTGGGAGTCTGTTCCAAGCCAGCCAGGCTCTCTGGCAGTCCTCTGTGTTCTGTGGCATCTTCGTCTGGCGCGCCAGCCCCCAGAGCTTATTCCTGACATTGAATCCTGTGGAACCTCTCTATACTCTCCTGACTCTTAATTCATGTGATTTTTGTGTGTGTGTGTGTATACTTTTATTATCTAATGAGTTTATAAAATTCTCAAGGAAAAAAGCAATATCTTTTCGTTTTTTTCTTTTAATATTTATTTTTATTTATTTGGTTCAGCCAGGTCTTAGTTGCAGCATATGGGATCTTTAGTTGTGGATGTGGGGTCTAGTTCCCCAACCAGGGATTGAACCTGCGTCCCCTGCGCTAGAAGCATGGAGTCTAGTCACTGGAGCACCAAAGAAGTCCTCCTTTTAGTTTTTGAAAGTATGTGCTCAGTAATATTTTTGATTAAATAATTTGAAATCAAAGTTGACTGATTTCTCAGCCCAGTGCCATATATTTGATACCAAATTCTTTAATTTCCATCTTTTATGTTCTCAGTAAAGAAGTGTACATTTTAAGTGAGATAGATCAGGGGTTAGCAAACTAAGCCCTTGGGCAAAACCTGGACTGTCACTTCTTTTCATAACTGTTTTTATTGGAATGTGCCATGCTTATTTGTTTTAGTATTTTTTATGGCATTAGCAGAGCTGAATAGCTTGTGACAGAGACCACTGAACCCAGATGACTAAAAGAACTGTTTGACATTTTATAGAAAAAGTTAAGTAGTCTCTGATATCAGAAGCAATACATAGTAAATGTCACTATATTTGATCATATAATACTTGTTTATTCTTGGAACTGACTCTTAGATGTTGCAAACTTTTGTAGTTTATTAATAATTAAAAACTTCGAGTCTGTTTTTTGGTGGTAGATGTAACAGTGAATTGATGGGTTTTCAATGTTGTGCCCTTCAGTTTAAACAAAGATTTTATGGTATTTCTACCGTTATAAAGTCTCAAAAGATAGGAAAATGCTTAAGGAAGTAGGGTAAAGCAGTGATTTACTATATTATCTCATTTAAGTCCTATCTTTTCCCTCTCTCTTGAGTGACTTTACCTTTGTTAAGTCATACATTGTTTTTCAGGCTTACCTTTGCCTCTCTATGAATGAAAATTTTGCTACTAGACGACAGTAATGAAATTTCTTCTAAATTTATAATTATTTCCATAGTGGAAATTACTGGAGGCCTCAGGGAACTCAGGGCTTCCTTGTGGTTCAGCTGGTAAAGAATCTGCCTGCAATGTGGGGGACCTGGCTTCGATCCCTGGATTGGGAAGATCCCCAGGAGAAGGGAAAGGCTACCCACTCCCGTACTCTGGCCTGGAGAATTCGGTGGACTGTATAGTCCATGGGGTCACAAAGATTTGGACATGACTGAGTGACTTTCAGGGAACTCAAACCAGAGTTCTATCAACCTAGAGGGGTAGGATGAGGAGGGAGATGGGAGGGAGGTTTAAGAAGGAGGGGATGTATGTATACCTATGGCTGATTCATGTTGATGTTTGGCAGAAACCAACACAATACTGTAAAGCAATTATCCTTCAATTAAAAAATAAATAAAATGAAATCCCTAGAGCCCTAAGAAGAATGTAAGTAAAAGGAACTGTGTATTGCAAAAGTAGTATTTACTTACAGAAAATACAGAAAGATTATTATGAAGAAAATTTAACTGATCCAGTCATTCAAAGAAAGCTACTGTTAACGTCTTTGTGGTTTCTTCCAGGTTTTTCCAGTGCACAGATCGATGTACTAGCTACACTCTGCATTTTAAATTTAATGTTAGTTCATGAGTGTCTACCCATTTCATTTGTAGTTTAAAAAATATATATATTTTTACAGAAAAATGTTTCTTCTCATTATTGGAATTACTTTTTAATCACACCAATATCCCCATGTATTTAAAAGAGGTTTCCCTCAGAAGGGACTATACAAGCTGTATTAGAATTGCTTTCTTCATTTTAGGAACATGGTTCTTTATCAAGAATAATAATTTTCTTTGGATTGAATGCTGAAAACTAATGGCTAGTGTTAAATGACTCAGAACTTCTGAAAGAACCCAGTAATGGTTTTTTGTTAGAAAAGAGACTGAATTCAAAGGCCCAGAACCAAAATAGCCCATTCTGTGCCTTTGCAATAGTATTCTAGGAGAGATTGTTTGGGTTGCAGTGGCTGTATAAATTAGGAGGTTGTGCCTAGAATAGCAAAATTCTAAGCCTGAAATTTAATTATCCTGCAGCCTTACTGTGTGGCCCTAGTTAAATAACACAGCTTGCCTTGCCTTTTGTCAGAATCAAAGGTTCTTGATGACTTGTTCCTATTTGCTGTGTGTACACGGTCAGACACCTTGCTCTGCCCTGATCTGTGTACGTTAGTAGCAGAGGCTCGGTTGCAGGATTCACATGTGTCTCCCTGTGTGCACACATGTATGTTGTATGGATTCAGAGACCGGTAGGCACAGAAAGGAAAGGTCCATGTTCTTTTGCAAATAGGGCTTTCCTGAATATGCAGATTTTATTTAGAAAAATTCACAACACTGGCGATTTGAGTGCTCTTGTGTGTTACACACTCTGTGAGGTGCTAGGAATCCCCAGTGGGGAGAGAGGGTCCCTGCCCTCACAGAGAAATGATGGAGTAAGAAGTTACCAGGTTTGAGAACAGATGTGCTTCAGCTAGGAGGAACAGGTGTAAAATCCCTTAAGCTAGGGAGAGTGTTGTTGAGACTCTAGGGTCTTGGAAGATGCCCCCATTAACTGTGTATAGTTGAGGGGTGACAGGACATGACCTTGGGGTCAGTGGGTCAGACTGAAGGGCCTGTGGCCTTGTTGAGGGAGTTCGGCTGTCATCCTTGCTGGGGACCTGCCAAGTGGATTAAATACTTGGCTTTTTAGGAAGATCACAGTTGAATAGAAAACACGTACATTTGTTCATATATAAAGAATTAAATGAGAAAGATGAATTCAGGATGTTAGATATTTTCAAGAATGAAAAGTGAGGGCTTAGTATATTTGGTGGTGATTTGTAATTGGCTTTACTTTTATAGTAAGTTTTACTTCACAAAGCAACATTAGAGTTTGTTCTCATTCTCAACTATAGAGTTTATATAGTTTAGAAAGAGGACAAATGCAGTCGTCTATATGATACCATATCCAAAGATAACATATTTGAATTATAAAGTTATTTCATAGTTACCATCATATATGACGTTTTATAGCTTGCTGCCTCAATAGCTGTGGAATTAATACTTCTCTAATGCGTTTACAGGAGCGACAGAAACAGCTTGAGAGTCTTGGAATCTCTCTTCAATCGTCTGGAATTAAAGTTGGGGATGATAAATGTTTCCTCGTTAATCTGAATGCTGATCCTGCTCTGAATGAACTTCTGGTTTATTACTTAAAGGTGAGGTCGTAGGCTTGTCTACTGTCTTCTGCCATGAAATAGAGCAGTATTTCATAGTATCATTTCTTTATACTCGGAGAACCATGCGTATTCAAAAAGAATGAGTTAGCAAATTGTTTTTGTTTGCTTCAGTTGCAGTGTAGAAGAATCTTGGGTTTCTGAGACCAGTCTCTCTTTTTCGTCTTTGAGTGATGTAAATATATTTTTCAACCTAGTAAATATGAAAAATGGTATTCTGATATTATCTCCAACAAATTAAGTAGCTTGACTTCTGTCCTTTAGTGTGATTAAAGCAAGGAGTTAAGTGGATAGCTTGAGCTTAAAGAACGACTTGTAAACTAAATGGTTTCATTGGTAGACTGAAGCTTTTGTGGTTTCTGTGAAGCACACGTTTTGGTGAGTGGTCCTGGTTTGCAAGAGGAAATGTTCTTAAAAAGTAATTAGGACCACTTGACTTGAAAATTTGTGTTTCCAGTAACTCTTAAGAAAGTTAAAAATTAACTCTTAGGAAAGTTAAACATTTTGAATTGTCAGCTTACAAAAAGAAGAGTAAGTCACTTAGAGGCGGAGAGGGTCAGAGCCTGGAGCAGAAGAAACCAAATATACAGAAATATATATACATTCTATATATGTATATAGTCATGTACATTGAAAGCTATATAGGTTGTTGTACATAACAGGAAGATGAGACAACTTTAGGATAAACATGAATCAGACACTATAGAAATTATGAGGTGTTCACCAAAATTGCCAAGCCTAGAACATAGATGAGTTACTCTGACATGCAGTTAATAAATACTAGGTGGGGAATTTTCCTCTCATAATACAGGAACTATCTCTGAGGGTTTAACTGAGTTAGTGACTGGGACAGCAAAGATGTGAGCTGGTACAGTTGGAAGCACTGTGAGAATTAGAGATTTGTGTCCTTTCATTTCGAAAGAGACTGAAGAATTCATGACATGTTGGCTGGTTTCCCAGTTTTTATCAGACATGTCTGGGGTAATTGCTTTGTAGTATTTTGATAAGGCCCTGCTATTCCTAAGTATCTCGTATCATGTTTTATTACTCTGTGCATTAAGTCGAGTCTCTAATGCCTATGCTCCTGTGAGCATGCTCAGGTGCTGTGGGCAGTGGGAGGGAGATGCGCCGAGTTTCTGGTCCAGCACCACTTTCTTGACAGCCGTTTTTCTCTCAAGGTCTTTACCCCCGCAGTCTACCGATTCCTCCTCTATAAATGGAAGTTTTCTCTGTCTGGCTACCTCACAGGCTTCCTGGAGGCTTAAATGGGAGTTGACCTATAGAAGCATTTTATAAACGGAAGCCCTGCTGACATATACCTTCTCCCACTTTCCAGTTTCTCACTTGATCCTCTGGTACTTTACTATATCACTCTTGTCCTTTGGGAAAAAACGACGGATTGGCACATCTCCCGCTGTGCTGCTAACAGCATTGGCAGGTGTCTGTGTTAGACTTTCAGCTGGGGATACTCATGCAGTATTCGTATGGGACTTAAGCAGTTTGCCTTTTACATCTTCAGAACTGTGAATTCTTTTTCTCTTCTGACGTGATGTTCAACTCAGAACACACAAACACGTACACTCAATATGAAAAAAAAAAACCCCAATTCCTATCTGTTCCTTCACTAAAAAGTTACACAAAGAAACTATTTAAAGACTGTTGGAGGGCAGTCAAAATATTTCTGGCCATCTTGTGAGGAGGTGTTGGGCTTCTGATGCAGACTGTGTGGTCAACCCTGCTTTGGCCAAGTCTGAGGCAGTGTTGGTTTCTTACTCCCCAGGCTACACCCATGACAAGAGTATATTCATGACAAAGCACATTCAACAGGATGACCTCCGTCCAAGAACAGTTTCTGCTTCAGTAAAGTGATACCATTATGTGGGATGGAGGAATTTAGAGGCCGAGCGGTTTTTGTTTCTCTGCTTTCACATTCCCATGTCAGTGTAAATGCTGGGCAGATGACTTCACATCACTGGGTGACTTTGAGCACCCCGTCTGTGAAATGAGGCCACTGGATTAAATTACCTCTAACATTCTTTCTACTTCCAAGTTGAATGGTTCTCTTCCAGAGCAGAATCCTCTCTTTATCTGTTCTGTCTAGAACTGGCAGAAGTAAGGTATGGTGGCCAAACTCTAAGCAGAACGTAACTCATGGGGTCTTTTTGCATCTTATTTATATAGACAGGCAGCTCTTGTGTGGCATGGTTCCAGCCTCCACAGATTCCAGTTGACATGATTTAGGGAATAATGTTGACATAGCGGGCATTCATACGATTCTAGATGCACAGCCAGAGGAAGTTAGTGAAGGTGAGCTTACGAATGTGAATGATGAAAGTGGTTGTGACGAGAAGAATGCAGATGTCGCGAAGGATTAGGGTTAAACCAAAGAGCACGTCATGTGAGAGGAACTCTTGGAGATACTTCACAACATTGAAAGCTCAAAGGATAAAGTGGGAGAGGCATAAAGGAGTATGGCAGTGCACCAAGGCGTAGAAAATATTCTCACTGCATGTTGTAAGTTATATGCTGAGAAGAAAAAGGGAAGCACTGCTCCAGCTACACTCAGGAAGCCTTACACATGATGTCTGCTTGTTTATTTTTGGCTGTGCCGGGTCTTTGTTACTGCTGGACGTTCTTCTCTAGTTGCAGCAGGCAGGAGCTCCTGTCTAGCTGCGGTACACTGGCCTCAATTGTGGCGGCTTCTCTTGTTGCAGCGCACGGACTCTCGAGCACAGGCTCCGTAGTTGTGGCTCATGGGCTTGGTTGCTCCCAGGCATGTGGGATCCTCTTAGACCAGGGATCAAACCTGTGTCTCCGGCATTGGCAGGTGGACTCTTTACCAACGAGCCCCCAGGGTGGCCCTCGATCAGCTTTTAACAAAAAAATAAAATGCTTTCCATTTTAGTGTTTCTAATATTCTAAATGACACTGTACTAAATAAATATTAGTTTCATTGTTTTTTCATTTCCCTCTATGTTATAGCAACAAGAGAATTCTGCATATTTTTACAGTTTTAATTGTCACAGAATTATTGCCATTTTCCCCATGGATGGTTAAGATCTCCTTGCTCACTTATTTTTTACAGTCCTGCTTTTTTGTGCAAAGCGAGGCCGGCCTGATAAGGCTGAACGGCCATACAGAGTGTGTGCATATGCTGTTCTTCCTGCTCGCAGGGTGGGAAAAGCCTTCGTGTGAAGTATGCCACTCTGTACTTCTCTCTTTTTGGACTTCGTTGATCAAAGGGATTGTAACCTCAAATGAGACACTTAAGTCGTCATTTATAATGTAAGCTGTACATTTGGGATCATGTCTATCTTTTATCTTTCGTGGCACAATGCCTAGCTCAATGTAATATTTGTTGAAAAAAGAAATAGTGTTCCTTCTGGAATTTGGATTAGACCGTTGCTGTTTGGGGACTTCCCTGGTGGCTCAGTGGTAAAGATTCTGCCTGAAGTGCAGGAGACCCAGGTTCCATCCCTGGGTTGGGAAGATCCCCTGGAAAAGGAAGTGACAACCCACTCAGGTATTCTTGGCTGGAGAATCCCATGGACGGGAGCCTGGCAGGCTACAGTCCATGGGGTCAAACAGTCAGACACGCCTGGAGCAACCTGGCACAACAACTCTGCTGTTTAGTGTCTCACCTCTGATGGTTTTGTTTTTAATTCAGTTTATCCGCTGATACTGAGCAGCATCCACTGTGTATCACGGACTCTGCTTGTTGTTGAAGATGCAGGAGTCCTGTATAGGTTGCTGCCTAAATAGCGGGAAAACAACACTTATATGATAGTAAATTGAGGTGCTGACTCTAGATGTAGTTGGGGGTTCAGAGAAGGGAGAAGTCAGGGTAGGCTACTAGTGAAACCTGCAAGGAGAAGAAGAAGCAGAAGTAAGTGCTGAAGATATTAATGTTTTGTGTCTGGGTGAAGAGAAGAGAGAGCATTTGGGGCAAAGAGAACAAAAGCAGGGGCAGAGACGTGTGGGTGAACCCGTGTGCAGTCTTGGGGTGCGGCAGCTGGAGGTGGTTCTGCTTCACACTCCAGTCTCAGGGGTAGTTCATAGCTTCTGCTTTTTGTCCCTAAGGACAAAAAGGCTTCCACAGTCACAGGATTCTTGCTGGAATTTCTCATAGGAGGAGGAAAGGGATTGTATGTAGAAATAGCCTAAGCCAAGGGCTTTGGCGGGGGTGTCTTTGTTTTTTTAAGTGATCTCAGGCTCTTTTACTCTTTAGACTCTCTGTCTCTCCCTTTGGAACTTCTCTCCACCTTGTAGTGGGTGTGTTAAGACAGAGGAAAGATGGGAGATGAGTGTGGAATGGATTCCTTTGGCCTGCTACTGAACGTCACTAAAGCATTCCTTGTAGTTGACACCTGGTCAAGCCCCCTTCTCTGGGTTAGGAAGGTCAATCCAGGGATTGACCAGGAAGCCTCAGTCAAAATCGAGGAGTAGACATTGGCCTGGAGTGTCCCTGTGTTTCTCATATATATCCCCTGAGAACTGAACTGGATACCGGAACGCAATTCTGATCCCAGCTCTTTGTTTCCTTGGAAACTGCACTGCAGTGCACTTGAGAGAGGAAGCCCCCAGAAGAGGGAAAGTGAGAATGATGGAAGGGAAGAGGCCTGTTTGTTAGATTGGGGTCCCAGAAGAGATGGGAAGAATTGGGACCAAGAGTGTAATTAGAGGCCTTGTGGACAGAGGAGAGGAGAGAATCACCTTCCGCTGAATCCGAGGAGGATGCTAAGGGAAATGGTTGTTCATTTATCTATCTTTTGTTTTTACTTAATGGCTCAATGTAGCAGGTCTGTGTTACATGCTTGGAATATAGTGGTGAGGCGGTAGGTTGCAGGACAGGCTGCCTTCTTCTCTCTCAGAGTTTCCTCGCTAGCTGTGGAGATGGACACTAAACCCACAGTCAGTCAGTGCTATATAAGGGATTCAGGCATGAGAGTAAGATGGTGGTTCTTTCTCATTGTCAGTTCAGTATACACCTCTCTGAGGAAGTGCCCTTAAAAGCTGAGATGGAAATGATCAGAAACTACCAATATCACCGTCAGGGGAGGAACTCTTCAGGCAGAGGAAGCGGTTTGTATGCTCAAAGAATGGATGAAAGGCCTGTGTGGGTGGATCATGCTCCAGGAGAGGCAGAGTGCTGGGAGCTGGGATAGAAGAAGTAGCCAGGGGCCAGATCACAGGAGGTTTGTAAGCCTGGGTAAGAATTTGAACTTCCTAGAGGTTCAAAGGGAAGCCACTAGCTGATTCTTAGTAGGGGGATCGTGTGATCAGCTCTTGAAGGTGGAAGTAGGTGGGGTGGGGTGGGAAGGAGGTGGAGAAACAGTAGAAGGCTCTTACATTCACCTGGGCTTCCCTGGTGGCTCAGCAGCCAAGAATCTGCCTGCCGGTTTGAAACCAGGAGACTCAGGTTTCATCCCTGAGTTGAGGAGATCCCCTGGAGAAGGAAATGTGAACCCACTCCAGTATTCTTGCCTGGGAAATCCCATGGACAGAGGAGCCTGGCAGGCTACCATCCATGTCGCCAAGAGTTAGACCCAACCTAGCAACTCAACAACAACAACAACACAATATTCACCCAGGGAAGAGACTAGGATGTGATGTGGAGATGGGAAGTGAGCTGAGTCTTGATACGTGTCAGAGGGAGAGTCAGAGGATTTTGTGATTGACTTGGGGCTGGAAGTAGGCTGGTAAGACGGAGAGAAGACTGCAGGATAGCGTCTGAGCTGTTTCACTTGAGCAGCTGGGTGGTGGTGGTCCCATTGGTATTGGGGAAGGGAATAGACTCAATGGGGTGGTGAGGGGTGGAAGCAAAAGTTCTGCCCTGGCCCTTTAACTTTGAGATTTCGTTAAACATCCAAATTGTACCAAGTGGGCAAGAAATAATGGTGACTGCGACTAGGACAGAGGTGGTGGAGGTGGGAAAATGGTGGAACTAAAGTCTGTAGTTCCTGGTTGGTGATTTTAGATAGATAGGTAGAGACATTGATACATAGTTAAAGCCTGTTGGACTGGATGAGATCATTGTGGCCAATGGATAGCAACTTACTTCCATGGGTTAAATCTTGCCCCCTGCTTGTTTTCCTATGGCTCAGGAGCCAAGAGTAGTGTTTGCATTTTTTAAAACTTTAGGGAAAAAAATCAAAAGAGTCATAATATTTTGGACATGTGAAAATTGTATGAAGTTCAGATTTCAGTGTTCATAAGTAAAGTTTTATTGGGAAGTAGCCGTACATGTGCTTTTGTGTATTGTCTGGCTGTTTTCACACTATAGGGCAGAGTTGAGTAATTGTGTATGACTCTCAGAGCCTGAAGTATTTCATGTCTGACCCCTGATCTAGGATCTAGGTGTACAGGAGAAGTGGGCTTAGGGACGGATCCCAGTCTTACCAACATTTAAGTGCGGTCAAAAGTTGAAGCACAGAAGAGGGGGCTCGATTTTTATGTCCGTTTTTTTTTTTTTTTTCCAATTACTTGTCAAAAAGTGACCCTGGTGATTGGGGCTTAGAGAACTGAGAAGTTGGGGGTATACAGTAAGAAGAATGCATCTGCTGTTTCTTTTACGAGGTCTTGGGAGACCATATGATTTACAAAATAACTCAGCCTCCTTGTACTTGAATAGCTCTTTATCTTTGTCAGTTCATCTTGACTGAGACCAGTAGGTGATGTACAACCTGGGTAACTGTAGTTCTCAGATCCGTGTTTTTGGTACGTCATTGGCGCATCCTCTGTCATCCCCTTCTGCTGCCCTCAATCTTTCTCAGCATCGGGGTCTTTTCCAATGAGTCAGTTCTTCACATGAGGTGGTCAAAGTACTGGAGCTTCAGCTTCAGCATCACTGACGCAATGGACATGAATTTGAGCAAGCTCCAGAAGTTGGTGATGGATGGGTGAAGGACAGTTGGCGTGCTGTAGTCTGAGGGGTTGCAAAGAGTCAGACATGACTAAGCAACTGAACTGAATTGACATGTGGTTCAGGCTTTGAAGTCAGATAGAATATTTTGAATCAAGATTGCAGTGGAAAATAAAGAATGTAGTATAGCCATTAATATAAACCTATAGTTTTTAGGTTTAAAAGTTATGTAACTCAATTCAGTGCCTTATTCCTTATAAGGAAATACAGCTTGTATAATGAATTTAAGAGAAAGCCAGGAATTCCCCCTGCTATTCCATTTGCTTTAAAGATCTTTTAGCTAAGGTCATGGGTAGACAGCTGAGAGTATAAGGTAATATACTAGAGCAGAGAGTAGACAGTTTCAGTTTGTGTACATGCAAGAATGCAGTATTAATCAGTGAATTCGATTCTTTTACAGGAACATACACTGATAGGTTCAGCAAATTCCCAAGATATCCAACTGTGTGGCATGGGAATTCTCCCTGAACATTGTATCATAGACATCACACCAGAAGGCCAGGTTATGCTGACTCCTCAAAAGAACACCAGGTAATGTACTTCATTTAGTGTTGATGTCACAGTAATTTTTAAGAGGGAGAAAGTACACTAACTGAGGGTGGTATAAGGTCCTTTGGCCTTGTTTTTGGCTTTTACGTTCACTTAATGAAGATAGTTAGTTACCAAGTCCTTAGTAGTTAACTTGTTTTTCTTTTTTCACGTTTATTTTTAATTGGGGAGAAATTGCTTTACAGTGTTGGTTTCTGCCATACAACAGTGTGAATCAGCCTTAAGTGTACATATATCCACTCCTTCTGAACTTTCTGCCAGCACCCCACCCCAGCCCACCCCCTGGGTTGCCACAGATCAGGGAGCTGCGGCCCCTGTATTATTCAGCGGCTTCCCACCAGCTCTCTGTTTTACACATGGTGATGTGTATGTTTCCATGCTACTGTCTCAGTTTGTGCCGCCCTCTCCTTCCCACGCTGCGGCCACAGGTCTGTTCTCTGTGTCTCCATCGCTGCCCTGCAGATAGGTTCGTCAGTACCATTTTTCTGGATTCCATAAATGTGTGTTAATGTGCAGTGTTTGTTTTTCTGACATTCTTCACTCTGTGTAACAGGCTCTCGATTAACTTTTTAATATCACTTAAACTCATCCTTCCTCTCTGTACATACTAACGTCACCTTATTTAAGTAAGGCCTCCGTCAAATCTTTTTTTTTTTACCATGCTGTGCGTGACTTGTGGTATCCTAATTTCCCGACTAGGGATCGAACCGAGGCCCCGGGAAGTGGAAGTGCAGAGTCCTAACTGTTAGACCATCAGGGGATTCCTCCCTGCCCCCCAATCAAATCCTGCTTGGAATCCCTGCCAGCAGCCTGATCTTCTTTCTGGTCCCTGCTGCATGTATCCAGATGGCTTTTGGCTCTTCCTGATACAAAGTTCTTTACGCCCCTCCTATTCATCTCCTCTTCCTCTGCAGCTGCTGTTCCTCTGGCCAGCTAACTCCCGTTTGACCTTCAAGGTTAAGCTCTGTCATTATCTACGTGAGTCTAAAATAAGGGCACCCCAGTGCGTATTCTTAGCGCATTCTGTGCTTCCTGTTATGTTAACACTGCATGCTGTGTTCTTGTGGGCTGCTAGCCTCTGTTACCGCATGGGCCTGGGGGTCCTTTGAGGAAGAGGACCTTTCTTTATTGGTTTTCTATCCTTGGTGCATGATGTCAGACTAATATTAGAGGAGGAAATGGCAACCTACGCCAGTATTCTTGCCTGAAAAAATTCCATGGACAGAGGAGCCTGGTGGGCTGTAGTCCGTGGGGTTGCAAAGAGTCGAATACTATTGAGCACACACATACACACACACCAGACTAATAATCCAAGTGCTCAATAAGTAATGAAAAGACATAACATTATACAAACTAAGTTTTTGTTGGTTTGTCTCCTTCAGCTTTAAGACTGTTATTGTCTTGCTGTGTAACTGTCTATGTAACTATTATAAGTGACAGTTAGTTGATATACTGATCTTCTAAATGCTGATTCATCATCATATTTAAAAAATCATTAATATCATCACTGATTTCACCCATAAAGTCTTTAAATGTTTGGAAGCTATCAAGCTCATGGTGAAGGATGCAAATGAGGAAGAAGAAAAGAGCGTAACCTGGCTTGCGCAGGCATGCTATTCTCCCATTAAATACTCTCACAGACACCAAGCCCAGAGAAGGTTACTCTGAGGCTGTGACAGAATAAGATGAAACAGGTCATATAAGAATTTTGTTGCAGCAGAGACAAAAACCAAGGTCACTGTGTGCTCACTCAGTCATGTCTTTCTCTTTGCGACCCCATGGACTCTATCCCTCCAGGTTCCTCTGTTCATAGAATTTTCCAGGCAAGAATACTAGAGCAGGTTGCCGTTTCTTCCTCCAGGGGATCTTTCTGACCCAGGAATTGAACTTACATCTTTTTGTGTCTCCTGCATTGGCAGGCAGATTCTTTATCACTAGCACCACCTGGGAAGCCCATGGTCACTATGCCACACCCAAAACACCAGACACCGCTCAACCGATGTCTGTGGCTATTTCTTTACCAATTACAACTTCATCCTCGTCTCCTCTCTAGGAATAAGATTTTTGACAAACCCAATCATAGAATTAGTCCTGCTCTCTGACAGCATCCAATATATATAGGACTCCCACCTCCTTAGGCCATCACCTGGGTTGTCCAGCTGAAGCCCATTCCTTGCAGCAGTCCCCCCGCCCGTCCCCATTCCCCCCTTGCTGACACCCCCAGGCTTCCTGTGGTGTCTTCTCCCTTGGTATGAGTGATAAACCTAACCGGCTCAACTATGGGAGTGATCGACACAAATTTCCTGAAACTCTTAATTTTCACTTGAGAGCTTGACAACAAATACTGTCAATTACTTTGGTCAAGTGACAGGCTACCTTTGTTCATTTTTAAGAAAATGTGCCGGAAAACCACTTTGTTGTGTGTCTTTGCTCAAGACAGTCATCATACTTCAGTATACTTCAGCATAGAGCTTTGTATGCTTCTCATGTTGTCACCTCGAATGTTTTAAGAAGTTGTGTACTACTCAAGGGTCAAGATTTACCAAAAGTAGTAATTTTAAAATTTTATTGTCATAAATTTATTTTTACTTTCTGATTTTTAAAAAATTTTTATTGGAGTACAGTTTATTTTTATTCCTTCATCAAGGACCTTTTCAAATGAAACATTTTTAAAAATTGTGAGTGTAAAGCAGCGAATAATCCAGTAACTACTAATAAGTGTTTGGTGCCATTGCCTTGATTTGTGCAAAAACACTAATAATTTTATTCTCTGCCAACACAAATGTAAACACAGTGAAAAACGGCAGGTTAGTGTTGTTACACAAATAAATTTGATCTTTGGGACCTCCTGCAGACCACACTTTGAGAACTGTTATTATAGTCATGCTTTTATTTATTAACTGCTGGAGCTTTAGAACATAAGCCTGTATGTGTTTGCCTTTAATTAAACTCCTCACTGTATTTAAGGAATTTGTGTCATACAGGCTAAAATCTGCTATTTTTAGTAGGTCCCCTCTTGTCATTGCTCTATTTTTTGAGCTCATGCTTTGAATAAATCAGACTATAGGAACATAGAGACCAATTACTTTTAGTGTTTAAAGCCCACATGAGCTTTCCTGGTAGCTCAGTGGTAAAGAATCCACCTGCCAATGCAGGAGACACAGGTTCGACCCTTGGTCCGGGAAGACCCCACATGCCGTGTGGCAGCTAAGCCCGTGTGCCACAACTACTGAGCCTGTGCCCTAGAGTCGGGGAGATGCAGCTGCTGAGGCCCTCACCCTGGAGCCTGTGCTCCACCAGGGAAGCCACCCCAATGAGAAGCCCGCTCACACAGAATAGTCCCTGCTCACCACCACGAGAGAGAGCCTTCATAGCAACGAAGACCCAGTACAGCAGAAAATCAAAAAATGTTTCAGAAGTTGTTAAAAGCCCACGTGGTAAGTGGAGTCTAGATGCAGAGTAAGGTTCTGTCTGTGCATATACGTTAAAAATAACTGTCTGTACAAAGCCAGGTGAGTGCTTTAGGGATTTAAAGAGATTAAGGTAATATAGGCTGGAGTGACCGAGGAAGTAGAAATCAAACTGGGCTTTGGAGAAATCAAACTGAGCTTTGCGAGGAATCAAACTGAGTTGAGACTTAGGGGGATGAAGAGGAACAGGAGTGCTCTTCCCGGTGATAGGATTGGGACAACCCTCGCTTTGGAGGAAAGGAAAATCATTGTCTAGTGGACAGAGCATAACACCCTCCCCCTGTTTTTGATTTTTCTGGAGTTGAGAATTCACTGGAACAGGGAAAAAAGAAGATTAAGAGGGTTTCCTTTTGTAGGGCCTTTAATGTCAAATTAAAGACCTTTATCCTCTAAGCAGATGAGTCACTCAGTGGGAGAGACATGATGACAGGGATATTCCAGTAATATCAGTCTTATAATGGTATACGTGATTTTCTATCTAGTTCCCACCCCTCTGAAGTTTTTCCTTAATAATCTTCTGCCCACCATTTCTTGTGTTGAACTGCATTGTCAGGGTGAGCAGTCAGGTGGACCTTATAGCTCTTCTGTATTGATAGGATATAGACGTTTTTCTGTGCTATTGGAAGTTAAGAATTGAACAGATCTCATTTCTAATTACTGCCACTGTAGATAGTTCTGAGTTTAGTTGGTTGATTGGCTTTTTCTGTCTGTGTAGATTGGACATGCTTGTTCTAGTTGTCATGTACACCGCCACTGTCTTTGTATCATTAGCTGTAATGGTTCCATATTTACTCCTTAATATGCTATATAACAAGTTTAAAACTTTGAAAAATAGAAGTTAATAATTTATAGCGCTTGGTACCTTGGGCATTTTAGGTAAATCAGCAAAGAAGGAAATAAAAAAAATAATTCGCCAAGGGCGTTTTATTTTGGGGGAATTGGTTATTTTGCTTTTCCTGTACTGGAGAAATTAAAGGAGAGGATATGATAATTATTGCTCACATGTTTGGCCTCTTCTCTCCACAGAACATTTGTAAATGGCTCCTCTGTATCCAGTCCTATTCAGCTGCACCACGGGGACAGGATATTGTGGGGGAACAACCACTTCTTCAGGTACGACGGTCATGCTCTTAAAGAGGGAGGTGCTCTGTAACAGAAAAAGTACATTAAGAAGTAAACTTAATGCCATAAATATTATGTATTGGTTTGTGCACACATATATATTGATATTTATTCAGTATACTACATGCTTGTTCCCTATACGGCTTGAGCTGAGGGACGCATAAACAGTGCATTCAGAAGAAATACTGATTGAGTTACATATTTTTAAATTTTATTTCCCAATGGAAGATGATTGTTTTGCCATATGGCATCTTATTATTTTTCTGACATGCTTATATTTTTATTTTTTGAGTAGTGGTTTTAGTTTCCTTGTCTAAGAAAGGAGGCTCGTGCTTTATTTAGGGTTGCTCTCAGCTGTGTTTAATGGCAGACTGGACTCTGGGTTAAGCAGTTCCTTTCTCTGACAAAACGGGGACTCCCCGGGAGGATGGTGTTGGCATTGGCTCAGGCTCTCAGAAGGGTCATGGCAGAAGCCCTGTCTTTGTCTTGCCTCCTCCCGGTGGTCTAACGATGACCGCGCCCCTCCGGGCATCAAAGCAGCACTCAGACACCCCGAAGAAGGCAAGGATGAGGGGTGGCGGGACTAGCCCTGACTATCCTGAGCAGAAGAAGCAGGAGTCTCCCCAGAGTCCCCAGTGACCTTCCTCTGACCCCTCACGTACTAGAATTTGCTTCTCAGCTGCAAGGGAGGCTGAGAAAGTCTGAGCTGGGACTAGACATCTTTTCCCATACAAAACTGCTGTTGTGTTGGTGAGGACCAGCGGGCTGGATAGAGTATAAAACTTAAGTCACTGGCACTTGTGTTTCAGATATCAAGCTGACTCGATCCTTTGCTGGTGGGCCAGCTGCTATCGTGATTATTTCTGAGAGAGTAGAGTATGTGGAAAATGTTGTTCATGTTTTTCTTCTCAAATTAAATCAATCATAGATTGCTTGGCTTAGTGTACAGAGCCTTCATAGTTTGGATTAGGTTGATTTTTTTACCATTATCTCTCACAACTTTTGCTGTACAGATTTTGTGTATCTCTATGTTTTATTTATCATTTCTCCAGAGGCTGTGAGGGTTTCCATTTTGCCTCTGTCCTAACGCCCTGCTTTCTCCTCACCTCTTAAGGCTCAGCTCAGATGAGTTCCTGTTCTTTCATTCCTTCCTCTCCTATCCCACTGTGAGGTTACTGTTGTTGTTCAGTTGCTAAGTTGTGCCTGATTCTGTGACCCCATAGGCTACAGCACACCAGGCTTCTCTGTCCTTCACTGTCTCCTGGAGTTTGCTCAGATTCATGTCCATTGAGTTGGTGATGCTGTGTAACCATCTCATCCTCTATCGCCCCCTTCTCCATTTGCCTTCAGTCTTTTCCAGCATCAGGGCTGATGTCCCTTAGGATGGACTGGTTGGATCTCCTTTCAGTCCAAGGGACTCTCAAGAGTCTTTTCCAGCACCAAAGTACAAAAGCATCAGTTCTTCGTCACTCAGCCTTCTTTACGGTCCAACCCTTGCATCCGTACATGACTTCTGGAAAAACCATAGCTTTGACTATATGGACTATTGTCGGCAAAGTGATATCTCTGCTTTTTAACATGCAGTCTAGGTTTGTCATAGCTTTTCTTCCAGGGAGCAAGTGTCTTTTATTTTCATGGCTGCAGTCACCATCCGTAGTGATTTTGGAGCCCAAGAACATAAAATCTGTCACTGTTTCCACTTTTTCCCCTTCTATTTGCCCTGAAGTGATGGGACTAGATGCTGTGATCTCCGTTTTATGCATGTGGCATTTTAAGCTAGCTTTTTTACTCTTTTTTATTGGCACATGTGTCTTGTTTGTTTTATTTCTGCTACTGGAATATAAACTTCTGAGTGTAGTGAAAAGTGAAAGTTGGTCAGCTGTGTCTGACTCTCTGCCACCCCATGGACTATACAGTCAATGGAATTTTCCAGGTCAGAATATTGCAGTGGGTAGTGGTTTCCTTCTCTAGGGGATCTTCCCAACCCAGGGATTGAACCCAGGTCTCCTGCATTGCAAGGGGATTCTTTACCAGTTGAGCAGTTGCCTTCTATTTATAGTATCCCCTTGGCATCTAGCAAATGCCACTATTTAATGACTGGAATGAATAAATGCATACCTTTTTTTAAAAGAGATAATATTCTTTTTTCCTCTCAGACTTAATTTGCCTAAAAAGAAAAAGAAAGCAGATCGAGACGATGAGGAACAAGACATATCCATGAAGAATGACACCAGTTCTGAGCAGCTGGATGTTGACGGAGACTCGTCCAGTGAGGTGTCCAGTGAGATCAACTTCAATTATGAGTACGCCCAGATGGAGGTGACCATGAAGGCGCTGGGCAGTAACGGTGAACAGACCTGTTTTGCTTTTTAGAGTCTTTCAAAGTCGCTGGACTGGTTAGAGATATTTACATTGGACACGTTTTAAATATTAGCAAAAAGACATCTTCATGATGTTCCTCTGTACTCAATTCTTTTGTGGCTTTGGCCTAAGTGTATTATACTTATAAAAACTTGTTCTTTCTGCCTTGATATATAAGTCACTTCAGACTGTTCTCATTGGTAGAATTTCTCAGGTTTGAGACTTGACTGTCCCTGGCTTATTATTGTAGTGGATTTCTGGAGCATTGACTCTGTCTTAGGTTATGTGTAGACCATACAGTCGACCTGCTTTTTCTATACAGAAGATAGTTTAGCAAGTATCTGACAGAATAGATAATACGGTTAGTAATTGGGAGTAAGGAAAGCTAAACTGTCTTTAAGAATCTTATGTTATTTGTTTTTCTCTTTCTGACTGACCTTACTCTTTATGAAAGACTCAGTGTTCACCCACATCTCTACAAATGACCCAGTTTCTTTTTTTATTTTATTTTATTTTATTTTCCCAATTATTTTTATTAGTTGGAGGCCAAATGACCCAGTTTCGAGCGAGGCTCAAGAGGGAGGGGATGTACATGTGCTTATGGCTGATTCACATTGTTATACAGCAGAGACTGACACAACATTGTAAAGCAATTATCCTCCAATTTAAAAAAGTTAAACATTAATTAGGGTGACAAACCACAATATAGAGCAGCATTTGATGTATGTTGTGTTGTGCAGTTAACCTTTTGTTTGTTATTTGCCTTAAAAAACCCACCTTGCTCAGATCCCATGCAGTCAATACTGAACAGCCTGGAACAACAGCACGAAGAGGAGAAACGGTCTGCGCTGGAGCGCCAGAGGCTCATGTACGAACATGAGCTAGAGCAGCTCCGGAGACGGCTGTCCCCCGAGAAGCAGAACTGTCGTAGTTCCGACAGGTTTTCTTTCCACTCCCCCAGCGCTCAGCAGCGACTGCGGCAGTGGACGGAAGAGAGGTAGGTGGATGGTAGGGCCCTTGCTACCTGTCGCCTTTAACCATCTGCGTAAAGTATAGAGGGGAAGAATCTAGACCTTAATTCAAACATGAATGACACTGTGAGTGTTGCAGCTTAGAGCCACTTGGCCTTGTCTTTTTTGCCCCCATTTTGGGGGGATAAAAAGGGGGAGTTATCCATTTATACTAATGTATTTAAAGCCACCCCTTTTAGGCGCCATCCCATTTTCAGTGGATATAAATAGCTTTTGGATTTGAATAAACTGGTGTGTGTACTCAGAAGTTATACTTTATTGTTGTATTATGCTTTAGGTTCTGAGACGTGGGTAGATGGTTTTTTAAAAAAGGACAGAAAGAGGTGGTATATCAGGTATGTAAAGCATGGTGCCAGTAAGATTCAGATTGCAAGTTTGATCTTTATATGGGCTGATGAGCATTGCGCTGAATGTCTTCACCATGGTTACAGAGTGGACTTAACTAACCTCCTGCTCTTCCGGGTTTGGTCGGCAGACAGGTAGCATCTCTGTCACCTGGAGATTGACAGAAATGTAGCATTTCAGGTCTCCCATCCTAGATACGGGCTTTCCAGGTGGGTCAGTGGTAAACAACCCACCTACCAATGCAGGAAATGTGGGTTTGATCCGTGGGTCAGGAAGATCCTCTGGAGAAGAAAATAGCAACCCACTCTAGTATTCTTGCCTGGGAAATCTGATGGACAGAGGAACTTGATGGGCTACAGTCCACGAGGTTGCAAAGAGCTGGACTCGACTCAGGGACTGAGGATGCACAGCAGGGATCCCAGATATACTGAGTGGAAATCTTCAGTTTCTCAAGATTCCCAGGTGATTTGTATACACAGTCAAGATTGCCAGCCCTAGCCTCGGCCAGCCTCCCCCAGGAGCGTGTGCCAGCGCTTGTAACGTGGCCCACGTTCGGGTGCATGCGCAGGGCAGTGCCGCAGGTGTAGTCCCTGTGTGCAAAAGTCAGGCGTAAAGCTTGGTTCGCAGTTTGGCCTTCATGGTCTGTGTGCTGTAAAATATTGCCATGTGCTGCTCTAACGTTTATCCCTCCCCTTTTTATTTTAAAGAGAAGCAACACTGAGTAACAGCCTGATGAGGCTGAGGGAGCAAATTGTGAAAGCCAACCTGCTGGTGAGAGAAGCCAGTTACATTGCGGAAGAGCTGGATAAACGGACGGAATACAAAGTAACCCTCCAGATTCCCGCCTCCAGTCTTGATGCCAACAGGAAGGTGGGGCTGCTGTCAATGAGACGACTAAAGATGCCGTTATATAAAACAGCTTCCTGTTTCACCAGGGCTATTTAAACACTGGGAGCAGGGAGTCTGCCCTCATCCCCGCCCACATCCTCCACAGTCTAGGTCATTGGGACCTGTCTGCCTCTCGTGAACGGAATTACTTCCATGTAATTCTCTTTGTGTATAAATGGTTTTATCCACTAGAAATATCCTCTTCCACCACCATCCCCAGATCTACCAACTTCTTTTTTTTTTTTCTTTTAAATTTTGGCTGTGCTGGGTCTCTGTTGTGGTGGACGGGTCTCTCTAGTTGTGGCACGGGGACTTAGTTGTCCTGGGACGTGTGGGATCTTAGTCCCCTGACGGGGGATTGAACCCATGTCCCCTGCCTTGGAAGGAAAATTCTCAATCACTAGACCTCTGGGGAAGTCCCTATAGCCATTTCTTTTACTTAACTCCTATTTTCAAGTTTGTTTAAATTATTTGCGAGAAGTCTTTCCTGATAAATCTTCCCCAAGTGGTTCTTCCCTTCGTTCTGCTTCCCTGCTATCCTTTCCTACCCCGCCCAACTTAAGGGCTCATTTTACCTACAAGAGGGGCTTCCCACGTGGCTCGGTGGTTAAAGAACCCGCCCTCCAGTGCAAGAGATGCAAGAGATGTGGTTCAATCCCTGGGTCGGGAAGATCCCCCAGAGAAGGAAACGGCACCCCACTTCAGTACTCTTGCCTGGAGAATTCCAAGGACAGAGGAGCCTGGTGGGCTCCAGTCCAACCCATGGGGTCTCAAAGAGTCAGATGCAACTGAGTGACTAGCACTTTGACTTTCACACTTTACCAATAGAATGTTATCTTCTACTTGTCAATAGATGACATGGAAAAAATGTCCACTAGTTGTTCTCTGTGAGTATCCAAGGTCACAGATTTTGTTTTTTTTTTTAATAATGTTGTTGTTGAGGTACCAAGTCATGTCTGACTCTTTGTGACCCCATGGACTGTAGCCGACCAGGCTCCTCTGTCCATGGGATTTCTCAGGCCAGAACACTGGCATGGGTTGCCATTTCCTTCTCCAGAGGATCTTCCTAGCCCAGAGGCTGAACTCAGGTCTGCTGCCTTGGCAGACAGGTTCTAATGTTCTTCCCTTCCTTCCACTTTTCTGCCATCCTTTCCTATCCTGCCCAACTTAAGTGTTCTCTTACCTATAGAATGTTATCTTCTACTTGTCAATAGATGGCATGGCAGAACTGTTCACTAGTTGTTTAATGTAAATATTCAAGGTCACAAAATTTTCTTTTGTATAATGTAAGAAGTCTAATAAAAGTATGGGGGAAGTTCAGTTCAGTTGCTCAGTCATGTCCAACTCTTTGCGACCCCATGGACTGCAGCATCACCAACTCCCGGAGCCTGTTCACACTCATGTCCATAGTGTTGGTGATGCCATCTCATCTTCTGTCATCCCTTTGTCCTTCCGCCTTCAATCTTTCCCAGCATCAGGGTCTTTTCTAATGAGTTGGTTCTTCGCATCAGGTGGCCAGAGTGTTGGAGTTTCAGCTTCAGTATTGGTCCTTCCAGCAAAATCACTTCTCCTTGCCATTCAGTTGTTTTCTTTCTTACATGGGTTTCTTTTATAGTTCTCGGATCATGTTAGTACATAATTTTTGGTGGATTAGGTAGGATTTTGTATTCAGATATTCATTCCCTAGCTGGCTGAATATAAGGTAGAAGGGCCTTTACCATATGTGAGAGTTTGGTAATTCTTGAACTTCACAGTTCTAAAATCCTTTCTTCATTATGTAAATTCTGTTTCTTTGGAACTAATAATAGGCCAGATGTTAAGGCAACACTGAGTGTCTTTCAAAATTCTCTATAAAGTTCTAAGCAGACAGAACAGTTTTAAAAAAATTCTAATAAATCTCAGTTGATTAGAGATCTGCTAGGTCCATCTCTCTGAGGGAGATATACAGAAGCATTTTTACTTTCTGCTCTGTGATTTCCAAAAGTTTAAAATTTTTGCCTACGTAAAAGCACACTGCTTGGACTACCCCGGTGGTCCGGTGGCTAAGATTCCACGCTCCCAATGCAGGGGGCCCGGGGTTCAAACCTGGGTCAGGGAACTAGATCCCACATGCCACAACTAAAGGTCTATCATACCACAACAAAGACCCAGTAGAGCCAAATAAATTAATATTTTAAAAAGTAGTAAAACCGTATTATATTTTTTAAAAAGCATGTTGCTTTTCTAAGCTGGGAGAATTCAGGAAGTACTGTTTCTTTTTTTCTGAGATGACATTCATATAGCATAAAATTAATATTTTAACGGGAACAATTCAGTGTCATGTAGTATGTTCACAGTATTGTATATAACCAGCATCTCTAGCTGGTTCTGTACTTTTTCATTTTATTTTTAAAGTATTTTTTGTTTGTGTGTGTGTGTGTGGCTGTTGGGGCTGTTTGGCTGTCTTCGTTGCCGCACGGCTTCTCTGGTTGCAGTGAGCTGAGACTGCTCTCTCACTGCGGCGTGAGGGGGTCTCACTGCGGCGGCGTCTCTCGTCGCAGAGCTCCGGCTCAGCAGTGGCGGTGCTTGGGCTTAGCTGCCCCATGGCACGTGGGATCTCCCCAAATCAGAGATCGAACCCACATCTCCTGCATTGGAGGCGGATTCTTTACCACTGAGCTACCAGGGAAGGCTTTAACTTTTTGATAATAAATCTAAACTGTGTGTATTTGGAAGTTGGTATCATTTGTTGTGTCCAGATGAGCAAACAGGATACTTTTCACAACTGACTCTCTTAATCACTTGTGTTTGGTACTGCAGTAAGATACTAGCTATTCAAAAAAATTGTCATTCAAACTATTGAAAGAAAAAGATTCTTAGCCATCCATTCCAGGAAACTTGCCCTTCTCATTCACTGCTTAGGACCCTCTTCCTCCCCACTGGTTCTCTTTGGCCATATGATGGTCCGATTAAGACACTTTTGTTTTTGGCCACACCTCATGGAATGAGGGGCCTTGGTTCCTCCACCAGGGATCGAACTCGCATCCCCTCAGAGGAAGCACAGAGTCCTAACCACTGGACCACCAGGGAAGTCCCCCAGTTAAGACATTTTTGACTTTCTGTTAAATGTGATCTACTTTTCTGAGATTTAATTTATATTCTTAAATTTTGACTGCAGTTAGAAAGGATTATATTCAGCTTTTAAGATTTCTGGAAAGTTTCTCACTGAACAGGTTAAAGAACGATACGGTTTCCATTCAGCTGGTGACGTTTGATGGGTGGGTGTATCAGTAGAATGTCGGGTTGATGCCCAGGTTGTGCCAGTGTCTGCGTTTCACAAAGTCATTCTCACTGTCTTCACAGCGAGGCTCTCTCCTCAGTGAACCTGCCATCCAGGTGAGAAGGAAGGGGAAAGGGAAGCAGATCTGGTCTCTGGAAAAACTGGACAACAGGTTACTAGATATGAGAGACCTTTATCAGGAGTGGAAGGAATGCGAAGAAGACACCCCGGTAGGTTATTTGACAAAAATTACTGAGCTGATCGTCACAGAAGGAACCATGCAGGAATGAGTCTTATCCATTTTAGGGAAGAACTGTTCAGTTTTCCAAAATACAGTTTTATAAATAAAATACTTATTTTAATCCTATAAATTGTTTAGCCAGTCAAGAATTTTAATAACCTATTTTTCTGGCATCCTCTTTTGTTTTCTCCTCGTTGGTGTCATCTGGATTTCTAGTAGAATCTTCTGTGTTCTCTCTGGCTTCTGTTCATATTATGCGTTTTTGAGTCCCATGGTTTTATTCAGGACAGAGACTGTCTTGTTATATCTTTTCCCATTTTTCAGCACACTTAACCTTGCAAATAATAAACCTACGACATCCGTATTTTTAATCGAACATCCGTGGTGCCTTAATATTTATACTATTAGGAACATTTTTTGAACACAATTTGATTCTAAAGTAGGTGCTATAGATCTGAATTCTGGAACGCTCCCCTCAAATTGTAGGTTTGCTCATTTAGGTCAGCCATGAGCGTATACCTATTTGAAATAAGAATTATTTGTATATTTTCACTGCTGCTGGTCCTAGTGCCCCGTAGAGTTGTTCCTTAGCCTCTTTTGTAAAAGTGCTTGTCAATAAAAATGACTTCTTAAAGTTAGGTGGCATTTTTTTCTTTCTTTTGTACTCCTCTCCCGTTTCAGCTTAGAGGTGAAACCATATTACCAACAAATAACAAAACGCAAACCACGATCCTGTAAAGAGGTCCCCTCTCATTGACAGCATCGTGTCTGATGTTTCGGTGGGAACAAGTAGAATAGATATGAATGAGACATGAGACATGGTTTTTCACTCTGCTGAGCTTTTCAGTCAGCCTGTGTTTTCTCTCTTTTCACAGCAAGGCTTCCTCATAAGGGAAAAGAAATGATGAAGCAGTGAGGTGTTACTGGTATCACTGTCTCATGGATGAAGGGTGCTGACCATCATTCTAAGTGGGAATGAGAAAGTGTGTGTGTATGTTTGTGTGCGTGTATGCCTGCATGTGTAACACAGGGCTATGCTTCATCTAAGTTATTAGACTGTGTCAAGAAGTGATGAGTTGAATTCTTCTGTTTTAAGTGATTTTCTGAAGTTGTATGTTTCATGTCTCCTCAAAGGTGATACGGTCTTACTTCAGGCGTGCAGATCCATTCTATGACGAACAGGAAAATCACAGTCTCATTGGGGTGGCCAACGTCTTCCTTGAGTCCCTCTTCTATGATGTGAAGTTACAGTATGCCGTGCCGATCATCAACCAGAAAGGAGAGGTTAGTTTCTCCTCGTGCCTTATGTCCTGCAGAGAGCAGTTCAGGAAAACGGGGTGGTGACAGTAAGCTGTCATTAACCATTTCCCATCAGTAACAAGCGCTCTCTGTGTATTTTCAATGCCTATGTTCGCATACCGCTTGTCGGTGATTACTCCGAGTGCTTGAGGAAGAGTCGCCGTTAGAGCCTGTTCCACCTCACTCTCAGACGGATGATGGCCGAAATGCAGAGCGAGGATCTTCTTTTGCTTTCCCTGCTGCAGGTGGCTGGCCGGCTGCACGTGGAAGTGATGCGCCTCAGTGGTGACGTCGGGGAGAGGATTGCCGGGGGGGACGAGTCCATGGATGCCTCCTTGGATAAGGAGACCCAGGAGAACAGGCTCGTATGCATGGTGAGTCCTCGTCTCATTCAGCAGTAGTACATGATTTCAGAATGTTTCCTGTGAGGTTACACAGTTATCAAAGATGGAAGCATAGCCTTGCTGACTCCATCTGTAATAGCCCACTGTATACAGATGGACCAGACATGCCACCCTGTGAGAGATGAGTGTGTGAAAGTTACCGTCAGTGAAGTAGCATAGGAGAATACTGTCTTCCTCGGAAAGTGGGCTTCTGTCACTGGGTAACTTAAACTTAAAAAGAAAAATAACAGGTAAAACGTAGTATGATTCGTTTATGAAGGAGATCAAACATACAGAAAAGTAGTGAGGAGACTGTTATTGACCCGCACGCATCCTCCCTCGGCAGCCATCAGCTCCTGGTCAGTCTTGTCTTGTTCATGTATACACGCTGCTTCTCCATGTCCCCTTCCCCTGGATTATTTTGAAGCATCCCAGACATCGTATTTCATCAAGAATAGTTTAATACGTGTCTCCAGAAGAAGAAAACTTAAAAAAAGAAACCCAGCCTAGCCAGGATATACCACACTCAAAAATTAATACTTCTTTAACATTGTGAGATAATCATTCTCGTTGGTCATGTGGGCTGATGTGTCTCTGGTCTGTTTTATGTTTTGCTCTTCAGGCTCTGGCCCATGTGCTTGCTCCCTCCTGTGCACGCGCACCTTCTTTCCCATCTTACGCTTTGCTTAGTGTAGAAGCTGGGTTGTCATATTGCGTGGTCTCGTAGTCTGGGTTTTGCTAATTCTTTACTGGGTTGGGGTAGGCTTGCTGTAAGTTGGGATCTGGATGTAAAGGTGACATGCAGAAGAGGAGTCAGGATGACACTTCATAGGGAGAATGAGGTGTCTGCTTCCATCAGAAGGCACGTCATGCCTGGTTTTCTTTGGGGAGTGTTTGCTATCATTGGTGGTTATCACCCAGATATTTCATTAGTAGTTAGAAAATAGCAACACTGTGATTCTATCATCCCTTCATTTATTAGCTGGAATTGTGCTATTGAGTGACTCTTTCTGTCAAGTATCTTACTATTCACAGATACAGTTTTTATCAGAGAGGCAGGATGAATACGCCATTCTCTCCTTTTATTGACTACTTTTAAAAATAAATGGTTTTCCTTCTAACATCCAAAACTGACAAGTGAAGGTGTTTTTTTGGTTTGGGTCTTGTTATCATTATATGAACTCTTGGATTTAAATATACTTGATATGCTTTGATCTGTTGTATTTATTACCTACGTCAAGGCTCAAGCAACCCCATCTTTGGCCAGGGGGGGCCTCTTCAGTGGGCTCCTGGGTCCTTTGACACAGCCCTAACCCCAGAGGCCGTGCCAGCCTTCCTACCTCGGTCTCGCGCGGTCTGAACATTTCTCATCCCGGACCTGGAATCAGCCGTTTCTCCACGGAACTGGATTCCTTCCAGTAGGAGGTGGTTTTTAGAGACCATAGTCTGACATGTAATAGCTTTTTGCATAAAAGGAAGACAAATAAACTTTATGACAGTAAAATGTTGGTGGACAGAAACAGAAGAAACCCGTTTGGGGACACTTAAGGTGTCACAGATAAGGCATTCCGTGGTGGTCAATGGTAAAGACTTCGCCTTCCAGTGCAGGGTGTGTGGGCTTGATCCCTGGCCAGAGAACATGTTTTGGGGCCAAAACCCAAAAGGTAAAACAGAAGCAATACTGTAACAGATTCAGCGAAGACTTAAAAATGGTCCACATCAAAATATCTTAAAAGATCACAGGTGTGAGTATTATTGACCCTTAAAAGAAGACTACATTTATTTTTCTGTGATAAAAAAGTATGTACATATTAAACATGGTGATCATTTTAATTGTATTAAATAAAATCAGTATATTTGAAACTTCAAACAACTTCATTATCTCCCCACGTTTCTGGGCCTTACGTGTTGAATAGCAAGTCGAAGTCTGTGGTATTCTGCCACCTGGTGGTGATTTAGGTTTCTGCATGCAAGACCTTGAACCTGTGTTCCAGATAACAATCATTCCTGGTTTTGTTTATTCCCAATACTCTTTATTCCTGGCAGTCTCATTCTGAGAAGTTGCCTGTGGATGAGAGTTCAGCATATGAAATCTTGCTTTGTCATTCATTTACATCTTGAGATTGATTTCTAAGAAAGAGAATTAGCTTTCAGGTGGAATTCAGTCACAGAGAAGTATGCACTGAACGTCCATCCAGTCAATGCCTGGTAGCGTTTTCAGTCATTGTGTTTCATTGGTATGGTTAGTTCTCACACATCTATCATTAGGCAGCTATACTGTTTTGTACAGAAGAAAAACTGAGCCTAAGAAAACTAAGGATTTAAGCAATTTGTTTAAGAACAGAAGTCAAGAAGTAGCGGAGATTTATATTTAGATCTGTGTCCTCCAGAATCTTGCAGTCTTCCCAAATACCACATTGCCTCAACTTAAAGAATATAATACGTATTTTAAGCACTTAAGGAGAAGGGGATGGTTTTTAAATGAAAATTTTAATGAAATTTTAACAAAAAATTAATACCAATCACTCTATTTGTTTTGTACAAATAGAATTTGTTAGTTGATCATCTTCTAGAGCCTGGAAATTGCCCTCTAGATGTTTCACAATCTTGTTGCCATTATAGGAAAAACTGAATAATAACAAGAATCCCCATCCATTGCTTACCCATCACGTACCTGGCAGAGAAGAAAATAGTCATTTGCTTTGCATGGTTTTCTGTGTCATTATTAATACTTCCTGAAACAGTAAGACTTATATTTGTGGTTATGAAACTATGTAAACTTCTGCCACATATTCAAATCTGTTTTTGTTAAATTTACTTACTGGAGGTTTAGATTGTATTATACAGTGTGCAAGAAGCGACCAAGTGAAGGGTGTGAATAAATGCTCAGCGCGCAGTCTCTTGGAGGTTGGCCTCATTGATTATAAAGTCAGAATTCAGTTTAGCTTAGTTAACTTTAGGATTTAGTTTCCTTTGTAGTTGTAGTTTGTCACAGCTTATCACAAAAACTCCCACTTAAAAATCAACCTGATGCTGCCTGCTGAAAGAAATATTTAGACTGTTGGCTGCTTTAAAACCTATTCTAGGTATTTCTCCTGGGTCTAATTTTGTTTGGGGCCAATTAAACATATTCTAGTTTTATGTAGTTATCACAAAACCCTGCAGCCCTGCAGCCCAGGGCATGTTTCCATTGACCCAGCTCTCCTCTCTGAATCTGCACGGAAAACGCATCAGCAGTTGTTAGTGCAAGAGAGTGGTTAGCAGGCGCGATCTTTCTTCTCCATTCACTCTCCAGATCTTCAAAGCATACGTTCCTGATGCTTTAGATTTTCCAAAAATGCTTTAGTAGTAAATAACATTCCAGTTGAGAACCTTATTCCTTTTTATACACTAAAATATCAGATAAATATTTTTCTGAATATTTATTGCTTATTGGTGTGCACACTCTTTTCATTCTTCATTCATCATTCTTAACAATCCTGTGTCCTTGTGCTATATCCATAGTTGGCCAGGTTTGTATGGTTAAGTGGTGTTGATGTTTGAGAACTTTCTTCTTAAGATGATGATATAAGAAACTAGAATTTTAAATGTTATTCTTCAGCCTGTAAATGCTTCAAAATGTCCACTTGTATATAGTCTAGGTCATTGCTATCTTAGGTTTACCTCTTGCTAAATATGGCATTTCACAGATGCAGAAATATGGCCCAGATTGAAAGGGACTGGGATGTGATCAACAAAAGGCAGCTGTTAGGGGCATAGTCAGGACTGGAACCTGTGTCTCTGACTCAGAGTTGGAATTACCTGGGTTAAAAACAGCCTTCCTTTTTCTTCAGGTGAAAATACTTCAAGCCACTGGGTTGCCGCAGCATCTGTCCCACTTCGTGTTCTGCAAATACGACTTCTGGGATCAACAGGAGCCAGTCATCGTTGCTCCTGAGGTGGACACCTCGTCTTCTCCCATCAGCAAGGAGCCTCAGTGCATGGTTGTCTTTGATCACTGCAATGTGAGTGTGTTTTCCAGACCTGGTCAGCGTTTAATTACTCAAGTCAAAGCAAAATAAAAATAACCCATATTTTATTGAGTAATTTGGTACCTATGTATGTCTTGGATCAGTTTGTTAGAGTGGTGAGAAAGAGAAAATATTAGTCGCTAAGTTGTCTCCGACTCTTTGTGACCCCATGGACTATATAGCCCATCAGGCTCCTCTGTCCATAGAATTCTACAGGTCAGAATACTGGAGTGGGTTGCCATATCCTTCTCCAAAGGATCTTCCCGACCCGGGGATTGAACCCAGGTTTCCTGCATTGCAGGCAAATTTTTTACTTTCTGAGCCACAAGGGAAGCCCTTGGAGTCAAAGACTAAAGTGTCATCAGTGCACGGTATGTAGACCTTAAACTCACACAACGCTGTGTGTCAGTTACATCTCAGTAACACAGTCCATGGGGTTGCAAAAGAGTTGGACATGACTCAGCGGCTGAACACAGTCACAACAGCTGGGGAAAAACCCAACTATAGTGTCAGTGCACGTAACTCCTCCACCATCAGAAGTTAACTTCTGTGTGACTGTGTGTGTATATGGTACCCTTCTCCAAAAAAAAAAAATCCGTGTTTTGTGTGAGTTACTGGAGAAAGTGCCATCTGGGAAGGTTCAAGAAACTATTGTTTTAGAGAAAGTGAAGGTAGAAGAGTGGGACAAGAGCAAACATTTCAGGGCCCCCAACTTCTGTTCTGCAGTTTGCTGATGTTTCCCATAGCTCTGTTTGAGGACAGTGTTGTTTTTTTTTTAAATGGAGGAAGCCAGTTCACAGGTCACTTTGCCCATGGCTAGTAACGAGCAGAGCTGAGACTGTCAGATTCTAGATTCTCGTTTTCTACTTTATCTCACTTGAGCTATCTCTTTATTTTCCAACGAGAGAGGTGTCTTTCTAATCTATTTAGCACATCAAAAGTCTTTCTGTTTTAAAGATTGAGAAAGAGGAGATTCTATGACTTTTAAAAATAAATTATTTAAAAACTTAATCCTAATTATTATTAGAGACGGTTTCATATCTGTCTTACAAAGATGGACAGATTTTTAAAAATTAGTTGATTTTTTTGCACAATGATAGTCATTCTTTCTTACTATCAGAGATCATTAACTTCCTAAAAACTAGGAAAAATTGTCCAACACACTGCTGCCTTACTAGATGTAATAACTTTCATATTAAGACATTGTAGATCAGTGTTGTCATTCTTCATATAATTATTTATGCTTTCAGAATATTGCTTTCAAAATAGAATACAGTGCTGGTCTTTCACAGTAGATTTTTCAAGAAAAGTTTTTTTCTTGAAAAAAAAAAAAGATTTTTTTTAAGAAAAGTTGTAGTGAAAATTAAGGACCTTGGGCCATCTGAGCATTCTTTATGGGCATTGGATGACAGTTTTGTGCTACAAGTAAAACATTCTATTTCTCTTCTCCATGATGAAGTGAGGATATGATGTGAGGTGTATAATCAGGTCACTGGAAGGTGTTTCTTCTTCTGTGCTTATTTCCTTTCAGGAGTTTTCTGTTAGCGTCACTGAAGACTTTATTGAGCATCTTTCAGAAGGGGCATTGGCAATTGAAGTCTATGGCCATAAGATGAATGATCCTCGGAAAAACCCAGCCCTGTGGGATTTGGGGATTATCCAAGCCAAAACACGCAGTCTTCGGGACAGGTGAATTTGAGATATCCGTCCATCTGCTACCATTTATAATTTTTTAAAAACTGCTAGAGATTAATATTGCCATTTATAAAGATTACCACTTCCTGAACATTTATCAATATTCCAAGGATAGATGATGTTATGTTCAGGGTATTAATATTTAGCACAGTTAAAATTTCTTAGAGGAGTGAACTTTTTTTTTTTTTTCCATTTATTTTTATTAGTTGGAGGCTAATTACTTTACATCATTGCAGTGGTTTTTGTCATACATTGAAATGAATTAGCCATGGATTTACATGTATTCCCCATCCCGGTCCCCCCTCCCACCTCCCTCTCCACCCGATCCCTTTGGGTCTTCCCAGTGCACCAGGCCCGAGCACTTGTCTCATGCACCCAACCTGGGCTGGTGATCTGTTTCACCCTAGATAATATACGTGTTTCGATGCTGTTCTCTTGAAACATCCCACCCTCGCCTTCTCCCAGAGTCCACAAGTCTGTTCTATACATCTGAGTCTCTTTTTCTGTTTTGCATATAGGGTTATCGTTACCATCTTTCTAAATTCCATATATATGTGTTATTATTACTGTAATGGTCTTTATCTTTCTGGCTTACTTCACTCTGTAAAATGGGCTCCAGTTTCATCCATCTCATTAGAACTGATTCAAATGAATTCTTTTTAATGGCTGAGTAATATTCCATGGTGTATATGTACCACAGCTTCCTCATCCATTCATCTGCTGATGGGCATCTAGGTTGCTTCCATGTCCTGGCTATTATAAACAGTGCTGCGATGAACATTGGGGTGCACATGTCTCTTTCAGATCTGGTTTCCTCGGTGTGTATGTCCAGAAGTGGGATTGCTGGGTCATATGGCAGTTCTATTTCCAGCTTTTTAAGAAATCTCCACACTGTTTCCCATAGCGGCTGTACTAATTTGCATTCCCACCAACAGTGTAAGAGGGTTCCCTTTTCTCCACACCCTCTCCAGCATTTATTGCTTGTAGACTTTTGGATAGCAGCCATCCTGACTGGCGTGTAATGGTACCTCATTGTGGTTTTGATTTGCATTTCTCTGATAATGAGTGATGTTGAGCATCTTTTCATGTGTTTGTTAGCCATCTGTATGTCTTCCTTGGAGAAATGTCTGTTTAGTTCTTTGGCCCATTTTTTGATTGGGTCATTTATTTTTCTGGAGTTGAGCTGGAGGAGTTGCCTGTATATTTTTGAGATTAATCCTTTGTCTGTTGCTTCGTTTGCTATTATTTTCTCCCAATCTGAGGGCTGTCTTTTCACCTTGCTTATAGTTTCCTTTGTTGTGCAAAAGCTTTTAAGTTTCATTAGGTCCCATTTGTTTATTTTTGCTTTTGTTTCTAAAATTCTGGGATGTGGGTCATAGAGGATCCTGCTGTGATTTATGTCGGAGAGTGTTTTGCCTATGTTCTCCTCTAGGAGTTTTATAGTTTCTGGTCTTACATTTAGATCTTTAATCCATTTTGAGTTTATTTTTGTGTATGGTGTTAGAAAGTGTTCTAGTTTCATTCTTTTACAGGTGGTTGACCAGTTTTCCCAGCACCACTTGTTAAAGAAGTTGTCTTTTCTCCATTGTACATCCTTGCCTCCTTTGTCGAAGATAAGGTGGATTTATCTCTGGGCTTTCTATTCTGTTCCATTGATCTATATTTCTGTCTTTGTGCCAGTACCATACTGTCTTGATGACTGTGGCTTTGTAGTATAGTCTGAAGTCAGGCAGGTTGATTCCTCCAGTTCCATTCTTCTTTCTAAAGATTACTTTGGCTATTCGAGGTTTTTTGTATTTCCATACAAATTGTGAAACTATTTGTTCTAGTTCTGTGAAAAATACCGTTGGTAGTTTGATAGGGATTGCATTGAATCTATAGATTGCTTTGGGTAGTATAGCCATTTTGACAATATTGATTCTTCCAATCCATGAACACGGTATATTTCTCCATCTGTTTGTGTCCTCTTTGATTTCTTTCATCAGTGTTTTATAGTTTTCTATGTATAGGTCTTTTGTTTCTTTAGGTAGATATACTCCTAAGTATTTTATTCTTTTTGTTGCAATGGTGAATGGTATTGTTTCCTTAATTTCTCTTTCTGTTTTCTCATTGTTAGTGTATAGGAATGCAAGAGATTTCTGTGTGTTAATTTTATATCCTGCAACTTTACTGTATTCGTTGATTAGCTCTAGTAATTTTCTGGTAGAGTCTTTAGGATTTTCTATGTAGAGGATCATGTCATCTGCAAACAGAGAGAGTTTCACTTCTTCTTTTCCTATCTGGATTCCTCTTACTTCTTTTTCTGCCCTGATTGCTGTGGCCAACACTTCCAAAACTGTGTTGAATAGTAGTGGTGAGAGTGGGCACCCTTGTCTTGTTCCTGATTTCAGGGGAAATGCTTTCAATTTTTCACCATTGAGGGTGATGCTTGCTGTGGGTTTGTCATATATAGCTTTTATTATGTTGAGCTATGTTCCTTCTATTCCTGCTTTCTGGAGAGTTTTAATCATAAATGGATGTTGAATTTTGTCAAAGGCTTTTTCTGCATCTATTGAGATAATCATATGGTTTTTATCTTTCAATTTGTTAATGTGGTGTATTACATTGATTGATTTGCGGATATTAAAGAATCCTTGCATTCCTGGGATAAAGCCCACTTGGTCATGATGTATGATTTTTTTAATATGTTGTTGGATTCTGTTTGCTAGAATTTTGTTAAGGATTTTTGCATCTATGTTCATCAGTGATATTGGCCTGTAGTTTTCTTTTTTTGTGGCATCTTTGTCTGGTTTTGGAATTAGGGTGATGGTGGCCTCATAGAATGAGTTTGGAAGTTTACCTTCTTCTGCAATTTTCTGGAAGAGTTTGAGTAAGATAGGTGTTAGCTCTTCTCTAAATTTTTGGTAGAATTCAGCTGTGAAGCCATCTGGTCCTGGGCTTTTGTTTGCTGGAAGATTTCTGATTACAGTTTCGATTTCCTTGCTTGTGATGGGTTTGTTAAGATCTTCTATTTCTTCCTGGTTCAGTTTTGGAAAGTTATACTTCTCTAAGAACTTGTCCATTTCTTCCAAGTTGTCCATTTTATTGGCATAGAGCTGCTGGTAGTAGTCTCTTATGATCCTTTGTATTTCAGCATTGTCTGTTGTGATCTCTCCATTTTCGTTTCTAATTTTGTTAATTTGGTTCTTCTCCCTTTGTTTCTTAATGAGTCTTGCTAATGGTTTGTCAATTTTGTTTATTTTTTCAAAAAACCAGCTTTTAGCTTTGTTAATTTTTGCTATGATCTCTTTAGTTTCTTTTGCATTTATTTCTGCCCTAATTTTTAAGATTTCTTTCCTTCTACTAACCCTGGGGTTCTTCATTTCTTCCTCCTCTAGTTGCTTTAGGTGTAGAGTTAGGTTATTTATTTGACTTTTTTCTTGTTTCTTGAGGTAGGCCTGTAATGCTATGAATCTTCCCCTTAGCACTGCTTTTACAGTGTCCCATAGGTTTGGGGTTGTTGTGTTTTCATTTTCATTCATTTCTATGCATATTTTGATTTCTTTTTTGATTTCTTCTATGATTTGTTGGTTATTCAGAAGCGTGTTGTTTAGCCTCCATATGTTTGAATTTTTAATAATTTTTTTCCTGTAATTGAGATCTAATCTTACTGCACTGTGGTCAGAAAAGATGACTGGAATGATTTCAACCTTTTTGAATTTACCAAGACTAGATTTATGGCCCAGGATGTGATCTATTCTGGAGAAGGTTCCGTGTACACTTGAGAAAAAGGTGAAGTTGATTGTTTTGGGGTGAAACGTCCTATAGATGTCAATTAGGTCTAGCTGGTCCATTGTGTCCTTTAAAGTTTGTGTTTCCTTGTTCATTTTCTGTTTAGTTGATCTATCCATAGTTGTGAGTGGGGCATTAAAGTCTCCTACTATTATTGTGTTACTATTAATTTCCTCTTTCATACTCGTTAGCATTTGCCATACATATTGCGGTGCTCCTATGTTGGGTGCATATATATTTATAATTGTTATATCTTCTTGGATTGATCCTTTGATCATTATGTAGTGTCCTTCTTTGTCTCTTTTCACAGCCTTTATTTGAAAATCTATTTTATCTGATATGAGTATTGCAACTCCTGCTTTCTTTTGGTCTCCGTTTGCGTGGAATATTTTTTTCCAGCCCTTCACTTTTAGTCTGTGTGTGTCCCTTGCTTTGAGGTGGGTCTCTTGTAGACAGCATATATAGGGGTCTTGCTTTTGTATCCATTCAGCCAGCCTTTGTCTTTTGGTTGGGGCATTCAACCCATTTACATTTAAGGTAATTATTGATAGGTATGGTCCCGTTGCCATTTATTTTGTTGTTTGGGGTTCACATTTATACCACCTTTCTGTGTTTCCTGTCTAGAGAAGATCCTTTAGTATTTGTTGAAGAGCTGGTTTGGTGGTGCTGAATTCTCTCAGCTTTTGCTTGTCTGTAAAGCTTTTGAGTTCTCCTTCATATCTGAATGAGATCCTTGCTGGGTAGAGTAATCTAGGTTGTAGATTATTCTCTTTCATTACTTTAAGTATGTCCTGCCATTCCCTTCTGGCCTGAAGGGTTTCTATTGATAGATCAGCTGTTATCTTTATGGGAATCCCTTTGTGTGTTATTTGTTGTTTCTCCCTTGCTGCTTTTAATATTTGTTCTTTGTGTTTGATCTTTGTTAATTTGATTAATATGTGTCTTGGGGTGTTTCGCCTTGGGTTTATCCTGTTTGGGACTCTCTGGGTTTCTTGGACTTGGGTGGCTATTTCCTTCCCCATTTTAGGGAAGTTTTCAGCTATTATCTCCTCGAGTATCTTCTCAATGGCCTTTCTTTTTGTCTTCTTCTTCTGGGACTCCTATGATTCGAATGTTGGGGCGTTTCACATTGTCCCAGAGGTCCCTGAGGTTGTCCTCATTTCTTTTGATTCTTTTTTCTTTTTTCCTCTCTGCTTCATTTATTTCCACCATTTTAGCTTCTAACTCACTTATCCTATCTTCTGTCTCTGTTATTCTACTCATGGTTCCCTCCAGAGTGTTTTTGATCTCATTTATTTCATTATTAATTTTTAATTGACTTTTTTAAATTTCTTCTAGGTCCTTGTTAAACATTTCTTGCATCTTCTCAATCTTTGTCTCCAGGCTATTTATTTGTAACTCCATTTTGTTTTCAAGATTTTGGATCATTTTTATTATCATTATTCTAAATTCTTTTTCAGGTAGATTCCCTATTTCCTCCTCTTTTGTTTGACTTGGTGGGCTTTTTTCATGTTCCTTTAGCTGTTGGGTATTTCTCTGCCTTTTCATCTTGTTTAGATTGCTGTGTCTGGAGTGGGCTTTCTGTATTCTGGTGGTCTGTGGTTCCTTTTTATTGTGGAGGTTTCACCCAGTGGGTGGGGTTGGACGATTGGTTTGTCAAGGTTTCCTGGTTAGGGAAGCTTGTGTCAGCGTTCTGGTGCGTGGAATTGGATTTCTTCTCTCTGGAGTGCAATGGAGTGTCCAGTAATGAGTTTTGCGATGGGTCTATGTGTTAAGTGTGACTTTGGACAGCCTGTATGTTGACACTCAGGTCTATGTTCCTGCATTGCTAAAGAATTTGCATGGTATGTCTTGTACTGGAGCTTATTGGCTCTTGGGTGGTGGTTGGTTTTGGTGTAGGCATGGAGGCTTCTGGATGGTCTCTTATTCCTTAATGTTCCGTGTAGTCAGGAGTTTTCTGGTTTTCTCAGGTTTTGGGCTTAAGTCTCCTGCCTCTGGATTTCAGTTTTATTCTTCCAATAGTCTCAAGACTTCTCCAACTATACAGCACTGATAATAAAACTTCTAGGTTAATGGTGAAAAGATTCTCCACCGTGAGAGACACCCAGAGAGGTTCACAGAGTTACATGAAGAATAGGAGAGGGAGGAAGGAGGTAGAGGTGAGCAGGAGGAGAAAAAGGGGACTCAAGAGGAGAGAGACAGATCTACACAGTTATCTGTTCCCAAAGTGTTCTCCGTAGCCCAGACACCCACAAAGATTCACAGAGTTGGATTGGGAAGAGAAGGGGAAAGGAGGAAATAGAGGTGTTCCGAGGTAGAAAACAGAGAGTCAAAAGTGGGAGAGTAATCACCACACTCCTGAATAGAAATGGGAACTGAATACTGGATTCTTAAATGTCCAAAATTTATATCACCTACTACTGAAAAACAAAGATTAAAAATCTAGTGTAGAGGTTAGACTCTTTGAAATACAATATTTAAAAACAAAAACAAAAAAATTTAGAAATGTATATGAAGTTTGGTTTAAAAATAGGGTTTCTCTCTCTCTTTTTTTTGGGCAAGGTTATAGTGAAATGAAAATGAAAATTAAGGAATAATGGAGGAGTATTAGAGGACTTTAAAAGGAAATAGGAGAGAAAAACAAGAAAAAGAAAAAAAAAAAAATTTTTTTTCCCTAATTAAAAAAATCGTAAAAATATATGAAAATGAAAGTTGAGGAGTAATGGGGGAGTAATAGGGAATTTTAAAAGAAAATAAAAGAGAAAAAATAAAAAAGAAAGAAAAAAAATTTTTTAATTAAAAAAATATATATACCTATATATCTAGGAATTTCTCTGGAGTTGTTGCGGTCAGCGTAGGTTCAGTTCAATTTCAGATAGCTCCTCTTGCCAGCTTACACTTCTCGATATCTATAGGCCCCTTCCCGTGTAGTCGGTGTTACCTTCAGGGATTTTAATCTGTTGCACCAGTCCTTTCTGAAGCGGTTCCCTTTGTTTATTTGGCTTCTGTTTGCCGCCTCTTCCGTGTCTAATTTCCGCCCTGACACAGGCGGGTGGAGGTGATCTCTTATTTAGGTTCGCCAGTTCAGTTCAGTCCTGCTACGGGGAGGGCGGGGCGCTGCAGACAGATACCGCTCTGTGTGGATAGCACTCACCGTGTTCCGGCCACACTGGGTTTGCCCCGCTCACGGGTGTCAGTGCTTTCCCCGTCTACACTGCTCAGGCTCCCGGCGGCTCTATATGGAGCGGGCCCTGCGTTGAGTGCGGTTCCAGTTTTCGGGTACTCCACAAAAGCGCGGATTCGGTTGCGCCTGCGTTTTGTGCCTTCCCCGGCCTGAGCGGTTCAGGCAGCCAGAGCCTTGGGCGCACTCTCCCCGGGTGTGGCGCGCCTTTTCCCTCCGCGGCGAGCGGCTCCGGCAGCCAGAGGCTTGGGCGCACTCTCCCCGGGTGTGGCGCGCCTTTTCCCTCCGCGGCGAGCGGCCCAGGCAGCCAGAGGCTTGGGCGCACTCTCCCGGATGCGGCGCGCCTTTTCCCTCCGCGGCGAGCGGCCCAGGCAGCCAGAGGCTTGGGCGCACTCTCCACGGGTGCGGCGCGCCTTTTCCCTCCGCGGCGAGCGGCCCAGGCAGCCAGAGGCTTGGGCGCACTCTCCCCGGATGCGGATGCGGCGCGCCTTTTCCCTCCGCGGCGAGCGGCCCAGGCAGCCAGAGGCTTGGGCGCACTCTCCCCGGATGCGGATGCGGCGCGCCTTTTCCCTCCGCGTCGAGCGGCCCGCTTGGGCGCACTCTCCCCGGATGCGGGCGCGCTTTTTCCCTCCGCGTCGAGCGGCTCAGGCAGCCAGAGGCTTGGGCGCACTCTCCCCGGATGCGGGCGCGCTTTTTCCCTCCGCGTCGAGCGGCTCAGGCAGCCAGAGGCTTGGGCGCACTCTCCCCGGATGCGGCGCGCCTTTTCCCTCCGCGGCGGGCAGCTCAGGCAGCCAGAGGCTTGGGCGCACTCTCCCCGGGTGCGGCGCGCCTTTTCCCTCCGCGTCGAGCGGCCCAGGCAGCCAGAGGCTTGGGCGCACTCTCCCCGGATGCGGACGCGCTTTTTCCCTCCGCGTCGAGCGGCTCAGGCAGCCAGAGGCTTGGGCGCACTCTCCCCGGATGCAGCGCACCTTTTCCCTCCGCGTCAACCGGCCCAGGCAGCCAGAGGCTTGGGCGCACTCTTCCCGGATGTGGCGCGCCTTTTCCCTCCGCAGCGGGCAGCTCAGGCAGCCAGAGGCTTGGGCACAATCTCCCCGGGTGCGGCGCGCCTTTTCCCTCCGCGGCCCCAGCGCGCGCCGCCAGTCGGGTCTCAGGAAGTCTTTAGATGGGAACCGGGGGCCTGTTTGCAGTGTGGGAGCGGGTGGCTTCTCAGGGGCTGAGTTTGCCCTTTTCCCTTCCCCCCTGCCTCCTACCTCCAGTGGGGATGGACCGGCTCTTCTCTGGACTTTCTCAGTCCCTTTGTTTTGCGAACCGCCGGCAGTGTGTTCGGGCCGGTTAATTTGGACCCTTGCTATCCCACAGTTTAAAAGAGCTCCCTCCGATTGCTCTCAGGGTCTTCGGGCCGGTCCTTACCCTAAGCAATGCCGCCCGCTCCTCTCCGTCCCGCCCCCGCTTGTTGCTGGCGGGTACGGGCGTCTGGGGTACTTTTCTGCTGGGAGTTGCTTTTAGGCACGTAATCTGTGGGCCTTGTTTAATTTTTCCTCCCAGTTAGATTGTCGAAAACTTCCCCCAGTCCCGCCAGTGCGAGGGTTTCCTGGTGATTGGGAACTTCCTCTATTAAGACTCCCTTCCCGGGACGGGTCTCCATCCGTAGCTCTTTTGACTCCCTTTTTGTCTTTTATATTTTGTCCTACCTCCCTTCCAAGACAATGGGCTGCTTTTCTGGGCGCCTGATGTCCTCTGCTAGCGATCAGAAGTTGTTTTGTGAAATTTGCTCAGCGTTCAAATGTTCTTTCGATGAATTTGTAGGAGAGAAAGTGGTCTCCCCGTCCTACTCCTCTGCCATCTTGGCTTCCCGAGGAGTGAACTTTTGAAGAGTGATGGGAAAAAGTTAAGAAATAGGTAGTAAGAATAAAGAGTAAAATGAATTTTTGGAGAATATGTTGCTTATTATTATGAAATAACTTCTAGTTAATCAACTGTGGAGAAGATGAATCAGGATATTCTCTGGAATTCAGAATTTCTTATTTTTATCTTTAGCTCAGAGTTCTTTTCACGTTGCATCAATCATGAAAGGAAGGCTTACTTGTTGACCGATATTTGAAACAGAAGAGTTCAAAGGAAAAGACTGAAAGAGCATATATTTGTACTGCCTCTAATTATAGATGAGAACCAGATATTCTTCCTTCTTTTTAAAAGGTTTAGCAAATACTAAATTAGACCCAGAGATTTTTTTCTTTCTTGACTCTCTTACTGACCTCAGCAGAGGTACTTGTCAAGCCACTAAAGCATACAGTGCTACCCCTGTCTGTGAAAAGATCACCACTGCGAATTGCTTCTGTACTTCTGATAACAATGCTTAAATTTTTGAATAACCACACTGATATAGTTTGTAATTATCACACCTTTATGAATGAAATAAAGGCATCATCTTTTTGTTCTGATACTGTTTGTTGAACTTTACTTTCAATCACATTTGCTAGGATGTACTTGTGTAATCCTCATTGAACTACAGAGGACTCTAATAATAACAGAGTTATTCTGTTTGGAGGTCATTTTCCTTGTTCATTCTCATGTGTAGGGTCCTAAGCTGCTTGTATTGAAATAGAAATGTATGATTTTCCAAGAACCTCAACTGTGTCCTAGGTGGAGCGAAGTCACCAGGAAAGTGGAGTTTTGGGTTCAAATCTTGGAGCAGAATGAGAGTGGTGAGCACTGCCCCGTAGAGGTGGTTCCTGCAAAGGACGTGCCGACAGGCGGGATCTTCCAACTCCGGCAGGTAATGAGACTGCGAACGCTAGCATGGAATTCTCTGGTGCCATAAAGGTTAATATTGGATTCCTTCCAGTGGAAACATCCGTGATGATGAAACCTAGATTGGTCAAGATCATTTCTTCTGCTAAAGTCGTCTCTCACCTCATGTGTATTTTCTTTCATTTAAAAAAAAATGCTATCTGTAGTATTTAAAACCAACTTCTGTTAAGTTGAAGTAAGAAAAAGATGAGCTTTAAAGTGACTTAGAATTGAATTGTTGGAAGTAAAACAAACATATCAAGCAGCATTAGAGCATTTATAAAGACGTGGAGAGGCCGTGATACGGCAGAAAGAACAAGCACTGTGGAGTCTGATATGCCAGGGTTCGGTTCCAGCTGTCCCATGGCCTCGCTCTATATCTGTGAGCAAATCATCACCTTCTTGAATCTTGCCTCATGTGTGATGTTGAGGGGATGATAACACTAGCCTTGGAGGGTTAGTGTGAGGATTAGAAACTCTGTATATGGAGCCCATTGCTAGAGTCGGGGGAGGTGAGAAGTAGGGAGGCCTAAAGCCCACCAGCTCTCTGCTTCTTCATAGACATCAATAGGGTGTCGTGTAATTCAATTCCTTTTGGACCCTAACCCACCCAGAGTGAGCATCACACCACAGGCTTAAGGGCTCAGACTTAAGCACACGACCACCTTCACTTCATATGCCAGCTGGGGCCCCAGGTCACCACCTTTCTGTCTGACTTGGCTGTAATCAAGGGTTCCTGTGACTCAGGTGGCATAAGTTGCTGGTGTGTGTGTGCGTGCTCAGTCGTGTCTGACTCTTTGCAGTCCCATAGACTGTAGCCTGCCAGGCTCCTCTGTCCGTGGGATTCTCCAATCAAGAATACTGGAGTGCGTTGCCACTTCCTTCTCCAGGGGATCTTCCCCACTCAGGGATCGAACTCGTGTCTCTTGCATTGCAGGCAGATTCTTTACTGAGACACCGGGAAAGCCCTAACAATGGACATGTGAAATCAGGGCAGCTAGGTAGATATGAATACCTGCCAGCAAGAAACCAGTATAGCAAAGACATGTGTGAAAACTGTCACTTAACTCCAGACAGATGCAATCTATAGTATCTGTGCTGCAAATTAAAGATGAGAGAGAACATCTTAATAGAATTTACATGTAAGACTTACAAACACTTTTTTTTGCTATTCTTTACATGAAGTCAATGTTAAGGAGGTTATTATATCCTATGATAGTTTCCATACTTTAAGACAATAGTAAAATATTAGAATGGCTCAAGAAAATATTGAAATCATTCAAAGCAAAATATAAGGTTAAAGGCAAAAGAAAGTTTGCTTAAGTATTTCAGTTTCTGAATGTCTTGGGAGGAGGAAAATGATAAACACTTGTTTTCTGACCCTACTAAATGACTTGTAGCACATTCATTCACATATGGACAAGGCACTAAAAGCAAAAAGAAATTAGTTTAAATTATAATGTGAGATATATACATAAAATAGGATTCAGAAAGGCATGAAGAACATCTTTTCCTGAACACCTGTTGAAACTATATATCTTCTTTGGATGCCATAGAGGTTCATCTCCTGGAAGGCAAGATCAGATACTTTTCTGTGGTTTGGTATAAATTGAATATTTAAGTGTTTGTCATACTTCTGGCAGCCTTTATTGAAAGTGATCAAAGGTATTTTGAATTTATCAGAAAAGGCTTTTTGAAGGATGTGTGTCTTGACTTGGACGGTGAAAGAATCATACCAAGCTGGAAAGGTTCTTCATACATAAATGGCAGAAATAGAGATAGAGGGTGGATTAGGCACATTTGTGTAGAAAGTAATATATCGAAAGACCTGGAAAGCAGTAACAGAAGGGGTTATATAGGCTTGTGGGTTTCCCTGGTGGCTCAGTGGTAAAGATTCCGCCTGCCAATGCAGGAGACGTGGGTTCGATCCCTGGGTTGGGAAGATCCCCTGGAGGAGGAAATGGCAACCTATTCTCTTTGCCTGGGAAATCCCATGGACAGAGAAGCCTGGCAGGCTATAGTCCATGGAGTCACAAAAGAGTTGGACAGTTGTTGGTGATTAAACAACAACAATAGAGGCTTGTGGCAGCTGCTTAATTCATGGAGGGCCTTGGATGGTAGGCATATTAGAATTTAATATTTTGGGTTGGCCCAAAAGGTTCGTTCAGGGTTTTCTATAACATCCTATGGAAAAACTCAAACATTTTGGCCAACCCAATATTTCAAAGTTGGAACCTACTTCTCTTGAATAGGAACGTTCAGAGGAGAACTTAGGAGATTAACCATATGCATTTGCTAGTTTTTTAGTTAAAAAATGGTGAAATAGCAGCAGTTACAAGAAATTCAATAGGTTACATATTCTGTTCAAAGCTTTTCTATGGAACATTAAGCCATTCCTGGATCTTTCCCCCCCATTGTTCCCTCTCCTTTTCCTGTATCCTTCCCCCAAGTGTAGATACCCTTCACATTGGAGTACACATTCAGAACAGATCACTTTCTGTCTCAGCAAAGTAAAAACAAAAGGTAGCCAATTGAAATGACTAAACTATTATAGACAATTAAAATGTTTTTTGAGTTACTTTCTTCACAAAATATCTGATACATAGTCCTTGGAAAATATTAAATCAAAGACATCTGCAACCCATCTCTTTAAATCTAGCTTGATAGGATCAATCACTGCCTAAGTTGATTTTCCTGATGATGCAAAACTCTTGGGAATTAAAATCCAATGGACGAGGGGAAGAGTGACTCAAAATTACATATTCTGATTCTGTTTTTCAAATTCTATTTGACATTCCTAAAATTTATAAGCCAGCTTTGAAGTCAGTGATTGGGGGTACTGGGAACTTTCTTTTAAAATGCTACTTCATTGTAAATGTTCAAAATCATGTAGTATTTATTGTGAAAATGTGCTTAAAGAAGGAACACTGTCTTTCTGATCAGTTGTTTATTTTGCAACTTGGTTTAAAATTATTTTACTTGGGCATTAGAACAGTGAATTCAGGATAATATAATTGTTCTTATTAGGCTGATTACTTACTTCTTAAAGTGGATCTTTATAATACTGAGTTTGGTAATCAGCTTTTTTAAAAAAGAAGTCTAGTTAACATCTGCCACCATACTCTAACTTAACATATCATGTATGTTTTTCTATAGCAATATTTTAATGTTTACAGTATAAATTTCACTAATATACTATAGATAGTTTATATTTCATTAATATACTAGAGCTTGTGTTATGAGTATTGTACATTTAATTTACACCTAATTTTTTGTTATTCTTCATTGTGCTGTAAGATTCTTTATGTGCATGTATGATTATTAAAACAGATTCCTAGAAAGTTGAATAACTGAGTCAAATGAAACTTATTTTTTAAGGCAAACTGCCCTGCAGAAAGCTTTACCAATTTACCAAGGATGTGTGTCTTGACGTGGACGGTGAAAGAATCATACCAAGCTGGAAAGGTTCTTCATATCTAAATGGCAGAAATAGAGATAGAGGGTGGATTAGGCACATTTTGTGTAGAAAGTAATATATCGAAAGACCTGGAAAGCAATTTATATTCCCTTTACCAATTTATATTCCCACCCACAGTGTATGTAATTGCCTTTTTCATAAACTTTGGGCAATATTATAAATGGCCTTTATAAACAGTAATTACTAGTTTAGAGAAAGTAAAGGTATTTCATGCTTATTTTAATTATTAGTTTAACATTTTATATTATTTTGCTTATTAGTAAATTGAACATTTTGTATTATCTAGCATTTTGCATTTCCTTGGTTAGAATGTTTTCTTTTAATTTTTTTTTTGTTCAAAAAATATGTAAACTATAGATTTGTTCTTGATTAGTTTTTTAATTTGTATTTTACTACTAAATGTGTAAGATTCAGTACCTTGAAAGCTAAATGCTTTTCTCAACATTCGCCTGTAGGGGTCTCTCTAAACCCAAATTTTGGAACTCAGACCGATTTTAAGAAACTTAAAATTGTGTGTGGTGCAGGGGCAGTCCCGGCGAGTCCAGGTGGAAGTGAAGTCTGTGCAGGAATCGGGGACTCTGCCGCTGATGGAGGAGCGTATCCTGTCGGTCGGCATCGGGTGTGTGAAAGTCAGGGCGCCACGGTCACCGAAGACCCACGAGACCGTCCATGTGAGTCTCGGGACAGAGCCAGCCAGGCCAGAGTCTTCTGGAACCTGTCAGAAAACTGCCTTTCATGAACAGTTCTTTTCAGTATTTTGTTTCCTTTGATATCTCTTTTTCTTTTCGTCCTCTTTTTTAAAAACTGTATTGCATTTGCAAAGAATCACTGCCCCAGACTGTTGGTTGTCCCTGGTCCATGGCAAGCTGAGGGTTAAAACATCTCCACCTCCAGGAACTCCTCATGCCTGCTAGTCATTAACCCCCTCCCCCCCATCACCCACATCTCCCCGGAAACCCCCTACTGGCTTATGAAGACTCTTTGCCAGCAGGTGTTTGATTTCCCCTGGGGAGTAGGACTATAAACCCAGCAGGAAAAGTATTGTACTAGCTCCCGAAAAGGTCAAATGAGTGTTCTTCACTTTCCTGTGAGAAGCTTGAGGTTTCACTCCAACTCCCTTGCTGGTGGGAGATGAAAAGGCATATTCATAAAATTAGAAGATATAAACTATGGAGCTAGATTTGTGTTGTTTAGTATAGCCTGATTCTTTGATAAATGCTGGTTTCGGCTCTGCATAATATATTTTTCCTTTTAGGAGGAAGAGGAGGACATGGACAGCTACCAGGTAATGAACCACGGGTTAACCTCATCAAATTAGCTTGATTAAAGTACTCAATTACAGGTTCTCGAGTCTTGCCATCCTGTTGCTTAATAATTAGACAATTAGTTTTGATTCAAGTATTGCTTTTTCTCAAGTTTTAAAACAGAGTCGAGAACCACCATTTGTGACTGTTTCTCATTTTCCAAACCTGGGGCTTCCCATCCAGGTCCTTACAGACCCATTTCTTCAGATCCTTTTTCTGTTTGCCCAAAAGAGTGGTCTTAGACTGGGCTCCAGTCAAGCCACACCCTTAGGTGTCTTCCATACTTTAAGCCAGTCCCCTTTTCCCATTTCTTGGAGTCATACAGATTTTCTTTTGTTTTCTCCTCCGCTTCATTCCCTACTCTCCTGCAATATTTTGTTTATGTCTGATAAGTTTTATTTTGCCAGTCTGGTTAGTCATCATCTAGGACTGTCAGAGCTCTTTGGATCCTGAATATGTCATCCAGTGTCGTCACCCTCATGATTTGGCCTCATTCTAATTGGATAAACATGTCTGCCTTCCTATAAGTCACTGATAAAAGCCTAGCATCAGAGAGGGTTAAATAGAGTCCTGTGGCACGGCCGAACAGACTTCTTTTAAGCTGATATTACTCCATGAATCACTGTCCTTTGGATGTGATATTTCATTCGTCTGTAATTTCGCCCAAGTAGATCCATTGCATATTTCTCCATCTTGTCCACAAGAATGTCAGGAGTTATTTGGTTAAGTGCCTTAGTGAAACCCAGATACGCCGAGTCTGCTCAGCATTCCCCTGATCTACCCGTCTCGTAACTTTATTACAGAAGGAAATGAGGTAAGAAGGGCGCGTAGTCAGGTGTTGACTGGTAGTTTTTAGTCTGTTGATAACACACTCCCCTCCAGAATCCCACAGAAACAAGGAGAGAAGCGTTTAGGTGATACACAGAGACTGGTGGAACATGTTGAAGACTGTAGTTAAGAAATTTAAAAAGTTGTTATGATGGTTCTAAAGGAAATAAATGTGAGGATTGTCAAGTAGTAGTCATGGTTTTTGTGGGATCTTAGTTCCCCAACCAGGGCCCGAACGTGCACTCCCTCCTTTGGAAGGTGGAATCTGAACCACCAGACCACTGGGAAGTCCCAGTACTTGTGACTTTTATCAGCAGAGAGACCTTGTAGCTCTGCTGTACAGTGGCTTGAAGTTCTGTTCTGTCCTTTGAGCCAACGGGAATGAAACTGGTTCTGGATACCAGAGAATGCCCTTTCAGGAATGGTCTTACCATAGGACACTAATGCTTTAATTTCTGAAAGTTTCTGTTCTTAAGAATGGCTGAAGTCAACTAATAGTGATGACAAAAATGTTAGGGTGTGGTACTTTACATGTTTGAAGCCTGTTAGAGTAAGCTAAGATAGAGTTTCACATGTACTGTCTTGACAACATATTTACTCTAAGTTCCTCTGTTTACTTCCAGGATCGGGATTTAGAGAGACTCCGTAGAAAATGGCTAAATGCATTAACAAAACGTCAGGAGTATTTAGATCAACAACTGCAAAAGCTTGTCAGTAAACCTGGTACGAAAAGCAACCGGAACGTTTCCCTTTCCCCACATCAGAGTGTGGTTAATCCCTTGTTGGCCATCACAGAAAGGAAAAGTAGACGAACTCATCCATCATGGGAACCTCGAGGGCACAGGAATGGTGCTGATTTGTGTCACATCCTTTCAGTTCCAGTGATGTCTTTGCATAGGTCTGCCTTCCCCCTCAGTGACGAGGAATCAGAGTATGTGCAGTAAGCGCTTTCCCACACACATAACACAAGAGGCAAGCCTTTCTTGGTTTCTGGTCTAGAAGCCCTCGAACCTTCTGACTCTCAAGATCATTTCTGTTCTATTCCTTTGTGGCCTTTGATGAACGGAAGGTGGCCTCTCAGTGAGCGCACGCCAGCCCTGCTAGCCGATAGTCTGTATTTTATCATGAACTTTTCATCAGGAATTAGGGAAGTCATAAGTTGCTGGTGAACCCTCATCAGCCAGTACCTAGCATATACAGAGCGTACACAGGAGGAGGAAGTGGACTACCTGTGTTTGATCTTGGTTCTAATGTTCTAGATAAAACAGAGGATGATGCCGACCGTGAAGCTCAGCTCCTAGAGATGAGGCTGACTCTGACGGAGGAGAGGAACGCAGTCATGGTCCCCTCGGCTGGCAGCGGGATTCCAGGGGCCCCAGCAGAATGGTATGGGTGCAGCCATCTGTCTTCCAAAGTTCTCTGTGCTCCCAGGGCTGCCCACCTCCACTGTGGATGTTGCCTGTGCTTTGATGAATGGATGAGTCATAGTATATGGAAAAAAATTGTCTGAATTAGAGAAAGTGTTAAATTATTTTCATGAGTTGAAATAACTGTGCCCTAAAACTGTGTTTTATTAAGTAATATTGTTATTGGCCCAAGTAATTAAGATTTCTGAGAATCTAAATCAATATTTAGTGCCATCGCACTTAGCATTTAAAAAAAATAGTTAATATGTTAATTACTTGGGTCATTCCCTTAAAAGACGATTCACTCCTAATAAAATTGCATCTCCAGGAGTTTTTGATTTTGGTGCTGGCCTAAACTTAACTGTCAGCAGATGTTCTGTGCCACTTTATAGAAATTAAAAATATTGAATTAAGCCACATGGGGCTCTTAGATATATAACTTTGTAAGAAGGTACGTTGAAACAAGGGAGCTTCAACTTCAGTTTTAAGCAGGTACATGTGTCTCCTGGGCTCTGGTATCAGAGTGTATGATAATCTACATGAGAGCACCGGAGAAAAGCAGCAGTGGTGATCGTCAGGTCTTGGTGGCATCTCTGATGTGAAATTATAGCAAACCCAGTACCCAGCATTATTACTGGTTGACCTCTAATAGCTCTTAATATGTGAAAGCTGAGATACAAAGCATTGGGTTGGCAAAAAAGTTACTTTGGGTTTGTTATAACACCTTACGAAAACCCAAACAAACTTTTTGGCCAAGCCAATACATGCCACTGAGAAAGGCTGCTTTGTTTGAGATGCTGTTGTTCATTATGTTTTAGGACCCCAGTTCCTGGGATGGAAACACACATTCCTGTCATATTCCTTGACTTAAATGGTAAGTGAGGAAGTCCCTTCTGCAGGTTTTGCTCTGAAAACTTAATGTCTGAGTAACAGCTGTTGTTGTTTAGTCACTAAGTTAATGTCCAACTCTTTAGCGACCCCATGGACTGCAGCCCAACAGGCTCCTCTGTCCATGGGATTTCCCAGGCCAGAATAGTGGAGTGGTTTGCCATTTCCTTCTGCAGGGAATCTTGCCAACCCAGGGATTGAATCCATGTCTCCTGCATTGGCAGGCAGATTCTTTACCACTGAGCCTCTTGGGAAGCCCAAGTAACATTTAGATTCTGACCAGGTATGCAGATAGGCAGTTCTGCAGGCCTGAGGTTCAGGTCCACTTTATGTGTGCAAAAAGACTCTAATACCTCAACAGAGAATGAATTTCCTGTAAGCGTAATGTTTTTATAACAGTGATAGGTATGTTTCATTGTGATGTGTTCTCACATTTCATTCTCCAGCCCATATTGCCCCGTGTGCTGTATTCTCCCTTCAATTTAGGATGGTAGTAATGTTTTCCTGCACTTAATTCTCAGGAAGAGACTTCCCTCCGGAAATGACTAATAACTAGTGATGGTCGTGTAGCGTGTTTTCTTTTGTCTGGCGTCGTCTTAGCATCACCTAATGGATTTGTCACTTTTTCTGTGAGTTCTTGTGCCATCCATCCATGCATCGCTCCCCCCTACCCCGCACCTTTTAAAAATTAGCCTCATTTTTTTCACCCTCGTGAAATATTTTGGATATGGCTATATTTTACATATATTCTGTCTGAGGAGAGAAACTGAAAATGAAAAGGTAGATTAAAGAGCTAAAAATAATTTAAAAGTCAGCATTTAAATGCCCAAGACATCTGCAGAACCGTGTATTAAAATGAACTGTCCTAAACAGACAAGCGTGGATGCGCTCCTAGTTCTCTTTCGCCCTGAGAGTGCGTTTCGGCATCTGTACTATTTGGCTTGGACTTACCTGGTGACTCAGCAGTAAAGAACCCACCTGCCAGCATGGAAACCCAGGTTTGATCCCTGGGTCGGGACGATCTCCTAGAGGAGGAAATGTCAACCCACTCCAGTATTCTTCCCTTGAAAACCCCATGGACAGGTGAAGTTGGCGGGCTGCAGTCCATGGGGTCACAGAGCCTGGTGGCTTAGCAGCTGAGCCGCAGGCACCATTTGGCTTACTTGGATGTGTGGGCGATTTGTATATTCACAGGGAGTCAGAGAGGAAGCCACTTCCGCTGTCTGTCTGCCCATCGTGGTTTTAAGGTCTTGCCACAGCACTCTACCCTGCATTGTTCTCTCGAGCCTTGGAGACTGAAGGCAACTCTGTCCTATCCTTATATTAGGTTCCTAGATGGGTGAGGGGTGTGTATGTGTGTGCAGGAGGGCTGGAAAGTGGAAAAGAATAAGCTTAAAGATGACCTGGCAGTATGGATATTCCAAGACAGGAGCAGCACCCTGCTGAGCCTTATGTCTATTCTTTGTCCATGAAGCCCACGTCCTGGAAAAGAGACTTTCAATGCTCATCCCCAAGCTTAGATGGATGGGGAATTGGGAGGGCCAGGCTTGGACGTGAGTAATCAGAGGACCACAGGGCAACCATTCCGTTTCTAGCTCATGTAGCCAATAGATTTGTTTTGTTAAATTTACCTGTCAGATAATTAGAAATCACTCTCATTGTCATGTCTTCAGTGCACTGAAAGACCAGGGAATTGGGGTTATAATCCTATCCTTAACATTTATGGGTTGACCTTGAGTAACCTCTTGGGTTTCTTGGCTTCGATCGCCTTCCATGCAAAATAAGGCACTGAAGCAGGTGATTGGATTGAGATGATTTCTTGCGGCGTCTCCCATCTCTGAGATGTGTGAACTGTTTAATGGTCATCCTCTGTGTCATGTAAGATTTCAGAGCCAAAAGCAAATGAAATTTGAGGCATGAGGATTCTGCTACTAAGCACATTGAAATGTAGCTGGTAGGGGTTATCCTTTAAAGTGATCTCTGTATTTAATGGAACTTCTCTGCTTTTAGCTGATGATTTCAGCTCTCAGGATAATCTCGATGACCCCGAAGCCAGTGGATGGGATGCTACCCTCGCTGGGGAAGAGGAGGACGAGTTCTTTGAGCTGCAGATCGTGAAACAGCATGACGGAGAGGTAAATGAAGTGTAACTCGGGAAGACTGGGTGAAAAGTAGTTCCTTTAACCTTTCCACAGGCCTTTGGGAACAGTCAGCAAAGGTATCATTTCAGTGCCTCCATTTCTCAAGAAATATAAATGAAAATCTTAATTGTGATTTCTGCAAAGAACGGAACCAGTTCCAGAAGGAAAGGACCAATCAGATTATGCCCATTCACTGTTGTGTGGCTCTTCCTGGTAAAGGATCTATGTTAGTATTAGCAGTTCAGATCAGCAGTGGTCCACTCTTTGGGGAAATGCTCCTAATGTACATGAAGGTAAAACAGCACGATATTTGGCACTGACTTTGAAATGCTTTAGTAAAGACTTCTGAATAAGGGGGAAAAGGAATAGATGAAGCCAGATGAAAATGTTTCAGTCTGAGTGATGGATATACACTGGGGGCTTAATTTCTAATTTTGAATATATTGGAAAAATGATGAAAGATTTTAAGGAAGGAAAGCCAGTGCAATACTCAGAAGGACATACCAACACTTCGTGTTATTCAAAGATGCAAAGCTTAAACTGGGGTATATTCTGTAAAAACAGTAAAACATTCTGTAAAACAGTGGGCCTGCACCCTTCTTTAAGAAGCCAGTGTCATGAATGGCAAAGAAAGGCTGGGAACCAGCCTAGATGAAAGTGAACTGAAAGGACAGGACAGCTAAATGTAGTTTGAGATCCCACATGAGAAGTGTTGAAACATCTGAGGATGGACCCTGTGTTGTACAATAGTGTTCAGGTGTTACATTTCCTGAATATGGTCACTCCTCTGTGGTTAAGTCAGAGGAGGTCCTCGCTCTTAAAGGATCCTTGCTGGGGCTTCCCTGATGGTCCAGTGGTTCAGATCTTGCCTTCCAGTGCAAAGGGTGGAGGTTTGATCCCTGGTCATGGACCTAAGATCCCACATGCCTCGGGGCCAGAAATCCAAAACATCAAACAGATGTAATGTTGTAACAAATTCAATAAAGTCTTTAAACTTGGCCCACATCAAAAAATCTTAAAAAAAAAAAAAAGATACTTGCTGAAGTGTTCAAGGATAAAGAGTTACATGTCTGTAACTTACTCCAAAGTAATTCAGCAAAAAAAAAAAAAAAACCCCAAAACAACAGCAATACTGAATGTGTATGTGTGAGAAAGAGGAAAAAAGGGAAGATGTTCACAGTTGATGAATCTGTATGGGAGAAACACAGGAGTTCATTGTACTAAATTTACAGCTTTCCATTTGAGTATTTTTTCAAAGTAAATACATTTTCACTGCCAACCAGGAACATCCTGCTCTGTACCCGCCCAGGTAGGTACCTGAGGCCACATCCCCAGGTTCCGTGGTCTCCCAGGTCATGCTGCAGGCAGCACTGCCCTCGTGACTGGTCTGTTCCCCTTGGGCCAAGCCAAGACGTTTCCTTGTGAGGTTCTGTGTTTTAGGAGGAGGAGGTGACTCGGTCCTTTCCATCTTCTCTGCAGGTGAAAGCGGAAGCCTCCTGGGACTCGGCCGTGCATGGCTGCCCTCAGCTGAGTAAAGGCACCCCCATGGACGAGCGGGTGTTTCTCATCGTGCGGGTGACTGTCCAGCTCAGCCATCCAGCCGACATGCAGTTGGTATTGCGCAAGCGCATTTGTGTTAATGTTCACGGCCGGCAGGTGGGTCACTGATGCTCATTGAGGAAGCGACTTTGGGTCTGACGTAAGGGCGGGGCAGTGGAAGGATCGCTCTGGCCTCTGACCCCTGGGCTCTGTGGTGCTCTGAGCTTTTCTCCGCCAGGCGACTGTGGCTGTCCCGTGCCCGTGTTTGCTTCAGTCCTGGAGCCCGTCAGCCTGACCGCCTCCTAGATGGCACTGCATTGTTACCCTGAATCTTTATGACTCCACAGTCACAGCTCAGCCCTTCATGTGGGTGCCATAGAGCCCTGTCAAGGCGAAGTTCACTGTTTTGTCTTTGACTTTCCATCTGGGTCTGACGAAATGAGAAGCTCACTGCCGACGAGCTGTTGTCTGTGCTCCTCACCCTTGGTTTTCCACGCTTTCCTTTCTTTTCTGCTGGTTCATGTATTTGGAGAGAGTCCTCTGCAGAGCTTTGGGGTGGAAGGATGAATGAGAAATAGCCTGCACTCTTAAAGAGCCCGTGTCCACTGACCCGTGAGTGTGTAAACAGGGGCCTGTCTTCTCTGGTGGTGGCATGGCCGTGCAGGTGCTCGCCAGGGCAGAGGTGCTGGAGTAGTCGGGGAGGGCTTCGGAGAGGAGGGGACTTGGAGCCGCTCCGCTGCGGACAGGAGCGGTTGGCAGGCAGAGAAGGACTCGTTGGCTGCTCCCCAGAGAGGAGGAAATACACATGCAGAGATGGTGAGGGAGGAAAGGGCGTGGCAGGCTTGGGGACCACGAGAAGCATAGTCTGATGGTCAGAGTGTTCTGTAGAGGCCGTGACCATGCCTGTCCACACAGTTGCAGAGAGATTATGAAGGACCTGGTGCCATATGAACCGGTTCAGTAGAAAACTTCTAGATAAGAATAGAAACCACTTCCCTTATTGGTTTTGCAAAGATAGGATTTGAGAGGTTGAGTCTAGGGATTCTTCTCAATATACTGGCTAAAACCAGACAGATGAAAGTAAATCTTCTCATTTAGAAGAGTACAGTCATGGTTGACAGAGTCCTAGATGTAATCTCTACCCCTAAAAATTAATCTTTAGTTCTAAATGTCACACTGATATCAATCTTTGAATGAAGACGGGCCGTAATGCTGTTAAAATTCAGCTCTTCGGCTTGGCACTCCAGCATCAGTACATATAGGTCATGGGGTAGCTGCCGATGTACGTGCTGTGTCTCCCATTCACTCTTTTCTGAGAAGTCTTTGAGGAATTGGAAAAAGACGTGTTGCTCTTGGGGAGCATTTTGAAGAGTTATTTGCCATTTCAGAACTAGGGGTTCTGGCTGCCAGGTGCTGAGACTGACCTGGTTCAACCACCAGTCCCCCCCAGAAATTTTAATAGAAAGGTGTGTTGTGAACTCACCAAGTTTCTTCTGTTTTTTTTGTTTTTGTTTTTCTAATTAATTTTTAAAATTTGTAGATGTGAGAAGTTGCTGCACTCCCCCCTGGTTAAAATGATTTGATATCAAACTGAAATTCAGATGGTTCATTAACTAACATTTGCTTTTCTGTAGCGAGAGCAGAGACTTCCTCTTGACCCTAATATATGCAAGTTAGCTTCAGTAATTCTGTACAATTGGTAGATGCCGGGGGATGGGGTGGGGAGTGGGGATGAGGACTTAGTGTTTAATGGGGACAGAGTCTCAGCTTAGGAAGATGAAAAGTTCGGGAGATGGATGATGGTAAGAGTTGTGCAACAATGTAAATATTGCACAGTGGCACTGAACTGTGCAGTTAAATATGGTTAAAATGGCACATTTTATGTAACTTTTACCACATTTAAAAAACATTAAAAAAAATAATTTCATACAAATAGAAAACAGAAAAGTAAGATAATGGTGGCCCCCTCACCTCCTCCCACCACCCATTAAAAGAAAACAAACTGTAGCTGTACTTTGACCAGTGTAATTGGTGATGGTTCAGCCTTGGAAGGCTGGAGTCAAGAGTGAAGGGATGAAATATATGCATTCTAAGAGGCTCTTGCATTCTTAGACACTAACAATTTTTTAAAAATTAACTAAAGATCACTAAATTGTTATTAAGTTTGTGAAAATACATACCTCTGAGACCAAACAGATTTTTCCCTTTTATGTTTGGGTTTTTTGTGTTATGTTAAAAACCTATATCCTACTTTGCTTTTGCATGGGGAAAAAGGTTCAGTGTTGGTTTAATATCCTTTCTCCTCCTTATTTTTATTCACCAATTGTATTCTGCCCTCATCCCTGCTCTCTTCAACCTCTACAGGATGTTCAGTCTTAGCAGCATCTTCAAATGAGTCATCTCTGCATTAATTCAACAGTTCAATTCTTAAGCGTGCAGAGAGCGCAGTCAGCATAAACAGTGACCATGCACTCTTAAATCATTCTCCGTAACGACCCTGCTTTGGTCAAGAATTTAATGCCTGAACTTGTCAATATTCATAGTGCAAGATGTCCATTGTGCTGGGAAAAAAAAGATTAAAGAGTCACCAGCCTTTCTTTACATTTTAGTTGGAAGGTCATTTTATTGCGTAGAAGTCAACAGTCTTATTTCTGTAGCCCTTTTAAAGCAGAGTTGAACCAGATGCCTGCCGTGGTTCCAGAGTTTAGGATCTGCACTTTCATGTATGGGTCTGGCACATGGCAAGCTTCATATAAATGGGTTTGTTTGGGGCACTGGGAACACGGTGTGAAACCTACATGCAGTGATTTGGGTTTTGATTTAAATTGCAGATAATGTTTGTTTCCTTTTTGGCTAGAGTGAATAAGGTGTCTTTTATGCTGCCTCTTTGTTAATGAAAACTCAAGTTTTTGAGATGGGAAGCCATATCTTCTATTTTGTTTTTTTCTAGGGTTTTGCTCAGAGTCTCCTCAAAAAGATGTCACATCGAAGTTCTATTCCAGGCTGTGGAGTGACTTTTGAAATTGTCTCCAATATTCCAGAGGTGAAGGATCATATGAAATTTGAGTTTACTAAGAATAAACATGTAAAAAGAGCTAACTCCCTGAAAAGTCACGTACCTAAGAAATACCTATCAAATGAAAATGTGTGTATACAAAAATGCTATAGGCTTGTAGAGGAATTTTGTAATGGTAACTTGATTCATACTAAAATGTGTGTGCATATGTAATACTTCTGTGGGCTTAAAGGTTCTGGTTTTAGTCTTTTGTTAAAGAGGAGTCTTTTGAAAAGCAAATCAGCACCATTTTACCCACAGAAGAGGATATAACCCTTAAAGGGAGACAGCACAGCATAATACAGAGTTCCAGGGTATCATATTGGAATCAGACAGAAATCTTGTTTCTGTCACCTCTTAGTAAAGTGAACTTGGGTAAGTTACTTTGAGCCTAAGTTTTTTCGTTTATCAAACTGGGTTAGTAATACCTCCTATACAGAGTTGTTTTTTAAGGATTAAATGAGACAAGATACACAAATTGTATACATGCTAAAGAGTAAATTGTAATTGCTATTATAGTTAGCAATAGTATTACTATTAAATACTAATGGGGTAGCATTAAAAAAATTTTTATTTTTAAATTAATTATTAATTACTATTAAATACTAATAAATAGTATTTATTACTGTTTTTCTTTTTGAGCTAATTGCATAGAAATCAAACAAATGGAGCTGAAAATACCCCTGACAGGCACTTGTTAGAGAATGTAGTTTATATGCTTCCGAATACTTATTCCCTGATTTAGACAGATTTGTTCACCCGGTTATTGGCACAGCTAGTAACCAGGCCTTCCTTACCAGGCTACGAGAGGCGAGGGGTCTAAGGAAAGGACTCTGTGACAAAGTGAAGGAGAGTGGTTCCTTCCGCCGTGTTGACTACAGAGAATTTGGCAGAGAATGAGGAGGTCTAGGCTGTGCTGCTCTTGGGGGTGGAAAATGGGAATGGGACCCTGGGGCGAGGACTCCCACCTAAACACACCGTCCACCATGCCTTCATACTCTTCATTCAGGGCCTCAGTGTCTGTCGATCGATTCTGTTGAGTATTTGAACAATAGATGGACAGTACATATTGGAAGACAGATCAGGTTTTGGAAGACTGAGAAGATTACACAGTATTTGGGCTTCGTTTTAGAGTTCTTTTATTGCAAAACACTTTTGCTCTCAAATAATGTCAAATAATGACTAAATTCTTCCCGGCTCTTCAAAGTATCAGGCTTATAAGGCAGATATTAACTGTTTGACTATTTAATTTTGAACCTGCCGAAACTTTAAAAATTGAACTCCTTTTCGAGTTAGACTAGCTGCAGAATCTTGGGTCTGTAATAGGTTGCTCTGTGTATGCTTGTAGCCAGAGGTTTACTGTTTATTCTCTGTATCTGAATGCTTTCTCTCTTTTTCCAGTTGTTTTAGATCTTAACTCTATAAATAGTTTGAATGCAGTTGAGAAACACAACTGCAATGAACCATCCTTTTCTCCCTTCATCTTTCTTCCCCTCCTTCCTTCTCATTTGCTGTTTTCTTTTTCTCTTTCCCAGGGCTTTTATTCTTCAGGCGACATGGTTTTCAAATGGCAAAAGCGTGCAGTAATCAGCGGAAAGATAAACAGACAGCCTCAGGTGATGGGGCTACCTGTTAATAATTCGCAAAACGACTAAGTTGGCAGGTGTTAGGGTCACATTATCAATTCCTAATGATAAAAAGGAAAAATGAGACTTAAAGCCTACAGTGTAAGGATTTGTTTTTTTATTTCAAAATAAGCTTCTTAAAAGCTGTGTTTCATCATGAAGAAGCCTGGGAAAGTTCTTTATGTTTCATGTTACAGAGGCCATGAGGACTCAGTAGCAAAAAAAAGTGGTCATAGACCAGAGAGCAACAGGAGATGGTTTTGTCTTTCTTTTTCTTCTCTGGTTTTTTTTTTTTTGGTTAAAAGCAGCTAGAATGCTTTCATTGCTAATGGGGGTATAAAATGATACATTCACTGGCAGTTTATTATCAAGTTAAATAGAATACCCCATCACTCAGTAATTCCACTTATAGGCCCTTACCCAAGAGAAATGAAAACATATATCCATAAAGATTTACGTAAGAATATTCAAAGCTGCTTAATTCAAAACAACTTAAAGCTGGAAACAACCCAAACATCCATCAGCGGAGGAATGGGTAAATAAATTATGGTGTATCCATACTGTGGAGTATTATTCAGCCGTACACAGTAATGAACTACATGATGACCAAATCTCTGAGTCACTATGTTAAGTGATCAGCCAGATGCAGAAGGGTATCATTCCATTTTTGTGAACTTCTAAAACAGGAAAAACTAATCTGTGGTGAAAGAACTGATCTTTCCTTAGGAGAGGGAAGGAGTTGAACTTTGTGAAGTAATGGAAATGTTTTATATCTTGAGAGGGATGTGGATAACATGGGTAAATACATTTCTTTAAAACTCAGGTATCTTCTCTCTCAGAAAACTAAGATATGTCTGTTCCCATCAGATACCATAAAGTATTCCATGTCCAGTGGTGAAAAGAATACTCCCATCAGGAGTCAGGAGACCAAAATTCTAGTCCTGCCTCTCTCGCTAATTATGCGGCCTTCCTCTTTCCTTGTCTGTAAAACAAGGATGGTTCCTAGACCCAAATGAATTACTGTAGAAGACAAAAGTTTTGTGAACTTAAGCTGTCTTCTGAATTTTTCCATATCTTATCTGTTCTAAGGCTTAGGTTAATTTAAAGAAAAATATTCCTGAACTTAGACTGTGTTTTAAAATTGATGCTGTCTTAAAGTTAATTGGCCGAGTTTTTCTTTTTTTTTTCCTTCTTAGTAATATGTAAAATGATTTTCTCTTAAAGTTAATGGCATCTTAAGATGCAGTGCATTTGGATACACTCAGTTCAGTTCAGTTGAGTCGCTCAGTTGTGTTTGACTCTTTGCGACCCCATGAACTGCAGTACGCCAGGCTTCCCTGTCCATCACCAATTCCCAGAGCTTCCTCAAACTCATGTCCATTGAGTCAGTGATGCTGTCCAACCATCTCATACTCTGTCGTCCCCTTCTCCTGCCTTCAGTCTTTCCCAGCGTCAGGGTCTTCTCCAATGAATCAGTTGTTCACATCAGTTGTCCAGAGTATTGGAGTTTCAGCTTCAGCATCAGTCCTTCCAATGAATACTCAGGGCTGATTTCCTTTAGGATTGACTTATTTGATCTCCTTGCAGTCCAAAGGACTTTCAAATGAGTCTTCTCCAATACCACAGTTCGAAAGCATCAATTCTTCGGCGCTCAGTTTTCTTTATAGTCCAACTCTCACATCCATACATGATTACTGGAAAAACCATAGCTTTGACTAGACAGACCTTTGTTGGCAAAGTAATGTCTCTGCTTTTTAATATGCTGTCTACGTTGGTCATAGCTTTTCTTCCAAGGAGTAAGCGTCTTTTAATTTCATGGCTGCAGTCACCATCTGCAGTGATTTTGGAGCCCCAAAAAATAAAGTCAGCCACCGTTTCCACTGTTTCCCCATCTATTTGGCATGAAGTGATGGGACCAGATGCCGTGATCTTAGTTTTCTGAATGCTGAACTTTAAGCCAAGTTTTTCACTCTCCTCTTTCACTTTCGTCAAGAGGCTCTTTAGTTCTTCTTTGCTTTCTGCCATAAGGGTGGTGTCATCTGCATATCTGAGGTTATTGATGTTTCTCCTGGCAATCTTGATTCCAGTGGTGCTCCATCCAGCCTGGCTTTTCCTATGATGTACTCTGCATATAAGTGAAACAAGCAGGCCCTTGACGTACTCCTTTCCCTAATTGGAACCAGTCTGTTCTTTATCTAGCTCTAACTTTTGCTTGTTGACCTGCATACAGATTTCTCAGGAGGCAGTCAGGTGGTCTGGTATTCCCATCCTTTTAAGAATTGTCCAGTTTGTTGTGATCCACACAGTCAAAGGCTTTGGTGTAGTCAATAAAGCAGAAGTAGATGTTTTTCTGGAACTTCTTTGCTTTTTCAATGATCCAGTGGATGTTGGCAATTGATCTCTGGTTCCTCTGCCTTTTCTAAATCCAGCTTGAACATCTCGGAGTTCTTGGTTCACATACTGTTGAAGCCTAGCTTGGAAAATTTTGAGCATTATTTTGCTAGCATGTGAGATGAGTGCAATTGTGGGGTAGGTTGAACATTCTTTGGCATTGCCTTTCTTTGAGATTGGAATGAAAATTGACCCTTTCCAGTCCTGTGGCCACTGCTGAGTTTTCCAAATTTGCTGGCATATTGAGTGCAGCACTTTCACAGCATCATCTTTTAGGATTTGAAATAGCTCAACTGGAATTCCATCACCTCCACTAACTTTGTTCATAGTGATGCTTCCTAAGGCCCACTTGACTTCCCATTCCAGGATGTCTGGCTCTAGGTGAGTAATCACACCATTGTTGTTATCTGGGTCATGAAGATCTTTTTTGTATAGTTCTTCTGAGTATTCTTGCTATGTCTTCTTAATATATTCTGCTTCTGTTAGGTCCATACCGTTTCTGTCCTTTATTGTGCCTGTCTTTGCATGAAATGTTCCCTTGGTATCTCTAATTTTCTTGAAGAGATCTCTAGTCTTTCCCATTTTATTGTTTTCCTCTATTTCTTTGCACAGATCACTGAGGAAGGCTTTCTTATCTCTCCTTGCTCTCCTTTGGAACTCTGCATTCAAATGGGTATATCTTTCCTTTTCTCTTTTGCTTTCGCTTCTCTTCTCTTCACAGCTATTTATAAGGCCTTGTCAGACAACTGTTTTGCTTTTTTGCATTTCTTTCTCTTGGGGATGGTTTTGATCCCTGTCTCCTGTACAGTGTCATGAACCTCCGTCCATAGTTCTTTAGGCACTCTTGTCTATCAGATCTAATTCCTTGGATCTGTTTGTCACTTCCACTGTATAATTGTAAGGGATTTGATTTAGGTCATACCTGAATGGTCTCGTGGTTTTCCCTACTTCCATTTAAGCCTGAATTTTGCAATAAGGATTTCATGATCTGAGCCACAGTCAGCTCCCGGTCTTATTTTTGCTGACTGTATAGAATTTCCCAGTCTTTGGATGCAAAGAATATAATCAATCTGATTTCGATATTGACCATCTGGTGATGTCCATGTGTAGAGTCTTCTCTTGTGTTGTTGGAAGAGGGTGTTTGCTATGACCAGTGGACTGGACCAAATGTTCGGTTTTACCATATGATGGTATGTAAAGCCCCGAGCAAACCTTTTGGCCAGCCCAGTGTATTTTGCAGGTTTTGATGTTGTTATAACAAAATTCACAAGTAAAGGCCCTGATTTTTCCCAAGAAGAGTGCTTTGTTATAAGCCACTATGAGCTTGAGAGATCTAATTAATTACATTAACAAAATCCCTCCCGTGACGTGCAAACATCCCACTGATATGCCTGAAGCAGCTGTGTCCCTGGAGCTGGGCACGGGAGCATATGCCCGGGGCTCGTCTGCTTGGTCGGCACCTGCTCTTGGGCCTCTGTCTGCAGGGCTGGGGATTGGCCTGTGTGGAGTGTGGAGTCCCTGGGAGGCCGCTTACTGAAAGGGTTGGAATCCAGCCGTTCTTCCCACTGTTGCCCTTCATACCTCTGTCTGCCTCCTGTGGGGTGGTTTGGGTCCCACGTGCGTCCCGCTCTCACCTCAGCTCCTTAGTCCTCCCTCTGGCCCCTTGAGATGTGGCCCTAGAGTACTGTTGTGGTCAGGTTCCCAGCTTGTCCCCCAGGTCCCCAGGTGCGGTGTTTCAGAATGCTCTGTGTTTAACTAGCCTTTCGGGTGACCCAAGCCACCCCGTATACCATGAATTCTGTGGGAAAACGCATTTTGAGTTCCAAGAGCTGACTTTAAAGTGGAACTTGGAATACATCCCGTTTGTTGGTTCGGCACTCTTTGTGAATTCGTATAGATCAGGATGCCTCTGAAGCATTTTCTTCTGCAGGGTACTTAATTTTAACGCATAATTGCCATCCTCCAGGATGCTCAGGGAGTCGAGGAACGAGAGGCGTTAGCAAGGATGGCAGCTGACGTGGAAAACACGGCGTCTGCCGACTCGGAAGCGTACATCGAGAAGTACCTCAGGAGTGTGCTGGCGGTGGAGAATCTCCTCACGCTGGACCGCCTCCGCCAGGTCAGCCGCTGGCGACAGGGCGGGGTGCCAGCCAGCTCGACCCAGGGTTTGACTTTCCGCAGTTCACACTGTTGTTAGGCCTAAACTTCTGAAACCTCTTAAGTGGAGCATGTTAATTTACATTAAACTTGCCGGGTGTGTCTTCGAAGATACAAAAATGACATTTGGAAGTTATTTTTTCCAAGACCCTAAATGGTAGCCAGTTGCCTGGGTAGTGCTGTGCGCGGTCGTGTCTGACTCTCTGCGACCCCGTGGACTGTAGCCCACCAGGCTCCTCTGTCCATGGGGCTCTCCAGGCAAGAACACTGGAGTGGGGTGCCATGCCCCGCTCCAGGGGATCGTCCCAACCAGGGATCAAACCCAGGTCTGCCGCAGTGGAGGTGGATTCTTTACTGACTGAGCCGGTAGTGGAAGGAAATATATCACTCTCGCTGGTTAAGAAGTATTTTACAAATTCCTTGACACTGGATAGTCGCCAAAGAAAAATGTAGCCCTGAGGCAGAATGTGTGTCCTTTCTTGGCCTCCACAGGCTCAGAGTGGATCTCCAGGAGGGAAAAGAGAGGTAACGGTCATAAACCCAAGGCTCAGAGAAGCTCTAAACATCAGTTTATGTGGCTGTGTTGAAACTTTAAAAAAAATTTATTTATTTAGGCTGTGCCAGCTCTTATTTAGGCCACAGCTGTGGCCTGTGGGGTCTAGTTTCCTGACCAGGGATCGAACCTGGACCCCCTGCTTTGGGAGCACAGAGTCGTAGACACTGCGGACTACCAGGGAAGTCCCCAAACTTTTTTTTTTTTAACAAAAATACTAATGAAACATAAAAGTGAATGGTCTGCTTTTCATAATCTTTCTCCTGGGACTCACTTGTGGCCAGCTTCAAGGGAGCCATCAGTAGATAAGGAAAGGGATGAACCACATAACCTGTCACTTGTTTAATTAACTTGGAGTATTCCACCGTGACAGTAATTGGGTCATTCTGGTGTATGAAGTAACAGCTGTCATTTAAAGAACTAGGGGACTTCCCTGGCAGTCCAGTGGTTAGGACAATGTGCATCCACTACAGGGGGCACGGGTTTGATCCCTGGTCGGGGAACTAAGATCCCACAAGCCGTGTGGCATGGCCACCCCACTCCAGTAAATAAAGAACTTGGAATATGTCCATAGCTCAAAGCCCGCTTTAGACACTGTTACTCTGGATGTGTGTGTCTCATGCGTGCTTTTCCTCTGTGTTTTCTCTGACCCACAGGAGGTTGCCGTGAAGGAACAGTTGACGGGAAAAGGGAAGCTGAGCAGGAGGAGTATCAGCTCTCCTAATGTGAACAGAGTGAGTACGCAGGATCCCGCCTGTGCTCGGCCCAGGATCTGCTTTCGCTCCTCCTCTTTCCTTGGATAACTCCTTTCCACCCTGCGAGTCTCATCTCGGGCGTAATTTCCTCCTCTGCACTGACTGAAGTCCCCACTTCTCTACCCCGTAGCATCGTTGCAGCCCCCCATCTCTGACCTTCCTAATGGTACACGGGAAGCATCCGTGGAAGTCCCTCTGGATTTGTTTCTCATTTATCTTCATACCTCCAGTGCCTGGCACAGTGACTGTGTTAGGTGAGCATGTGTTGAACTAATGCAAAGCTAGCGTAGTGCCTGGGGAAAGCTGTTTGAATTTTGTAGGCTGAACTTAATTACTTTCAGGTTGAGGAGAGGTCTGGACCATGTTTATAAACTCAGTTGCTCAAAGGTCATCCAGAGAGCATAAGTGAGTCAAATCAGTTAGGTTTGTTTTTGTCACAGTGTTGTAAGTTTGTTGATGTGTTTTAAAATATAGATAAAATTTACATGAATATGAAGTTTACAAATAATTCTTCACAAAGAATGCTTGGAGCCGTGTGATTTATCTTTACTTTCCTTACTTTTCATAAAGAGGTGGATGTGAGAAATAGTACACTGTTGTCTGAACTTCACACCAAGAGAAACCACGGAATAAATGTTGAAATAAAGAGCAGCTGACCCTTAGCTTTGGTGTTGGAGAGATCCCAGTGAGGGACAGGACAGGATGGGTGTCAGGCTGGAGGGCACAGGTGGCTCCCTGTGACTGAGTGATGTCACTGATGATCTCAGATGGAAAGATTGGGAACATTCTCAGACAGTAAATAAACCTCCCTTTAACTCAGCATCTTCTCACTCCTTCAGAAAATGATGTACTAAAATGCAGTGAATGATGTACTAAAATCTCTGTGCAGAGATTTTGTACTTAGAATCCTATGATTTAAAATAAAAAGTTTCAAAAAAAACCCCCCAAAACACCTGATACATACTGAGAACATACAGATGCTCAATACATGTTGGCTGAATAAGAGTATGAATAAATAACTGTTCTCATCTGCAACAACAGCAACAAAATAAATAAAGTAATATAAGTTGTTTCTGTGTAGACATTCACTGCAGCACCCAGAGAAATGAGTCATCAGATCAGGGCATGATAAGGGAACCCGTGGGCTTCCTTGGTGGCGCAGCGGTAAAGGACCTGTCTGTCAGTCAGGAGACTCGGGTTCCATCCCTGGGTCAGGAAGATGCCCTGGAGAAGGAAATGACAGCCCCCTCCAGTAAGCTCGCCTGAGAAATCCCATGGACAGAGGAGCCCGGTGGCTACAGTCCATGGGGTCGCAAGAGTCGGACACGGCTTTGCAACTAAACAACAGTAACAACAAGGAAACTAGTAGCCTGGTATCCTTTACATGGAAGCGGATAAACAAATCAAGTGTCCTTTACTTGGGCCCAGTTGGCTGTTAGCTCTATGTAAGCTGGACATCTGATCTTATTCAAACCTGCCATGTTAAAAATGTTAATTCAATTAAAAACACAAAAACTGTGCCTAACAGGGAACCAAAGGCCATGAGTCTAGTTTTCAGCTTGGTCTTGGCAGCCTCTCTCATCCAACTTTAACATTCTGTTGGTTTGGTTTTCAGAGTGTATTTCCAGGATCATGGATGTATGTGCTTTTGCACATAAAGGGCTAATTCTTCTCTCCATTTCCTCTTCAGTTGTCTGGCAGCCGCCAGGATCTTATCCCATCCTCCAGTCTAGGTAGCAATAAGGTAAGTGCTTATAACTATTTTCTGTCAGTCTTAGACCTGTTTCCCATCCAACTTTTCCTCCTCTGAAGTATCACACGCTAGTCGTGCATGCCAAAATTTCTTCCACTTTTCAGTACCATGTGAAATTTATTGGAATGTGTTTAGAGTTCATTTCTTTTTATCTGCCAGTTAAAATAATGTTACTGAAACTTTATTGTTACTCTGCTTTTTAAGGGTTAAACAATTTAGTTAAGTTCCTATTCCTGTTGAAATATATATTCTTCCTGTTGTGTCAGAAAAGGAACTTCATTTCAGATTTTTAATAGTTAAAATATTGATGAAGTAATTGAAAATTTGTGAAGAATAAGATTATGTTTAAAAGTTAATATTATATGTTAGAAGAAAGAAAAATAAGGGAACAAATTTTATTAGCTGGGATGTATTTAGGTACTTGTTAATATAACTTTCCCCAATTTAAGAGTTTTAAGCATAGATAATTGATTATCATTTACTTAAAGGGATCACACTCAAAACAGTCATAGGTGGATGGTTGGATACGACTGAGAATGCTCTAGTTCATCAATTCATTGACCCCCTACTGTGAGTCTAAAAGTGGGCTAGGGTTCAGCACTCCTTGATACAGGTCCGCTGATAAGTGTGACTGGCATAGCATAGTTGTAATCACCTAAACAAAGCAGAGTGTTTGGAAAACTGTCATTATTGATTATAAATAACATTATTGATATAATAAATAATTTTAGGGAAAATATAAGAAAAACTTTTATTTTTTTATTTATAAGAATGACTTTTCCCTCTGGGTCTTCCCAGTGGGATTGGGTGGAGAGGGAGGTGGGAGGGGGGACCGGGATGGGGAATACATGTAAAAAAAAAAAAAAGATACACTATGGTTGTGATGAAAAAAAAAAAATAAATTAATTAATTAAAAAAAAAAAAAAGAATGACTTTTGTTTTGAAATTCATCTAACCCAAATCCTCTATCATAAATTCATTGAAAAAAGTGGCCAAAAGATTTTCAGTTTTTCTCTCTTGCTAGTTTATGTTTAAAATGGAAAAAAAGAAAAAAAAGACCAAACAGTAATATCTACTTGAAAGAAAATTATTGTCTCATCTACTTTCAAATAGAATAAAGGAATATAGATGCTATAATAGAAGTATGCCTAGGTAGAGTAGGAACCCAGAGGAGGAAGTGGACACTTTTATAGGTATTATTCAAGGACCAAGAAAGGCTGCAGAGAGGGGAACCCCCCGCCCGCCATAAGCTTAGTGCTGAAGGATGGTAAGTCTACCCAAGTGGGAGGGACTGAAGCGAGAGTGTGCACGGAAGCCTAGAGGGGGATAGAGGGGGAAGGAGGCCGGAGTCGAGCGGAGGGGAGTGTGGGTCGGAGCCCAGAGAAGGGGCCCTTGTTTCAGGGGTTCCTGTGTGATGTGCTTGGAACTTGTCGGGGAGCTGGGCCACTTGTAGGCAGTCCACCTCAACCCCGCTTATGTTCCTGGCTGTGGCCCATAAAACTATGTTAGAATAATGTATATAGTAGAAACGTGTACTGTTACCAACACACAAGTGAGGGTGGCCAGAGCAGGTGGGGGGAGAGGTCTCGGCAGTGGGAGGGGAGGGGAAGAGAGTCAGGACCCGCTCAGGAGAATGGAGCCTCTAGAACTCTGGGGACGTGAGGATCGAGGTGGAGCTGGGGGAGACTGGGGTTCTCCCCAGTCTGGGTTCTGGGGACATAATGTGAGGAGGCAGGTTTGAGGAAGAACATGGTTTAGTTGAACTTTGGATTGAAGGTGTGTCAGCCAGTTCAGGGGTCTGGAAGCCTGAGCTGAACACAGATTGGGGAGCTAGGGAATCATCTGAGTCTCCTGAATTGGCCGTAAGAGGTTCAGACAGAGAGGCGAGGTTGTGTGGGGTGACGGTGAAGCTTAAGGGCTTGTGCAGGGGGAGCAGCCGGCCAGGGCGACAGGCGGGTGTCCTCAGAGACGAGAGGTGGTGGGGAGAGCAGCTGGGAACCTGGAGGAACTCCTTCTGGATGCTTCAGAGACTGTACTGACTGAAGAGACTATTTGGGATGTGAGAGTGAAGTTTATTGGAGGTCCTTTCCCAGGGCAGTCTCTGTGGAGGGTTGGGGAGAAGTTAGGACATGGGTTTTTGGTTGTTGTTTTGTTTTTCGGTTTTTGTGGCCACAGTATACAGAATCTTAGTGCCCCAACCAATGACAGAACCTGTGCAGGAGACACTAGTTCAACCCCTGGGTCGGGAAGAACCCCTGGAGGGCAGGTCATGGCAACCCATGCCAGTGTTCTTGCCTGGAGAATCCCATGGATGGAGGAGCCTGGCGAGCTACAGCCCATGGGGTCGCAAAGAGTTGGACGTAACAAACAGCCAAGCACTCATGCACTCCTGCAATGAAAGCGTGAAGTCCTAACCACTGGACCACCAGGGAATTTCTAGCAGGATGTGTTAAATGAGTAAATAATGTTGCGCATTTTTTGTTACTCTACCAAGACCTTCCCCTTTTCAGTCATCTTGATGTCCTGGGGCCCCTGGGTCAGGGATAGGAGACTTAGTGCAGATGAGGGAAGTCTGATTTCCACCCTCTCAGGTTGGACTGGTATCCTGGTGCCGTCCCAGCAGCAAAGGGCTGGCTCTGCCTGCTCTGTGTCGTGTGTTTTCGTTGTCATCAGACATCTCCAAGAGAGAAGGACCCTTTTCTCCCACTGCAGCAGTTTGGAGTCTTCTATCTCACCCCTCTGCATGGACAGTGTCCCTGGCCTCTGACAGACAGTGGCAGTCTTGTCAGGGAGAGCAGGAGGGCCAGCTTCCCATTCCTAACTGTGCTCCCAGGTCAGCCGTGGAGCCATCTCTTCATCTTCCTGTAGACTGTTGGTCCCCTCGGATCCTGCATAGTCACCAGGTACAGCCAGGCTTCCATCCACCTCATCACTGTCACCCTGGATCCCTTGACTTCCTGCTGTGTCCATATCAGTAGGTTATATGAATGTCCAGGTGTCTAAATCAGAGACCCTTTGCTTGTCACTAGGAGGAGAGGTAGAGGAAAACTGCTCTAAGACAGGTTTAGTGGATGGACCTGTTGAATGAGTAAGGAAATTCAAGTGACAAAGGACCACAACTGATGTTAGGAAACAAAGCCAAAAGCCATAAAACACTCGGCGGAGAGGGTTTGATTCCAGGCTCACTTCAGCAGGAAGCACAGAGTGGCTTCCCCATTTGTGGATGAGGGGCTCTCACTAGTTTTATCATCTAAAGCAGAGCGTCTTAAAAAGATTTTTAGAGAGAATAAATATTCTTAAAATTGTGTTTTCTTCCTAGAGGGTAAAGAAATATTTCCCTCCACTTGTAGCAGCAAGGAACAGGAGAGTCCTCCCTTTGGCCTTTTAAATGAAGCAGTGGTAAACTGCATCTACTATGGCATTGCCTTGAATTCAGAATTGTTACAATGCTGCCTGTAATAGAATTCCTCAGGATGGGGTAGTGTTTAAACTAGTTGATGGTAAGAATCATTTAGATCCTATTAAAACCCCTTTATACAGCAGTAGTGGTAAGAAATGACATGTATATGAGGGCCATTGCCATGTTGTTTATAATGGCAGAAGATTGGAAACAAGTTAAATGTCTGTTGGTTTGACCTGGTTAAATATGTTTTATCTGTGTCCATACACACACACACACACACACAAATAAATGGAATACTATGCAGCTATAAAAATTATTAGGAACCCCTCCAGGTACTAATATGGAAAGATGAGCAGGATACACTTAGTGATTGAAAATGCAATGCAGCACAGTATGTTGCTGTTTGTGCTGGAGCGGGGAGCACAAGAGAAGAGTGTGTGTGGCTGTTTGTAGATGGACACATACATGCAGGAAACCCCGTAAGGCTGTTTTATAAACAGATACCACTACTTACTGTCTGCGGAGAGGCTGGGAGTATGTGGGGACCCAAAGCAGGAGGCTTCTCATGGTGTGCCTTTTTTATATTACTTGGTTTTCAGACCATGGGAACAAATTACCTATTGAAAGAATTAAAATGAAAAAATGTTATTCTCTACCCTTTATGGTAGGTAGATTTTATTCTCCTATAGGTAGTGGTTTGAGAAACTCTCCAGTTGCTTTATCTATAATAATTTTCACACAAAATCCTCAAGGAGAGATTACTGAAGACATTGTTTTGGAAAACCTCAGAGACTCATGTAGTTTTCTTTTCTTTTGGGGACTTCCTGCATGCTTCAGTTTTCAGAGATCCAAGGAGAGGTAATTAATCCATTAGGTTTTTCTTAATGAGTGGGATACATGTATCATCCTACTATTGAAAACATGCTTGCTTTTACCTTGAGAATGCGAATGCATTTTTAAATGTAGTTTTTATGACACTGTACTAGTTTTTTTGGCTCTTACCCTTTTGTAAAAATAACTTTGGAAGTCAGGATATACAGTTCCTTGTTCCCTGGGACTGTGAAAATATCTGTCAGAAGATGCCAGGAATGAAGGCATCTGATGGAATGTAGGAGGCTCTGGGATGTGAGGGGGTAGAGTTAATTCATTAATGAAGCCGATGCTACAGTAAATGTTTGAGAATTTGTAAGACATCCTTTTCTCAAGCATGGGATGCAGGGGGAGAGGAGCAGAGAAAGAGCGGAAGTGCCTTGGGCCTTTCTTCAACACCACAGAACTTAGCTCAGTGGTTCCATCTTGGCTTCTTTGCATGGAAGTACTTAATACACAATGAAATTGAGTTGGGAATACAGTTTTAACCTGGAATCACTGCTTAAAACGCTAGAAACTGTATTTTAAAATAATTGAAAATTATAATCCCGTTAGTTGCATCTACCTTGCAGACTTGGGGGACTTGCTTCCGGGTTCTCTGTCTCGTTATCTGCATGTCTGTCCCTCTTTCCTTGACTGTGGAATCAGCGCTGTGGACCAGAGAACCTGCCGTGTTCTGCTGCCTGCCACGTAACAACACAACAGCAGGATTAGTTCAAATTACTTAAAGAAGTAGGGAAAGACCGCAGAGGAGGTTCGAGTCTGCCTTTCCCTCCGAATTTTCGTTACCATCATGGCGGAGATTAGTTAGTTGGGAGCAGAGTAACACTAAAAACTATGGCTGGAGGCAAGAGCAGAGCTCGCTAGGATTAGTGCTTTCGGGGAGGTGAGAGCAAGTGGTAAGGTACTAAAACCTTCTCGCACTTTGACCTCTTAACATTTGGAGTTCGGCCAGCCACATTTTGCCTGCCCTCATTCACTGATGCTCCATACCTATGAAAATTGGAATTGTTTACTGAGCTCCACCAAGATGGAATGGATGAGCTAATTAATCTTAGAAAGATACATTGAATTTTTATTAACTACCCTTAACTTTTAATTTCACCTTATGGCCTAAAAGAAATCACTCTTGATAAGCTTTTCAATTAAAAATATTAAATATTCCTAATTGCAGTGATGCTTTTATTTACTGTTACTGGCTATTTTATCATTATTGTTAGGCAGGTTTTTTTTTTAATAGATATAATGAAAACTTAGCAAACTTGTTATGACCAGTCTACCAGATTAGATTCATAGTTTAGTTGCAGAATTAATTCCAATAGATCGTTTTTCCATTTGAACTATGGCTGTGTGTTGAGACTGTTAGTGATTTAAGAAACTCTGTCAAGAAAAAATAACTGATATTACTTACTAAAGCCATTTTAAATGAAATCATATATTTTTAAATAAGTTAGTGAGATGTTAGTCATCTTCCAAATGGAGTTTTCAATGCAACTAAAAGTAGCCAGGGACGTCCCTGGTAGTCCAGTGGTTAGGATTCCGTGCTCCCAGTGCAGAGGTCCTGGGTTTGACCCCTGGTCAGGGAACTAGATCCTGCATGCCACAATTAAGACCCGATGCAGCCAAATAAATATTAAAAAAAAATTTAGCCAAAAGTCTGAATGACTATTCAGTTAGCAAAGCTGAGTTGTATGTTTTGGCTCTGTCACTTTCCAGAAAACTGCAGTTATTCAGCCCGACACTGGTTATGGTTGGTGCCAAAGGTGAGTCACCTCTTCTTGAGTTGCGTTAGTAGCCACCTTTGGACCTGGAGTGTCACTGGCACTTCATTTACCTCTTTGTCACTTTCCTGATCCAAGCCAGATCTCTATAGAGAACACCCAAAGCATTTGTGTCTTTCTGGAGAACAATAGCAGGAGAACTGGAGGTCCCTGCAGGGACCAACCACATCCTCGAGTCAGCTGACCGCCTTCTGCATTTTTTCCTGTTGGGTTTTGCCTTTAAGCATAATTGTTATCTTGAATAGGGTTTTATATCTTTGAATTCGGCCTGTTCGCACAAATAATTCCTACTAATTATGAAGCTAGTTTAGGGACCCAAAACAAAGCCAGAATTTCCACTCTCACATCCTTCCTTTGTGGCTGATCTTGAAGGCTGATAGAGGTAAAAAGTGTCAGAAACATCTCAGAATTATCTTTCCAAGAGTTCTGTAATGGAGCATAGGTTACAGTGGTAGAAGTGAAAAAAAAAAAAAAAGAAAGCAATACTGTTTCACTTTGAGAACTGAGCCCATATGATGGCAGAAAGGTCCAGTGTCTGGCCAAGTCCTTTTTATTCATTGTCTTGAGTTCATCTCCCTCTGAAGTACCTTTAACTGGGGTGCTTCCTTTATTCTCCCCCAACATTTCAGTAGTGGGAGAATCACTCTGGAGTGGCCAAGGATATAAAATTTATTGTTATTCTTGTTGTTTAGCTGCTCAGTTGTGTCCAACTCTTTGTGACCCCGTGGACTGTAGCCCACCAGGCTCCTCTGTCCATGAGATTTCCCAGGGAAGAACACTGGAATGGGTTGCCACTTCCATCTCCAGGGGATCTTCCCAACCCAGGGATCGAACTTGGGTCTCCTGCATTGGCCTGGATTCTTTACTGCTGAGCCACCTGGGAAGCCCTGTGAGATTTATTGGAAAGACATGAATTGCCTTGTCCCTGGGGGGCAGTGTGTGTTGCTAGACCCTGAACCAGATTCTGCTTCTGGCAAGAGAATGGATATGTGCTGCCGGAGAAGAAGAATCTAGTGAGTGATGTCAGTGGAGTGTTTCCCTAGAGATCTGTGGGGGTCAGAAAGAGGGGTGCGCAGTGCTGTACCCAGTTTATCATCCAAGCAGAGCCTGTTCTGTCCCAGAGCGATTTGAGGTACTCTGTGTCCCTGTCCCTGGTCGGCAAGACTGAGAGATTTCTCAAGGTCAGGATGACGGTTAAGGGAGATGGATGAATGAAATGTCTCCGTTTTTCATTCTCCTATAGAGTTAGCAATATGGCTGAGGTGCTGTGTAAGAACGGTGAGTATCCTTTCAAAGGTTCTCACTTGAGATATTTGAATATATGAGACAGTAGGAGTTATTGCCTCTGTTCAGATTCGGGAGTAACACTGTGTGTGGGAGTGCCAGCTGGGAAAAATTACCCGGGAAGCTAGCAGAGCCCCAAGTGTGCCTTGGGGAAGAGGTGACACCTCTGTTATTTGTCCTTGGACCCACACCGCACAGCTGAGGGGCTGACTTCAAATTAGCTGCTTGGTTTTCCTAAGGGCCAGAGTGCTACTGTGTCAGCTGCCAAACAAGGAAGACAAATCTAAAGTATGGAAACAAATTTATCCTCAAATCAAGTAAGTTGTCTTCAGAACAGCCAGGCGTGAACTTAATCCCATGAACACAGCATGAAGCTTTACATCCCCTGAGAAGTTCCAAAGTGTTGACCTCACTGTTCCAACACCCGATTATGACGTCCCAGCGCACACAGAACTGCAGCTTCCAGACAGATAATTGAAGTCAAAGGAGAAAACATTAATGAAACAAAGTGTGTGAATCAGCGTGTGGTTCATGGTAACACAAACGCTCCTACAGTGACGCGCTCAGAGTTCATCCTCGTCAGCTCTTCTGTGTCTTTTGCCCCCTTGCCTCCTGATGCTGAGCATCCGACCACATTCTAATACACAAAGTGCTGGGCTTCCCTGGTGGCTCAGTGGTAAAGACGTCACCTGCCAGTACAGGAGACGCGGGTTCGATGGCTGGTCTGGGAAGATGCACCTGCCACGTGACAGCTGCGCCTGTGCTCTGGAGGCGGGGAGCGGAGACTGCTGAGCTCATATGTCACTGCTGCGGCAGCCTGCGCGCGCGGGAGCCAGCGCTCCGCGACAGGAGAAGCCGCCACAGTGAGAAAGCCCGAGCACCGCAACCAGAGGAGAGCCCATTCAGCGACGGAGACCCAGCATGGTCCCAGATAAGCAAACACAGAAAAAAAATATCAGGTGCTGAGAGAGTTCCCCCAGAAAGTGGCTTTCTCTAAGTAAACAGGATCTGAATCACTTAGGGCTTATTGATTTTATGATCGGTACTTAGGTTGCTGCTAAAAGCAAATAGGTTTCCAATACATATTGGCAACCTAAGAGGGCTTTCTACCTCCATCCATCTTCAGGAGCAGCAAAGAGCTTACTTTGCAGGCGATTACTAATAAAGACGCAAGGTGATCATCAGGGTCCCTCATCTGGGGAGTAGTAGCTTAATCTAACAGAAAATACCATTTTAAAAACTGGGTTGGAAAAGAAGAGTGACTATCAAAGGACTAAAGAGGATGTATAGCTTTGGAAAGATTTTCATCTTTTCTCCATTACTGGTTTCTGTGCTGGTAGTGTGGGCGGAGGTTTATTTCTTTACTGGGTGGGACTGATGTTCAAAGTGCTTTGCTGCGATGACCATTTTTATGGCTCACCATAAGTTCTAGAAAAGTAAATTACTCCATCACCTGATGGGCATTGTTCTTGTATCATGCAACAAAATCTCTTTCATGGGAGTTTACAAGACAAGTCAATCCTAAAGGAAATCAGTCCTGAATATTCATTGGAAGGACTGATGCTGAAGCTCCCAGTACTTTGGTCACCTGATGTGAAGAGCTAACTCATTAGAAAAGACCCTGATGCTGGGAAGGATTGAAGGCAGAAGGAGAAGGGGATGACAGAGGACGAGATGGTTGGATGGCGTCACTGACTCGATGGACATGAATTTGAGCAAGCTCCGAGAGTTGGTGATGGATAGGGAAGCCTGGCCTCCTGGAGTCCATGGGGTCAGACATGACTGAGTCAAACAGGACTGAGCAACTGAGTGGCAACGAGACAAGTTGAAAGAACAATCAGATTTGTTCATTCAGAGATCTGTGTTATTGGGAACTTGTGACTCCTTGGTTTGGGCTTAACTAGAACTCATTTTTAGTATCTGTTAAAAATGAGAGGCTTGATAATATGCTGTTCTGGAGTGTTTCTTTCATGAATGGTATGTTAGCAGAGAAGAAACCTGAACAGTATTAGAGTGGTTCCTGGGTTTCCGTCGAGAATCTGAAGTGAAAGAAGGTGTCTTGAGACTTCCACAGTGGTCCAGTAGTTAAGGCTTTGCACTTCCACTTCATGGGGTGTGGGTTCGATCCCTGGTGGGGGAGCTAAAATCCCACATGCCATGTGATGTGGCCAGTCAATTTTTTTTAAAGTTTAAAAATAATTTTAATTTGAAATTTAAAATTTTTAAACTTAAATAAAAACAGTCCTTTGGGGGGAAAAGTGTATCTTGAGGAACAAGAGCAGAAAGGGCCTAAGGAGCAGAGCAGGAGGAGCATTTCAGAAAATTCCTTATTATATCCATGTTTTGTGAGATGCAGTGATACAGGAGAAAGAGTATTAGGAGACTATAAATTGTAACTGAAGGGGATATCCAAGTGGGAAGTATTAGGGAGGTCAATTCTGTAAAGAAGAATAGTATTATGCTGTTAACAGTGTTATGCTCAGATAATCAGATTTCTCATGTCTTATCAAGAATAAAGCTTTAGAAATGTGTAACAGTCTTCTCTTCAATATCTTTAAATTTTTAAACAATTGATTGATAGTCAGAATGACCGATTTTGTCCTTAATAGGGCCGGTGGGAAAGTCAACAGGACGTATCGCAAACTGCAGTTTCCAAAGGAATCGCTCCAGCTGCCCCAGCACTCCGTGGTTCTCCCCAGAGGAACCATTCTCCTGATCCAGGTCAGTTATCTTTTTGTGTTTCAGTCTCTTGTAAAATATGAGTATCTTTCAGAAATAGTTTACATTAAAAAAAATCACTTAAATCAGGATTTTCTACCAAGTCCTACGTTAATGCCTGTTTGAATTTTCCCCTTTTTTTCCTGTACTTTTACTGACTGACTTATCTTTGGCTGCGCTGGGTCTTCGTGGCTTTTCTCTAGTTGCAGCGCGTGAGAGCCCCTCTCTAGTTGTGTGCTCGGGTTTCTCACTGCAGCGGCTTCTCTTGCTGTGGACCATAGGCTCTGCACCGCACCAGCTTCAGTAGCTGCGGGTCCCGGGCTCCAGGGCGCAGGCTCGGTGGCTGCGGCTCCCGGGCCCCGGGGCGCAGGCTCGGTGGCTGCGGGTCCCGGGCCCCGGGGCGCAGGCTCCGTGGCTGCGGGTCCCGGGCTCCGGGGCGCAGGCTCGGTGGCTGCGGCTCCCGGGCGCCGGGGCGCAGGCTCGGTGGCTGCGGGTCCCGGGCTCCAGGGCGCAGGCTCCGTGGCTGCGGCTCCCGGGTCCCGGGGCGCAGGCTCAGTGGCTGCGGGTAGGGCACAGGCTCGGTGGCTGCGAGTCCCGGGCCCCGGGGCACAGGCTCGGTGGCTGCGGGTCCCGGGCCCCGGGGCGCAGGCTCGGTGGCTGCGGCTCCAGGGCACAGGCTCGGTGGCTGCGGCTCCCAGGCCTCGGGGCGCAGGCTCGGTGGCTGCGGGTCCCGGGCTCCAGGGCGCAGGCTCCGTGGCTGCGGCTCCCGGGTCCCGGGGCGCAGGCTCAGTGGCTGCGGGTCGGGCACAGGCTCGGTGGCTGCGGCTCCCGGGTCCCGGGGCGCAGGCTCGGTGGCTGCGGCTCCCGGGCCCCGGGGCGCAGGCTCCGTGGCTGCGGGTCCCGGGGCGCAGGCTCGGTGGCTGCGGCTCCCGGGCCCCGGGGCGCAGGCTCGGTGGCTGTGGCTCCCGGGCCCCGGGGCGCAGGCTCGGTGGCTGCGGCTTCTGGGCTCCCGGGTGCAGGCTCAGTAGTTGTGTCACACAAGCCTTGTTACACCGAGGCATGTGGGATCTTCCTGGCTCAAGGATCAAACCCGCGTCTCTCCTGCATTGACAAGTGGGTTCTTTACACTGAGCCAGCAGGGAAGCCCCTCCCTTTCTTATAATATGTTGAGTCACATTGTTTTGATTGTTGGCTTTATCTTGCATTCCTGTGAGAAATGATGTGTTGATCATGATGTGTTGTCCTTCATATTTGTTTGATTCTGTTTGGTAATATTTTGTTGAGAGTTTAGTGTATGTGTCCTACGGTGAATATATATACCTTTCTTATAACAACGTCTTTGTTTAGGTTTTGTATCATGATTATATTGATTTCATAAAGTGATGAGAAAGATTGAGGGCGGGAGGAGAAAGAGGCGACAGATGATGAGATGGTTGGATGGCATCACTGACTCAATGGACATGAGTTTGAGCAAATTCCAGGAGATAGTGAGGGACAGGGCTGGATGCTGAAGTCCATGGGGTTACAAGGAGGTGGACACGACTTAGCAACTGAACAACAAAATGATGAGAAAAATTTCATCATCTTTTATGACGAAGTCCCTGAACTTACGTGAACTTGGTCTTACTACTTCCTTAAACATTTGATAAGATTCACCAGTGATGCTCTCTGGGTCTGGAATTTTCACTGTGGGAAGATTTGAGATCATGACTTCAGTTTCTTAAAAGTTTAACTTTTTCTATGTCTTTGTAAGTAAGTTTTCAAAGATTATGTTTTTTAGAGAAGTTTCTGTTTCATCAGATTACTTAATTTTCATAAATGTTACAGTTTGCTTTATTGATCTTGTAATGTTTATAGAATCTGTTAGGTTCCTTATTTTTATTCTGAATAGATAATTTTTATTTTCTGTTTTTCTTTAATATAGTTGAGACTGGTTTATAAGTTTTCTTAATCTTCCCACAGAGCCAAATTTGATTCTATTTTCTGTTTTGTTGATGTCTGTTATTTCTTCATTCCACAAATTTGGGCATGATGTGCTTTTATTATCATTATATTCCACATATTCTAATTTTTCTGTGATTTATTCTTTCACCTATGAGTTACTGGGTAGTAATTCAGTTTTTATATATCTCGAGGGTATATTATTATTATTGCTTTCCTTTTAAATTCCATAATGTTCAGAGAACAGACTCTTCAAAATTTCAATCTTTTAAAAATTTTTGAGACTATATTCTGTCTTGGTGAACATTCTATGTATACTTGGAAAGGTCTCTTCTATTTTGGGGCACAGTGTCCTGTGTATGTCAGTTAGGTCAAGGTGGTTGATGTCCTTGTTCAAATCTGCTGTAACTTTACTGACTTTCCCCTCCATATTTGTTCTATCAATCATTGAGAAAAGGCATTGAATATATATGATTGTGAAATTGTCTGTTTTTTCCTATAATTATATCAGTTTCTGCATGATTAATTTAGAATCTCTGTTATTGAGTTGTTTTTTTTTGCTGATAGAGTGATGTTTCTCATTATGAAATGTCCCTTTACCTTTCTGGTAATACTCTGACTTTGAAATCTGTGCTTGATGTTAGTTTCGCCACACCAGTTTTCTTTTGCAGATTGCTTGCACGGTGTATCTTTTCCTCAGTCTTTAAAATTTTAACCTATGTGTATCTGTAGAGTGATTATCTTATAGACAGCATATTTAGGTATAGAGTTTCTTTTTTAATCTTGTCTGACAATTTCTGCTTTTTAATTGCAATGTTTAGTTCTTTTACATATAATATTATGTCTGCCATGTTGCTGTTGGTTTCTGTTGGCCTTTTTATTTATATCCACTATAATCTTTTTTGTTTTGTGTTAATTGAAAAATATTTTGTAGTATTTTATTTTATCTTTGGCTTTTTTAATACCTGTATTTATTTATTAAGGCTTCTCTGGTGGCTTAGTGGTAAAAAACCTGCCTGCCAATGCAGGAGACATGGGTTCAGTCCCTGGGTTGGGAAGATCCCCTGGAGGAGGAAAGGGCCACCCACTCCAGTATTTTTGCCTGGGAAATCCCATGGACAGAGGAGCCTAGCAGGCTACAGTCCATGGGGTCGCAAAGAGTCAGATGTGCAAAGAGACTTAGTAACTGAAAACAACAAACAACGTTTATTTATTAATGTCTTTGTTAAAGAATTCTAGTAGGTGTCCTTAACTTTACCACAGTCTTCTTAGAGTTAATAACCTATCATTTCACACTGCATAATTATGAGTCTTGCAACAGAATAGTTCCCTTTTCCTGTTCCTCCACCCCTCTTATTTTACATTATTGCTGTATCTTTCGCTTTTACAGATGCTATGGACTCACCTTACTTAATTTTTTTTTTTTTTGGCTTTAAAACAGCTATTTGTCTTTTAAGGAAATTAAGAGACTGTAGATAATCTTTTATAGTTTCCTTCCTGTTTATTATTTCTGTCACTATCTACTCCTTCCTGAAGATCATATATTCATCTGATACTGTTTCTCTTTAGCCTGATGAATATCTTGTATTATTTCTTATTGTACAGTTTTCCTTAAGAAGGAAGATCTCTCCTTTTGAGAATGTCTCTTATTTCATTTTTTTTTTTTTTGGCAGATATTTTCACTGGATAGAGAATTCTTAGTTGATAACTTGTCTTCTTTTAGCACTTCAAAGACACTGCATCATCTTTTAGACCTCTTTTCTGATGAGAACTCAGCCATCATTTATGTCACTTTCCCCCTACGTGAAATATGTCTTTGTTTACATAGTTTGCTTTCCAATTTTTCTCTTTATTTTTCTTCTCAGTGGTCGGGTAATGATGTTCTTAGGTGTAGTCTTTTTAGTGTTTATCTTGCTTGGATTTCACCAGTGTCCATGGGTCTCTACATTGAGACTTCCCCAACAATTTGGTGAAATACTCAGCTGCTAGTTCATTACATTTCTTCCTCTGTCCTTTTCTCTCTTTCTACTCCGTCTGAGAATCTAATTGCACACGTTATATTGTTTAATATTGTCCTATGCGTCGCAGAAACTCTGTTCTGTTTTTGTCTTTTTATCTTAATTGTGTTTCTTCTGATTGGATAATTTCTACTGCCATTTATAGTCTTCTGTTAAGCACAACCAAGAATTTTAAAATTTCAGTTATTATTCTTTTTAGTTTTAGAATTTCCATTTGCTTCTTTTTAAAACAGTTTTAACTTCTCTGCTGATATTTCTTTCCTTTTTATATATTAAGGCCATATTACTCTTTCTGTCCTTGTACCTTTGTATAAAAGTGCTTTTAAAATCCTTATCTGCTCACTCTAGCATCAGAACCAATCTCACGATCTGTTTCTGGCTGCATTTTTCTTGACTATGAGTCACACCTAATGAGTTTTGACAGATTTATTTACTCATGTAACTTATACCACAGTCAAGCTGTAGAAGATTATATGACTCCAGTTACTTGCCACAGTCGGTCAGTGTTCAGATCTCACTGTTTTGCCTGCAATCCATGGGGTTGTGAAGAGTCAGACAGGACTGAGTGACCAAACAATGATAACAGCGTCTCACTCTGGGATGTTAGTTTAACTGCATGTAAAACTTTGGATTGTCTGTAATTTTTTTCCCTTGGCATTTAGGTGATTCTGTCTTCTGGCTGTTTATTCGTCTTGAGTTTTTTTTTTATGTTGGGGTCTCTCTTTTTTTTCTGTGGCCATGCCATGCAGCTTGCAGGATCTTAGTTCCCCAACCTGGGGCACTCAGCAGTGGAAGTGTGGAGCCTAACCACTGGCCTGCCAGGGAATTTCCTGACTCCTGTTTTTTGTTTCTTTCATCCCTGTTTTTGCTTTCTTATAAAGTGTTTGCACTAGTGGTAAAGAATCCACCCGCCAGTGTCGGAGACACAAAAGGTGCAGCTTCAATCCCTGGGTCAGGAAGATCCCCCGGAGAAGGGAGTGGCCACTGACTCCAGTATTTTGCCTGGGAAATGCCATGGACAGAGGAACCTGGCAGGCTGCAGTCCATGAGGTCACAAAGAGTCGGCATGGTTGAGCACACACACACATAAATTGTTTGACGTTTTTGAACTCAGTTTTGATATTTCTCATGGCAGATAGCTATCTCTTTGGTTTATATTTTTAGTGACTGTGCTCATGATTGCAAAATAACCTTATGTAACTTTTCATAGTTTACTTAGAGATAAGATACTCAATTAAGGAAAACGTGGAACCTTCTGACCGTACAGGTTCATGTACCAGCTGTGTTGCTGATGAACTTGCGTCATCTCAGGCCTTTGGGGGGTGGAGGGAGGGGCGGTCGTGTGCTTCTCTTAAGGCACCTCTCATATAGATGCCTCAGGTTGACTGGCTTCTTTTTAAAGTGTTAATTAGGGTACAGTTTTTTTAATCACTTATGTCTTGGATTAGATTTTCCTGAAAATTTAGTTTTATTCACTAAGGGACAGAAGAAGTCTCCTAATATCACAGGCGTCATCTGCGTGTCTGACCCTAGCCTTTGGTATTAAGAGCAGGTAGGAACAGGGTTGGTTCAGGACATACCCCTCACTTGTAAATACAACCCAAACACTACTGTCTTCTTGAAAGGTCAGTTTCATCATCTTCATTCAGTAAATAGCATGAAAAATTAAAGTTGGATAAGATACGGTCCCTGACTTTATAAAGAGGTTAAAGTCTAGATGGAGAACTAATGTGTGTGTCACTGGCTATATGATTTAAAAGTAAAAAGTCCCATTTCATTCTAGGGCCTAAGTTAGTGCTTGATCAGTTAATGACAAGGCCTGGCTTGGGAGACCCTTTGGATTTAATAGGAACGCTGGATATTAGAGCATTTTAGAAATACCCCCAACTGCTTCTGTTTAATTGGAAAAGGAAACATCATTGTTTCTGAGGGTAACTATAGGTCCCCTGGAGGAGGAAATGGCAGCCCACTCCAGTACTCTGGCCTGGGAAATCCCATGGACAGAGGAGCCTGGTGGGCTATGGTCCGTGGAGTCGCAGAGTCGGACAGGACTGAGTGAGCACACAATACATGTAGTACTGTTATGTCTTTTTAGTATTAATTTTTCCAGTATACCTTTTAAAATTTTTATTGTTTGTTTTGCTTGCAATGCTTGGCCAGTTTACAGTAAGGAGAGCATCTCTGTAATCATTTTTGCCTTATCTCTTTTCCTTTCAATATCTTCGGCAGGACTCAGTAGCCTCGCGGCCTCCTACTTGAACCCGGTGAAATCTTTGGTGCCGCAGATGCCGAAGCTGCTGAAGTCTCTTTTCCCGGTCCGTGACGAGAAAAGGGGCAAACAGCTGTCTCCCCTCGCGCATCAGGTAAAAGCATCGCGGGAGCACCATGCACGTGCTCCTGACAGGCCGCTGGCCCAGCCTTGCCCCGTGCTGCGCTGAAGCTGGGGGGCGGAGGGGAGCAGCTGTGGGGGTGTCAGAGCTGGGCTTTCAGACCTGCTGAAAGCTCTGATAGTTTCTCTTCCCACTCTCGTCGAAGAGAACAGAGCTGTTTAAACGTATTGACACTCTCAATCCTTTTTGCTTTTAAAAAATGCCAAGTACGCTCCTAATGTGATTTACGGTAATATCACTTAGAGCAACAATAGTGAAATTTATGAAGTGCACTTAGCGTTGTTTGTGTATTGCCAAACAGAAAATGTAATTCTATTTTTAATTCTTGATTTCATTTCTTATTTCAAACAATTTTACATCATCCCCGTCCTTGCCGCTCAACCTCTTTTTTCCTCTACTGTGGTTTACCTGTTCTTTCACTTAAATATCAAAAGGGATCACTTGTCTTAGGCCCCCTTTTTCTTGAAACTCTCTACCCAGCCTTAGAAGAAGTTTCAGAGAAGATGTGAAAGGGTTTTCCAGATCATCAGGAGACTGCTTGTATGTGATGGTGCATGGGAAGCCTGTTGGAAATGCAGTTTCTAGCCTTCTCTAGGTGTGAATTCAGCAGAAAATGATAAATGAGGATTTATTTATACTCATTCAAAAACACATACAGTGCAAGTTCAGTTGTTGAAATAGGTCTTTTGACATCAGCTTCTCCACATTGACTGAAACATTCAAGTCGCAAAGTGCAGGCGAGTCCTTGCCTGAGACCTTAACTCTTTAAAAGAATTTTCTAAGTTCATGAGTGTACATTCAAGGTAATAGTTTTGTAAGGCTGCTGTGCAGGTATTTTTTTCAAGCTAGCAGTATATGAGCTTATTTTATCAGCATAGATTCATATTGGATGAAAAAAATTAAACTGAGATTTTGGAAATGTTTAAATTTGACTGGGCACATAAAGGGTGCTTGACTGTTACCAGGATGAACCTGAGATGGTGAAAGCTAAAAGAAATAGCCAACCTGCTACTTGGTGGGGGTTAGGGTAGGCAAAAAGGATTTTTCCAGGGTTTGTTACTGCGTACCTTATTCTGCTCTAAACTGCTGTGCTGTTGTTTCACAAAGTATGATTCATGGACTGTTTGTGCCAGAATTTCCATGGTAGCTTTTTAAAAAGGTAACTTAAAACTATGGCCTGATCTTAGAACCCATTCCTCACCTTGGGGCACCTGATAATCTGCATTTATAAGTACACAATGGAGAAGGAAATGGCAACCCACTTCAGTATTCTTGCCCAGAGAATCCCCATGGACAGAGGAGCCTGGTGGGCGACAGTCCATGGGGTTACAGAGAGACGGGGACAACTTAGCAACTAAACAACATATGTCAGTCCAGTTCAGTCGCTCAGTCGTGTCCGACTCTTTGCGACCCCATGAACCGCAGCACGCCAGGCCTCCCTGTCCATCACCAACTCCCAGAGTCCACCCAAACCCATGTCCATTGAGTTGGTGATGTCATCCAACCATCTCATCCTCTGTCCACAAGGTGATTTTCAGGGCTTCCCAGGTGGCACTAGTGGTAAAGAATCCATCTGCCAATGCAGAAGATGTGGGTTTGATCCCTGTGTTGGGAAGATGCCCTGGCGTAGGAAGTGGCAACCCTCTCCGGTATTCTTGCCTGGAAAATCCCATGGACAGAGGAGCCTGGTGGGCTACAGTCCAGTCCATAGGGTTGCAAAGAGCCAGACACGACAGCACACACAAACGCAGTAAGGTGATTTTCATTTACATTTAAGTTTGATATCCACTGTTTTGCAATTCCTGTTTGGTGAAGATGGAAGTTACATAAGCTAAAAGAAATTGAAATCGCATTAGAAGTCAGTGACACAGATGACCAGAGTTACAATTATTCTTTTAAAGCTGTTTCAAGGTTTTGATATAAGTCAGAGTACCTGCTACCATAAGAAGTAACCTGTCCTCTCTTGCCAGTGAGTCATTGGCTCTTCCGGATATGAGAGGAAGAGCAGTGGTTTAGAAAGCAGTCTAGTGGTTGGTAGAAACTGCACTGTGCAGTGTCCAGGTTAAGAGAGGTAACCTTGAAATACTTTGAAGATACCTTAAGTAATATTCTTTCTGTTTACTTTATTTGAGTATATATGTGCAAAGGACTTCCCAGGTGTTGTTAGTGGTAAAGAACCCCCCTGCCAGTGCAGGAGATATAAAAGACCCGAGTTCGAGCCCCGGGTCAGGAAGAGCCCCTGGAGGAGGGCTTGGCAACCCCCTCCAGTGTTCTTGCCTGGAGAATCCCATGGACAGAGGAGCCTGGCGGGCGACAGCCCACGGGGTCGCCGAGAGTCGGACACGACTGAAGCCACTTGGCATGCACACGCAAAGGTGTTGGAGAAAGTGGCCCCCAGTGCTTCGCATTTCATAAATAAATGAAAACATAAATACAAAGTAGCCTTAATGAAGGTGCCCAGTGGTGGATCTGAACTGTTCCCAGTTGGTTTATGAAACCACAGTCCCTTGAGGACCATTTCTCAAGGTCACCAGAGCCGCGTCTCTGCCCGCACTACTGCGTCCTCCTGTGACTTGACATCGTGCAGGAAACATTTTCATCTCTGGGCTTAGCACTGAGCCGTGCGCTGGGCTTCCCTTGTTAACTGTTCCGGGACTGTTTGTTACGTCAGGCTGCTAGCATTCAGGGGTTCCAGAGCGCCCTCCTGGGTGACCTCGTCCAACTCTGTGGCTTATACTGTTTATGCACTTCTGATGCTCACATTTCTGTCTCCTGCCCAGGCTTCGCCCCGAGCTATGGCCTCGTGGAGCTAACTGCCCGTTCAGCTTTTCCACTTACAAGTCAATTAGACATTCACATTTTACAAGTTCATGTCATTGCTGTCGGTTTCAGCTCACAAGTCTGTTTACTTCCAGCATACAGAACACTTCTGAAATATTAATATATGCCCATCTCAGCGTATAGCACAGATGTCCACCTCGTTGCTTCACCTCACAAATAGACCATCAGTAAATTTTATAGGTACCACTTTCAGTGTGATGACTCCATTTCTCATCACTCATCCAAGCTATCATCTCTGGCTCTGATTGTGCAGCAGGTTACCAGCTGATCAGCTGATGCTTTTTGCCTGACTAAGTCTGTTACTCACAGAGAAGCCAGAGCGAGCTCCCAAGGCCTTATATTAGTTCATGGCTTGAAACCTTCCATTGCTTCTCACTGAAACTGAATAAAATCTAAATTCCTTACTGTGGTTTACAGTGTCCTATGTGATCTATCCCCCTGGCCTTTCATCTTTATTCCCTTTATTTTCTTCTTTGTCCACCATGCTAAGCTGCATTGATTGGCCTTTTTGTTGTTGTTGATCTCATGAATACATGAAGCTCCTTTTGGTCTCAAGAGTTTTCTTACTTGTATTTCCTTCTACTTGGAATGCTCCTCACCAAAGTCTTTGTATGGTTAGTAAGTCTCTAGTAGATTGGTCTGCTACTGTTAGGGTCAAGAAAGGCCACTGTAAACAAAAATGCTTGAATTTAGAGAGCGCTGGACCAACCAAACTAAATAAAACAACAGCCTCTACCATACATAATTCAGTGTATTCCCTTATTTAAATTTTTGTTAGGAGTTACATTTATATGTTCATTGGTTATCTCCTCTACAGTGTAATCCTTGAAGGCAGAGGCAGATTTGATGGAAAGTGTATGTTGGTTGACCATTGATGAATGTACAGATGTTAGCATTAGATAGTTGGAATATACCCAGTGTAAAGAACTGTGGTTAATGTTCAGAGGTAAGAGAATTGCACCCGAGTGGGGATTTGAGATATCAAGGCATATTCAGGAAGTTTCTTTCTTAGACTGATGCAAGTTCCACTGAAGAGCTGTTCTTAAAGTTGTTTGACTGACTGTTCTTAGTTGATCAGAGATGCTTCTGTTCTTCTCATTTTTGCTATCTTTGCTAAAGCTTTTAGAGAAGTAAATTATTATTTCCACTATCAGTTTGGATACAGTGTCAATCTAGAGAAATACAAAGACAATATCAATATAGAGGTTTCCCTTACTAGGGCCACTTGAAATATGCTTAAAGTCATTACCACCTAAATGATGTTTTATCCTTGAAAATGGGACACTTTTGCAACAATGGAATCTCAAAATAACACCAAGTACATTGCTGTACCGACTGGAATGTTTTTAAAGTGTTTCCCAGTTTTTCACAGTAATCATCACTATAATGGCATCCTATTCACTTGGAAATCAGACTTGATACCCAAAAGTTTAAGTTCTTACTTTTTTCCCTCCCTGTGGACCCTCCAAGTCCTTCAGGGAAAATAGTTGGCTTACTGCCACCCAATCTTTGCCTCCGCTTTTTCCTGCTGTTGCCCAGAAGTTAAAGATTCTTTACTCTCCTAGGCTTTCTCCAGTCCTAACAGCTAAAGTTGTCAACTCTGTCTCTTGTAATAAATGCCTCCTCATTCTTCAGTGGTCTTGCCAGGGTCTTTCTAAAGTGGGGAGCCCAGAAGTGATACTATAATCCCTTTGCTTGAAAATAGTGCACCTGTTGTCTTCCTCTCTTGACTAATGTACATCTGCCAAAGTGGCACATGAGAGCAGTTTTGTTCTGTTTTTTTAAGGTTAGGTTTTAATTCATTGTGCTTCTGGTCAGTTAATGTTCCCCCTTTTCATTTGCTTATTTATTTGCTTACACTCTGGCCAATGCACTTCTCTCTATTACACATTGTTTAGTTGGAAGTATGTTGTTTAGTTGCTAAGTCATGTCCAGCTCTTTTGTGACCCCAATAGACTGTAGCCCACAGGATTTCCCAGGCAAGAGTACTGCAGTGGGTTGCCATTTTATTATCCAGGTGATCTTCCCAACCCGGGGGTTAAACCCAAGTCTCCTGCTTGGCAGGCGGGTTCCTTACCGCTGAGCCACCAGAGAAGCCCCTTCGTTGAAGCATAAAAATACTTAAATAAGAA